AATTAGGGCGAAAAAGGAGAGCAACGAAATACAAAGAGAAACAAGAAAAAAAGAGAATTTAAAAAAAGCAGCGACCTTCTGCTGATTTCTGTGCGCCTGGTATCTCAGATTTGAATTTAACGGTTTTCTGCCATTTGGGCGGTGGAAAGTGGAGGCAGAAAATGGGAAAAATGAGAGCGAAAAAAGAGAGCAACGAAATACAAAGAGAAACAAGAAAAAATGAGAATTTAAAAAAAGCAGCGACCAGCAGAGGCAGAAGATGGGAAAAATGAGGGCGAAAAAGGAGAGCATCGAAATACAAAGAGATAATACAACAAAATACAAGAAAAAAAGAATTTAAGAAAAGCAGCGACCTTCTGCTTGAAACCTTGATATTGAATCAATAATTTGAGAGTCTCTTTAAAAAGTGAGAAATTTTGTAAATTGGTTCTTTTGGCTCTTCTGTCTCAAAAGGTTGCCAACCCCTGGCTAGGCTAGAGAGTATTAAAAAGTTGAAGAAATCAGCTCTGATTACACTAGTCAACACGATTTTTCCTCAAGGAACAAAACGAACTTTTTCTTAAAGATTTGGGGCTTAGAAATGGTTTGATGATATTTTTTTTTTTTCTATGGCAGAACTTTTTTTTAAAGAATTTTTGAAAACTGGTATTTTTTTTTTAAGCTTTTTTCAGAGGTAACGCTTGTTTTTTCCACTAACTCTAGTATATTACGTCTGGTTGTAAAGAACTTTGTTATTTTGAAAAGATAATTAAAACAGCTAGAAGTTGATGCCAATCACTTTGTGATTTCAGCTTTCGTCTGGGAAATGTAGAGCATTGAAATGCAAAAATGATGATTTTTGTGGGGTACTTTACGAAATTTTGACTTTAAAAACTCAGGAAAAGTCGAAAAAAAATTATATCTTGTGTCCTCTATTTTTTTTGGTGCATTAATTTGGCGTCGTTTAAGGTATCGCTCATTAAAATGTTGGAGAAACTTGGAGCTAAAATTCGTTAACCAAACCTAAACTATGAAAAAATGAACAAAAAATACCTTTTTGAAGGCTGACCCGAACCGATCAGGTACCAAATGTACAACCCTTGTTCGTTTGCTTTGGTCCCAATTGGCAAAACAACAGCCAAAAAAAGCGACCTTCTGCTGATTTCTGTGCTGGTATTCAGATTTGAATTTAACGGTTTTCTGCCATTTGGGCGGTGAAAGTGGAGGCAGAAAATGGAAAAATGAGGGCGAAAAAGGAGATCACACAAAATACAGGAAACAAGAAATAAAGGGAAATTTAAAAAAAGCAGCGACCTTCTGCTGATTTCTTGCAAAGATTTGAATTTCCCAGACGGTTTGAGCGGTGTGAAGTGAGGCAAAATTGGGAAAATTAGGCGTTCAAAAAGAGAGCAAAAATTTACAAAGAGAAACGAAAAAAAAAATTTGTGAAAAAACGACCTTCTTCTGAAAAGCTTTATACCAGACTTCAAAAATTCTTCAAAAAAAGTTCTGAGAAAAAAAACCTAAGGTTCTTTTGGCTTTTTAAAAGGCTGCCGTATCCAGGACTAGGCGTAGAGAGGAAAAAAAAGTTCAGAAGTAATCAGCTCTGATTAGCAATGCTTAAAAACTCATCAAGGGCCTATGGGTACTTAAATGCCCATGGAAATTATGAAACTCGCAGAACTTTAGCGCCAAACTGCTGAAAGGTATTGCAATATTTCTTCTCGCTAGGTAAAGAAAAAAGACGGATCTACAGGGAGAATTTTCAAATAAATAAATAAATATTAGTTTGCTCTAGTTTGCTGTAAGATAATTCCCAAAAAGGTGTTCAATAGATCTCCCAATAGTAGACAAAATATAGTTTCATATAAAAGTGCAATGATTTTTTATTGTTTAGTAAAAAACGAAGCGTAATCTAGGGATTCGATGAGGAAGGAAATTGCATGCTCTGATGGATGGTGTGTGGGGGTTCGTTCGCATGAGGGTTGTGCGATCCGGTGCCAACTAGTCACCGGATTGGATGTATTTTGGGAGTACAATACCCATGTCTCTATTGGCGGAGTCCCTGGCGCTGGCTCTGGCTCTGTCCCTGGCTGGACTGCCTCCAGGCCTCATGGACGGCATGGTAGCCGCTCTGGGTCTGGGCGGGAGTGCTGCGGCCGAAGGGGCTCTTGGAGTTCACCTGGAGCATGTAGTCACCCTGGACATCGTAGTCGGTGGCGATGCCCATGTAGGCGCGCTTGCCATAGCCATTGTTCTGCTTGTACTCCTTGTAGGAGCTGGCGGCGACGGCGGGGAAGTTGCGCTCGTTGCCAGGGCGGACGGACTCGGCGAAGTAGCGGGTGGCGCGCATGGAGGCCTCCACGACGTTGTCGGCGCCGGGCACACCGGCCGATGGTCCGTTGGGGTAGAAGTCGACATTGGCCAGACGGGCGGGGGTGCCCATGCCGTGGGCGGAGGTGTGGATGGCATCGACAAAGTCGGCATCGCCACGGGCCAGGCCGGTGAGCTTCTCCTCGGGCTTGCCGTAGATCTTGGCGGGGTCCAGGCCGGTGATGCGGCGCAGCTTGTGTCCGGTCTGGCGGGTGAACTGGCGACCGGCGATGCCGGCAACATGGGCAGCGGGTCCCTGGCCAATCAGATGGATGATCTCCTGGGGCACATTGACGGCGTTGGTCAGCTCCACGAGGCGGTTGCCGATCAGCTGGCCGAGACGCTCCACATTGAGGGTGGCGAACTGCTCAAAGTCCTCGATGGCATCGCCCAGATTGATCACGATCAGGTCTCCGGTCTTGGTGTCGTCCTGCTCCTGGCCCTGCTTGCGGCCCTGCTGCTGCTCCTCCTCGCTGCTGGACTTCTGCTTCTCCTCGCTGCTCGACTGCTGGCCGGGATAGGGCTGGAGGTTGTACCGCTGCTGGTAGGCCCTCACCAGCTTGCTGGTGGCCTTGCGCACCTGCGACGAGCTCTGGGGCAGGCCCTGGATGAAAATGGTCACCTCATCGTCGCCAAAGTTGGGCTGGCGCTTCACAGTCTGGACGAGATTGTTCAGGTTGAACTCGACCTTCTGGCCGCGCTCGCCCACAATGAAGCCCTTGATCTGGCTGGGCTCCGGGGTGTAGTCGGGCTTGAACACGCTGTTGAACTGGGAAAGATGATCTACAGCAGGCAGGGGCGGGAAACGCAAGTAAGCAGGGGGATTGGGAACGGATACGTGGGGGATTGACTACTTACAGAGCTTGTCCAAGAGAGTGGCACCCTCCTCGAGGCTCATCTCCTGCAGCTTGCGAAGGTTCACCTGCTTCAGCGAGGGCAGCTCCTCGATCTCACGAGGACTCACCCAGTTGCTGGGCTCATCGATGTTGCTCAGCGAGTTGGAGCGGCGGCTGGAGGAGGAGCCCGTGTTCGAGTTGGCCATCGACGCTGCCACCAGGCAGGCCATCAGGCAGAGAGTGCGCAGAGGATTCATTGTGATCGGTAGAGACTCGGATGGGATGATGTACCAAGCTGTACTGCATAATTCTCCAGCGGCTCGTTTGGCTTTTATAGCCCATCAGAAAGGGGGAAGCGAAGCTCGTCATTCATGGATCACACGTGCCACGGCACCTAACGGAAGCAGCGATCGATCGATCGATTGAGCGGATCAGCAGAAATTCTAGAACCGATTTGTGCAATTTTCTTTTTTTTTGTTTTTCGAGTATTTTTCCACATATATATTTGTATATATTTTTATATATTTTCCGCTTTATCAGTCTGTGCGGCGTCAGCAGTCCGTCGGGCTTGATTCTTGATGATGATGCGGCTTGTGTCTCTCTCTCTGCCACTTTCTGCTCTACTCGAAAATTGGGCAACTTCATGGGAAACTTACGTAACAGTAGCCGCGATGCAGCGGTTGTCGATCGGGTTTCATATGGGGGGGGGGAAAGTGCATGAGATAATCTCATGATCGATCGGGTTGAACGACCCTCACAGATTGATAGAATGTTGCAGCCATGCTCTGAGCAACATATAACAGAAAGATTGTATATTTTCAGCACTTAGATTCATGAAACTAATGATGGACTTGCTGGTGCCCAAAAGATGTACCATGGGCGATCAAAAAAGAGATGCCAAGCCACATGCAGAGCATTCCCTCGGTTCTGCAACTCTCCCGAATTGGTTCCTTTAAGATAAAAGACCGAAACCCATTGGGAATGGCAGCTCTCCAAGCTCAATCCAAATGAAGTTCTGCCTCACATCAGCATCAAGGTAGATGCAATTCCCTTTCATATATTCCCTTCCGTATGCGCTTGAGGCAAAGACTTTAGTATCAAAGAGAATGCACGGATAGTTCATGAATGAATTCTTAGAGTTCTGAGTGGGAACAGCTTGCCCTCCCTTAACCTTGAGCAGCTCTGCCCCTGAAGTGCGATTTTTCTCTCTCATTGTAACCTTTGGAATGCCATCTATCTATTCTGCATCTAACTGCCATAGCCTCTTGTCCATTCTGCGCGATAAATCTGCATTTGATTTGTCCCCCAAAATATTCAATATTGACAATTCAAAGGCAAACCAGAGATGAGGGATAAATGAGGGAGATGCATGCACAGATCATACGCCCAAAAATGGACTTGGGAGTAGAATAAGTATATGGAATGCCCTTAGGATTCACAATCAGTTGGGGGCTACAATGTAATTACAAATTAAAATATATGATTAATTATGGCAACCGCCTGCACTATCATCGTCAGGTGCTAAGTCATCAGTAGCTATAGCCTATAGCCCTATAGCCCATATGCGTACATATATTCGTAGTCGTTTAATCATCAGTTTGTTCCCATGATTGACAATCCCTTACGCTGCAGAAACCCCAATCAGAGCGGAGCACTGCACTGCAGCGAAATGCAGCGAAATGCCTGACGCGGCAGAAAGGTGCAAAATTGGAAATGGAAATGGAAAATGCAATACGAAAATATGAATATATGTATTATCAATTCGATTGATAAGCAGAAACCGATGGCTATATAAACGGATGGCCGGGCAACGGTAGGACAGTTCCACTCATCGGCTTGCAGCTTAAGTGTTGAAGTCGTAGTCGAAGTCGAAAAGGCGCTCTATACCCGGACACCCAACACCCACACCCACAGCACTACCATGAATCCCATGAGAGTGCTCAGCATGCTGGCCCTCCTGGCCGTCGCCGTTATGGCCAAGCCGGGCAGCAGCCATATGGACAACTCTGTCAGCCAGGCCCTCAAGCCGTCGCAGTGGCTGTCCGCCTCCGCTCTGGAGGCCATTCCCGCTGCCGATGACCTGACCGTCGAGCAACTGGAGAACATGTCCCTGGAGAAGGGAGCCGAGCTCCTGCAGCAGATCTGTAAGTACATTAAGTTACCCTTATTTTTGATTTGGGAATTAAAATGAATTTTTTGTTTGCTGCTCGCAGACCATCTCTCGCAGATCAACCACAATGTGGAGCCCAACTTTGTGCCCAGCGCCAGCAACATTCAAGTTTATGTGCCCAAGCGCAACGGCGAGAAGATCGTGGCGCCCCTGAGCGAGATGATCCAGCGCCTGAAGCAGAAGCAGAACTTTGGCGACGACGAGGTGACCATCATCGTTACTGGCCTGCCCTCCACCACGGAGACGGTGAAGAAGGCCAACCGCAAGCTGGTCCAGGCCTACATGCAGCGCTACAACCTGCAGCAGCAGCGCCAGCACGGAAACGGACGCGACTACGACGACAGCAACGAGAAGAAGGGACAGCGCACATCCAGCGAGGAGAACTCCAGCGAGGAGTCCAAGAATGCCAAGACCCAAAGCGGTGACATCATTGTACGTTAGCCCCCCCCCCCCCATATCGCCAGTGCCCGTGCCCGTCCACTAATCATCATCCACTCTGTCATCGTTTTAGGTGATTGACTTGGGCGCAACTCTGACCAACTACAAGCGCTATGCCATGCTGGACATTGAGAAGACCGGCGCCAAGATTGGCAAGTGGATCGTCCAGCTGGTCAGCGAATGCGACATGCCCTTCGACACCATCCATCTGATCGGCCAGGGTGTGGGTGCCCATGTTGCTGGCGCCAGTGCCCAGGAATTCACCCGCCTCACCGGACACAAGCTGCGTCGCGTCACCGGTCTGGATCCCTCCAAGATTGTGGCCAAGACCCGTCACACCCTCACCGGCCTGGCCCGCGGCGACGCTGAGTTCGTCGATGCCATCCACACCTCCGTCTATGGCATGGGCACACGCGTGCGCAGCGCCGATGCCGACTTCTATCCCAATGGACCCGCCGCCGGAGTGCCCGGAGCCGAGAACGTGATCGAGGCCACCATGCGCGCCACCCGCTACTTCGCCGAGTCTGTCCGCCCGGGAAATGAGCGCAGCTTCCCCGCCGTGCCGGCCAACTCCCTGCAGCAGTACAAGCAGAACGATGGATTCGGCAAGCGCGCCTACATGGGCATCGATGCTGCCCACGACATCGAGGGTGACTACATCCTGCAGGTGAACGCCAAGAGCCCCTTCGGCCGCAACGCGCCCGCCCAGAAGCAGAGCAGCTACCATGGGGTGCACCAAGCGTGGAAGAACGACAACAAGGACTACGACTAAAGTGATACGCCCCCCCAATGGATGGACAAACGGATGGACTTCCTTTTTAGCATTCTCTAGACACTAAGCTAAAACCCATAATTGGCATTTTTCTCAACGCATTTAACGAGCCACTCGCAAACAAAATTCAAATCGCAAATAAACGCTAAAGACTCCTTTTGACAAGGAGCTTAAAACGTATCTGAACATCTATGCAATGTGCCTCAAGGGAATAGCTTTGAGCAGATCTCGAGTCGGGGATTGCACTCCAAAAGAAAGCGCCACGCTTGGGCCTTAGGCCTTTCCCACTTACAAAAAGAAAACACTAAGCAATGTTCCCCATGGATTGGTTTCTGTAAACTTAGATTTATTTCATTTGTTGTCTGTGTGTGGGGTGTCAGGTGTTGAGTGTAGGGTGTTGGGTGTCGTGGTGTCCAGGTGTCCAGGTGTCGGGGTGTCCGGGTGTTGTGCAGCTCCATCGATTGCATTGCCTTGGCTTACAAAAGAAGATCTCAGGCGTGGTTTAGGGATTAGGAATTAGGGGTTTTCTGTGGGCTAACAATATGCCATATGATGCTCAACCCTGAAGCAATAATAACAACTAGAAATACAGCCAAGAGTTAGGATCAGAGCGTAGCCATGAACTTATGCTATTTATTTTGCTTGAGTTTGGTTTTGTTTTAGTTTTAGCTTTAGTTTTAGCTTTAGTTTTAGTTAGTTCTTTTAGTTAAGTGCACATTCCGAATTGTTAGAAATATTATTTCTAATAGGTTTTCTTTTCTTATCTTTTTTTGTTGTAGTTTTATTTGTTTGGTAGCTCTAGCAGATCAATGCAAAACGAAAATACATACGAGTATGTTCGGGCCAAGGCAGCGGCGGCCCGCCTTCAAAAACATTTCGTAAAAGCGCAGGCCAAAGTGTCTTAAATGTTAGCTACAGTCTTTCTTAAGATTTAGCCCACCCCAAAAACCTCTATATACATGTACATGTTCCCCCATTATAAATATACATATGTGTATATATTTCGCTATATATGTATGGTATATTTTCATATCGGTATATACACTATTTAATCGCTTGTTTAACAATTCATTTTGATTTTATATGTATTTTAGAACAATTTCATTGTTTTTTTTCCTCTCCATTTCTGTGGTTAGAGTTTACTGTGTGTGTGGAAGCAGCTTTTCTTTTTTGGGTTTTTTTTTTGCCCCCTGGGAAACGAATATATTTAATTTAATTTAATTATTTTCCCAGCTACAATAGCATGTTTAATAATTCTATAGCTAGGTATGTATATATTGGGTTTAGTTTATTCATTGGATTTATCATAATATCTTTTATTCAATTGAATTACAGTAGCTTGTGAGGCCGAAAACTAAAGCACGTGGCATTTTGCCATTTATTTCAAAATGTTTATCAAACTTGTATGTATATCGAATATATCGACAATCGATAATTAGAATCGATTATCATTTGGTGCGCTCTACAGTGCAAAATATTTGCTCAATTATAAAATTGTTTCACAGTTTGTTGAATCATTCGAACAACAAAACAAAACAAATCAACGAAAAAACTAACAACGAAAAAAACTAACAACAACGAGTCAGAGTCGGAAAGCCTATATAGTCGAGTGGTACAGTCAAGTCTGGTTACGACTACGAGAGAACCGTTCTGCCATGCAATCGGGTTGGGAATCCGAGATCTGAGATCTCAGAATCGTGGAACCCAAGAACTGAGCAGAAACGGATCTCAGCCAAAGGAATAGTTAGGAGCTTAAAGCAAAACTTTGGTTGGCTTTTTTTTGTTTTTGTTTGTTCTCTATATAAATTGAAAAGATGGCTGTGATGGCATTTAACTAGGCAGAAATTGAAAACTGTTTTTTGTTTGTTGGTAGCTTCAGCAAATTCATGAATAATTATACGTTCGTTATTGGTAAATCCTTACAATTTCCGTTCAATTGAATTTGGTATCACAGCAATATACTTGTTTTCTTTAGTATAGTTTAGTTTAGTTTAGTTATAGTTATAGTTAAGTTAGTGTATATATTCTAGATATTTGTGGCGTGTTGTGGTGTGGTGTGGTGTGTGTCGTGTGTGGTGATTCGGAAAAGCAAACCAAATCAGATATTGGAAAGCGCTTAGCTCGTCTCTGAAGCACGGAGGAAACCGAAATGAAATCAAACTGTATGCACCCGTTAACTGTAACTAGTGTGGTAAGCTCTAATAACAATCCGAGATCAAACCGCAATGTGGCAACAACCTATGTGGTAAGTGTTTGTACTCTCAAATACGCTTGATGGTGGGACCTGTAAAAAATACCGAAACTTTGCGCTTAAATCTCTCCATTGTGGGCTCGTGATCCTCCTCATCGTCATCGTCATCATCATCAAAGACCACCATTGGTGGCGGCGGACGATGTTGCGGATGGCCAACGGGATGCAGGCGACTGGGTCGTGGCTTCTGGCCAAAGATAATGGTGCGTGTAAATCGCACTCGTGCCTCCTCCTCCGCTTCGGCAGCCGCTTCCGCTTCGGCATCGTTCTCATCGTTCCCACCAGCAGCACCGCCGCCATCCGATTCGCTGAAACCGGGATTAAGTATTATATTCGGTATAAGCTCAATGCTATCCCAACCATCTTGCAGTTCTTCCCAGTTCAAGCCACAACAGCAGAAGGGTTCAAGAAGAATCATGAAGAATATATATTTTTGTATATATCAATATATAGAGATAGACAGAGATATAGAAAGAGAAAGAGAGAGAGAGAGAGAGAGAACAAATACATTTATTAGACAAATTTATGATAATTGTTCTGTACTTTACCTCTGCTTTTTTTTATGCATATATTTTTTGTTTTTGTTTTTAAGGGGATTCTTTTTTTAAGGCAGTTTTGTTTTAGCGTGTAGTTATTTTGTTTTTGTGTGTGATTGTGGTTGTGGGTACGAGTATATATGTGTGTGTGTTGTGTGCAACAGTTAAACAAAAGTTAAAGCTCGAGGAATAAGCTTGAAGCTCTAGGTTACACCATGGGCATTCCCTCCTAACGTGGGAGAGCATTGAAGCACGAGAACAACGTACACCCATTGAGTGGAATGCCCATCGTGTGACAGCAGCTGTGACTTTTGACTATAGTATATTGTAGGTATATATTGTATATAGTATCTGTATAGTAGGGTATCCAGTGTCTATATTTGTGTGTGTGTTTGTGTGCAGTTTCTATGGCGTGTACTCTGTGTGTGTGTGTGTAACGAACATATATCATAAACACTCAACAAAACATTTATACATTCTTTTTGGTGGTTTTTTGTGTTTTTGTTTTTTTTCATTTTCCATTAAAACGCTTAATGTTCGTGCTTGGTTTTTAAATGCAAATAACATAATAATATATTCAGTAAATTACATAAACGGTTACAACATTGATAAAGCGGTTTTTGATTATATATTTCATATTTTTGTTTTTTTTCTAGGCATATTACAATATTAATTAAGCAATAGTTTACTAGTTTTCTTTTATTTAGCGAGTATATCTTTGGTTATCCCTTTCTAGCCGTTGTTTAAAACTTCAAAAGAGTGTTCAGAGTTGTTCGGTCTCTTTTTATTTGTTTGATCGATTGCTTGCTACAAGTGCGCTGGCTATCACAGTTAAAGTGCTTAAAGCTTTGATTTCTTTTGGTCTACGATTGCAATTCTTTTATTTATTTATTTTGTTTTTCTTTGTTTTTTGTTTTTATGATTTAAGGGTAAAATCGCACTTTTGTTGGCTTAAGGTTATACCAGGGTACGGAATATCTCAGTTTCATATATAAAGATTTGTTCAATGATATCATTTTGAATGAATCGGGATGAATTATTGAGCTAGTTTTATTTTTCTACTGTCTGGAATATTGATTCAGCTAACTACATATATGGTAGTATATGGGGAAAACTGCTTGAAAGATCAGTTTTTATTGGGGAATAAAAAACAACACCGACTGAGAGGTGCTGCCGCATTACGCGCAACACCGAAATGGGAGCATGGTGTTGCTGTAAAGGTAATCTACTATTAATATATCAGAGCTCTATTTTAAGTAAAACTATTTTCATACAATAGATGCATTTAGTGGTATAACAAAAAGAATAAATTTTAAGGAATTTCCACTAAGCGCAGAATCTACGTTGAGCAAAGTCCCTCAAAAGGGAAAAACATTCAAATTAGGAGTCTGAGTGAGGGATTCACAACACTCATTTGTTTACTCATTAATTTTTAACACTGGTTCGTTATTTTAGTGCACTTCATGGCAGACCTCTAAACTTAAAATGAATGGAATTTAACTGATGGAAAAATCTTTATATACGAACGAACGTATTGTATAGTATGTGGATAGCATACTACGGTATTTGGTATTTGTATTTACAGATTATATAGGGGGCGGGCATTGGTACTAAAGCTATATACATATCATGACTTATAGCTAATAAACAACAATCGACAATAAAGCAAACAATTGTTTCGGGGGCCGTTACCAGGCATACATACGAGTAAGTTTCGATTATTGTAGATAGACACTCATACAACACGCAAATGATAACTGAATGGAACATCGAACAACAATTGCAACAATTGCAACAATATCAACAATAACAATAGCAACAACAATAACAGCAAATAGCAATAGCAATAAATGTATGTAGCAATGGCCAAAGCAATGAGAACAACAATGCGTGAAAGTAAACAAAAGGGAGACACGTACATAACTGAACTCAAGAGCTAGCTAAGCAACCCAAACATTATAGAACACTTAGATGGCGCATCCATTCTCATCTGTGACACATCATCTATGTGGTTCTAGAATCTTTGCTAAAACTCAAGAAAAATTAAATAAAAAAAAAATGGTTCTAGTAGATTGCATTGCCCAACACTGGCAGACACAAAAGACAGGAACACAGGAACGGTAACAGGCATTCGCTGCACAGCACTGGCAAGCCACACACAAAACGTGAAATCTTTTTTGGATTTTGATTAATTTTGATTGTTTGTTTGGTTGGAGTTTTTTTTGGAGTTGTTATTTGATTTTTTTGGTTTTTTTTTGTGAGTTAATTCGACTTAGTCTGTACCCATTTGCGATGCTTGGTAGCACTCCTTGGAGAGCACAATGCAGAGTCCAATGGCTAATATCACAAGTGTTCCGAGCACTATACTGACGGCCACTATCCAAATGCGTGGATCAAAATTGTCTAGGTCGGGTTTAATAAGGCGTATGAGATCTGAACGCGCAGCAAGAGAGATATATATAGAGAGAAAGAGAGATATATAGAGAGAGAGAGACACACACACACACATCGAGCACTCCCGAAAGGGAGACAGAGTGAGAGAGTGAGAGTGGGGGGGAGAGAGAGAAAAAAAAGATACATTGATGGACAACAAAAATAATTACAAAATATACATATACTAAAACAATGATCTATACGATAACGATTACGTTTACGTTTACGATTACAATTTAAGGTTAAGTCAATCGATAATACACGATAACACTAGAGTTGCGGGGCGATGGCAACCAGGGCTGCAACTAGTGGCTGCTGGTGGCAACTCTGGCCGCATCCAAATACCGACAACAACAACAGAACAAAAAAATCCAAGTACAGTTTACACATTGAAAAAAGTTAGTAGTAGAGTAGATATGGATTATGGAAAGATTATCCAACAGAAAAAACAAAACAAAAAGAAAGGTACAATCAGACCCTAGAACCTATGATAGATAGCCTATCCTATGATGGATAATGCCTATCCTAAGATACAGATCGCCTAACTATCGTTTGAGAGTTGTTTGTGAGTTGGATGTATGTGGACCTCCACTGAGAGTACTCACCCTCTTCCTTGGTCTCTGGCAGGGTGGTGACATTGGTGGTTACCACCACGCCGCTGCCCAGCTCATTGTTGGCCCATATCCGGAACTCATAGGTGGTGTTTGGCGCCAAACGATACACCTCCATTTGACGCTGAATCAATGGAATTTTTACTTTGGTATTTGTTGTGATTAAATGATGGGCACCACACAAAATACTGACCACATTGAATGCTATATTGATGGGATCCATGCGGATCCAGGCGTGCTCGAAGCTGGCATTTGCCGGCGGCTGGCTGTACGAGACATTGCGGTATTCGGCCGTGAAGCTGCGCACGGGATAGCCGCCCGACTGCGTTTTGTTGAAGCGCCAGATGAGAAAGCCCAGTATGGTGGATGCCTTGAAGTACAGCTGCGTCACGGGGCCGGGCACAGTGCGTACCGTGAGCTTTGTGCGCTGGTATGCCTGATACTTCAGCTCCTCCTCCACCTCCTCCTGCTGCTGCTCTTTGGGTTGTGTTGTGGTTGCGGCTGCGGCTGCGGTTTCCTCCTCTGGCAGCTGCTGCTGCTCCTCCTCCTCATTCTCCAGTCGCGGTGAGGTAGTTGTCGCTGGGCTTGTGGCTGTTGCTCTTGTCGTTGTGGTTGTGGCAAAGCACACATAAATGCCAGCATCCGATGTGCTCACATTTCGCAGCACCAAGAGGCGACCCGTCTGAGGAAAAAAAAGGAGTACATTCTGCAAGTGGATTCTGCATTTGTTGGGAGGGGTGTTACCTGGACTATTGTGCTGTTGCTGCCATGTTCTTTCACCCACATGATGTTGCCCTGGGCGATGCAGGGTATGCTGACATTGCCGCCCTTGTCCGTTGCGTATTCGTTGTATTTAATCGTGGAGCTGAGCACCGTGAGCACTGCAAAACAAACGAGAAAAACAGGGAACAGCATAGAGGACAATCGGAGGTGAAGTGAACTCGGTTCAAGCGCTCGCCCACCCATATCTAAGATAGATCTTAGATCTGCCCGCCCGCCACTTGGATTAATTGCCTTTGATAGACACGAGAGACGAAGCCACGCTTCAGGGAACTCACTGCAGTGCCCGTTGCGATGTCCGCCGACTGGCTAGAGCGCTGTCTGGGCGGATACTTTCAGCTGCTTGGCCTGCGATGCAGCTACTCCAGTCGTCGTGTGGGTCGCCTGCTGAGCAGCCTCTACCTGGTGCTGGTGATCGTTGATCTGCTGGTACAGATGAGGAACTATGGCAATGGCGAGGAGCCAATGGTCGATCGAGCGCTCTTCTTTCCCAAGGCCATTCAGGCGGTGAATATGTTCTACAAGCTGGTCCATGCACTGATCGCCCTCTTTGCGCTGCTCGGATGCCAGCGGGAGCGTCGCCTCTTGCAAAAGCTGCCACCAACGCATGCCACCGCGGCCATCTATCGACTGGTGGCCCTCGAACTGCTGATGGTTGTGTACGCCCTGACGATTTGCTTCAGCGATGCCTTGAGCAGCGGACAGATTCTTGAGAACCTGCGCTATGTCTTCAGCTCCCAGGGGGTGCGCGCCCGCTATTTGCAGATGTTCCTGCTGGTCGGCCGCCTCCAGGCCCAGCTGGAGCAACTGCAGCGCCAGCTGATCGCTTGCTCTCCGGACGACTACCAGCAGCTGCGCTCCTCGTATGCCCACCTGGCGCAGTTGTGCCGATCTCTGTCGCAGCTCTATGGCCCGTCGCTGCTGCTGCTGAATGTGCTCGTTCTGGGCGACTTCCTCATCGGCTGCAATGTTTACTTCATGGTGGAGCATATGGAGGCGGCGCCTGCCACATGGATGGTCTTCTGGCAGGCCGTCTACATTGTGGTGCCCACTCTCGTAAAAATCTGGACAGTGTGCGCCGCCTGTGATCGCTTTGTGGCCGGGGTAAGTGTCCTCCGATCGATCTCCAACGGAATACAGATAGAGGATTCTTCGTTACAGTCGAAAATACTGCGACAGCAGCTGAGCGAAAGGCGCGGCAGTACGTCCCAGGAGCGCTGCCAAATCGAGGAGTTCGCCTTGCAAATCATGCAGGATGCCCTGCAGTTCAATGTCTGTGGCATCTACCATCTGAATCTGCAAACTCTGGCGGCGGTAGGACACGCAACGGGCACAAATAAAAGGCACTCAAATGAACTCCTCTCCTCTCTCTCTCGTGTCTCGTCTCGTCTCTCGTTGCAGATGTTCTTCTTTATATTGGAGGTACTGGTCATATTTCTGCAATTTGTGTCCCTCATTCATTGAGTGAATAAATCATGAAGCGAACAAGGAAAATGGGGCAAAAGGAAAACAACTCGAACATGATTTTCTTTGGTGGTGGGGTGGGTGTCACAGAGGGAACTCTTCAATTTCTGGTTGTTGCAGAAAATGTTGCCACGACATGCGATGCGCGAAGGTCAGAAGGCGGCATACAAAAAGCACGCATACAACACAGCACGAAGCGACGAAGCCCGTCCACTTGCCATGCCCCCCTCCCCATCACCCTACATATCCTTGCAGGAGAGTGCTTTACTTTGCATCAAAAGCAGCAACTGTTTTCCATAGGCTTTCCCAAGGTTTTATTTAAGCGATGATTTCTTTGGCAGCTAAATGATTCCTTTTTACTTTCCTTTACTTTTTTTTATCATTCCGATTACGATGTTCATGCTGTGACTGCAGCAAGTATCGTATCGATCCCTCCCAATCGATAATTATCGATTAATTCTCAAATTTGTGCATCTTTCGATATCGATTTTGAATCTATCATATTACATTCCAATATCGAATATATCCTTTCTTGCTTTTCATTTGGCGTCTACTTTATGGCAAAATCAATGCCTAAACCGAAACTAATATGGCCAAAAATGCGTCACCGCAGACAATGGAGGAGCTAATTGATGGACAGCCAGCCAGCCAGCCACTGAATGAGCCCAGTGACTGAACGAGTGAGTGATTGAACAAGCCAGTGATTGAATGAGTGAGTGGGTAACTCACTGAACGGACGAATGTCGGACACATCCTGCCTCAGACTTCATTCGATTGGGTGGGGGTGGGGCCGGAGGGTATTCCGTGTTTCAAATCAATTAACTGACGTCAGCACATGGATATGGATGGACGAACGGATGGGGATAAACAGAGGCAGAGACAGCCTTACATCATTCTCATCCTGCCCCCCTTGAAGTGGTGGGCTCTGGGCCCCCACTTCCGGGCCGAAAAGCGCAAACTTTTGGCCAATCGCTTATCAAAATTATGGATGAATGCAAGAACAGAAGCAACTGGCACGAGCACTGAAGGTTACACACATATTTTCATTGCAAAATTACTAAAAATAAGTATGATTTTAATATGAGTTCTCACTGTTTTATTTTTGATTTGTACGTGAAAGTGCAGAGTGCCGAAAACACTTCAGGGAAAACAGACTGCCATTTAATTCGTATGCCCCAAATGAAAGCCATAGTCCAGCTCCCTCTCTATCCATTCCATTTGCTTTAGGGGATGCTGCCTTTCTTTTCAGCTCTTGAATAATTAAGGTGCTGCAAGCCTGCCAGCCGCCAGAGGAGCTTAGGGAGCAACATTTGCTGGTGGACATATCCACCTTTCGGGACAACAAGCATTAAGGCATCCCTGAAATAGGACCCTGCTGGGAGATCGAATCCAATAGGTCTTCAAGGCAAAAACTTTGCCAGCTGCTGCGAAAACTTTTCAAGTGCTTACACGCATAGTTTTTCCGGCATAGTGGCCCCCATGTGAGTAGCCCTCTCGAAAATTATACAACTTTAGAGTGGGGAACTTTGACTGTTGCTTGCAGCACACACACGAATCAAGAGCACTTCAAACGCAATTCAATTCGAGCTTTAATCAATTTTTTGGGCCTTAATCAATGTTTTCGGAATATTTTCCCATCCAAAATCAAATCATAGCATCAATTTACCCTTCGATTCATGGGTAGAACTCTTACTGCAAGTACTCATGTACCCAGAGTGCTACCCTGTGGCATGGTTTTGTCAATTTTGAGTTGAAATTGTTTGCAATATTTATGAGTCCCCCTAGAACGCCCCACGTTGATTCGTTGTCGCATTTGTCGTGTGTCAGCCACAAGCGACCCAAAAACCCCACCAGCAAGCGTCTACACATTTGCGGATATATGGTAGGGGCATGTAGGGGAGGAGTGCGACTCTATGTAAAAAATATAATATAAACAGAGAGAGGGCCCTGACATTTTTATGGCGTTTAATAATGCATTTGTCTTAGAACCATTTGCTGGACTCGTCGTCCACCGATGCATCGATGGGTTTGGGTTTGGGTTTAGGTGGGGGCGAATGTGGAACAACAAATGGCATTTGGGAAATGCAATTTTCATCCAGAGAGAACATTCAATTCCAATTCCAAAGACCATGAAAAACACACTCAAACAAATGCACGAAAAGAGGGGAAGATGTGCAATGCAAATTGAAATACCAATGAAAATAAATGTACAATAAATCCAGCATCCAATATTACCCTTTGGATGAACAACAGAGAGCCTTAGCCTCTAAATATTTCTTCAATCAAACATTTACCATTGAAATTCTTGGGTTGAAGGAAACATTCCGTCGAGGAAACGTTCGTGCCATGCCCCACAGAAGACCACTCGAGTGGAAGGAAGCGAAACTCAAGCGACAACAAAAAGAGTCACTCAATGTTAATACTTTTCCTCTCTCTTTTTATTTTATTTTATTTTATTTTTATTTTTGTTCGTGTCCAGTGAAAAAAGTGGCTTCAATGTCAAAAGTTTCACAGGCAACAAAATAGAAAAGCCGTCCAAAGAATTTTCCTGTGCAATTCCCCAGAACTCACTTTATTATTATTGCCCCAACGGGCTGGGCTCTTGGGGCTTGGGGCAACAAAATAAAATGCCAGAATTAATTAAAATTCATAATTAGTTGCATTTTTGCCCCACGACTCGACTGCGGTGCAGAGCTCACGACAAGAGCTAATCCTCACAGCCCCTGGGCTGTGGACCATGGAGCCCGCACAGTGGGAACAAAAGCGTCAGCAACAGCGTATCCTTTCGCTTATGGGACATTTGTACAGCAACAGCAAACGTCACTCTGTGGAAAAGTATCCCATTTCCATTCCAGATTAAAGGAACTTTAAGGCTTTAAGCCATTTCTGCATTCGGTGTAATTGCTTCCATTCCATTTGCCACTCTCTCCCCATATCCACTGTGCCTTGTTTCACGTCAATTCTCATTTCGCAGTTTATTTGTTTTGCAAAAACTTGCGTCCTGGGCTGGGTCCTGGTGGCAAGGATTAAGCCTGCGAGTACTATAATGAGTTGGCTCCATCGTGTCGGCATTCAACCGCAGCTGTTTCTCTCCCCCCCTCCTCATGCGGGCACACACTTGTTGAACTTTCTGCTGTTTGTGTTCAGAGGATGAGGCGGGAATAATTGAAAATACATTTTCCGTGGCAGAGCCACACTCGATCCGCATCCTTATCCCCAGTATCCAAGTGGAAAATCAATGCAAAAATCACATGATGCATGGACACGTGGGCGCTCCTCGGTTGGGTGGTGTGGGTTGGGTTGCGGCTTGGCGGTTTTGGGGTGCTGGGGTGTGGAATGACACTTAACCTTTTCTCTTTTTGGCATTGACATTGAGAGTTTCCGTAGCCGTCGCCGTCGCCGATGCCGACGCCTTCTCTTTGTCAACAGTGCCCCACACCTGCCCCAAGCAGGCCGCACCCGCACTTGCTGCACCATTCGATGTGTAGCCAGCCCCAAAAGGGGAACACAAACCCCTCTTTTTACAGTCTGAAGATCTTTCCAGATCGTATATCCACATTCACGTGCGACTGGCACGGAATCGCCTTAAAAATTTCCCATAAGCGATAGGATACATTCGGCCTCAACTCTTTTGATTCGTGCATCTATGGACAAGTGTATTCCATGACTCGACCTTGCCCTTGCCCTTTTCTGGCCTTCTGCCACACACACACACACACACACTTCTGTTGGTGCCACGCTGCCACACTCTGGTCCTCTGAGGTGTGTCTGTGTGTGGCAGAGTGACTAAAAATAGTTGCATTTGTTATCCTTTGTTTGGGGACTTGGGCTCTCAGCGCCCAGAGGGCAGAGTGTCGAAACCGCAGAATGGTTCAACAAAAAGGTGCAACGAAATTTGATTAGTCCCTGCAGCCTTTGTTTCCTTGGGTTATCCTCCAATTAAAAAGTCCCACGCTTTAAGCCACTAATTGTTGATTCCAGCCCAGTCTTGGCCATAAAAAATCAATTTCCCCTAAACAAAATAAGAAAAATTCCGAATTTCGCGCTTTCTTTTGCTTTAATTAAAAGCAAACATTTTGTCGCAAGAGAGAGGGAGAGAGAGAGCGCGCCATAAGATAATGAAAGTTTGGCCAAGTTAACTAACCAAGAAGCCATCTCTTCTACGTCCACCCTCCAATTCCCCACTCCGTGTCCGCAGCCCTTGCAACAATACCAAGAAATGGTGGAACGTGGCTTCAACGATTCAAGGATTTATACGCAATTTGCATGCAAATCAGGTTGGTTACGGCCCCAAAGTGGGAGGCCAGGATTAAGGCACTTTGACTGAGATTTATTGTCCAGCAAGAACGGCGGCAGTGGACATGGCTACACACACGATGGACTGGGAGGCTCCACTTGTAGTTGGACTCTTGGCAAATCCACGGCAAATTAAATGGCAAATTCCGAAGCCTTAATCGAATTGGAAACACCCTAAAATGGCAATCAAAAAGCCTATAGGGGTCCTTTGGCAGGCATAATAATAATAATCTGCAAATGGAACTCCAATAAAAATTGGCTCTATTTGCGAATAATAAGTGCTAACATTTATGGAAGTTTTTATTTTTAGAATCATTAATAAATGTTTTGATGATACATATATGTTATCTGTGATATATAGGATATCATTAAAGATCTTCCTCAGCTTTCGGTGGAATATACAGCAACAGCGATTACTTTATTTCCACAATTTTAATAACATTTTTCCTTAGTCTCTGGCAAAGTTCTTCCTCATTAATACCCAAAATCTTCATCAATTTATTATCATTCCCCGGGAAAGTACGAATACCCCAGGCACACAGGCCCCCACGTCTGAAGGATGGAAGCGAAAGGCGATTAAAGCCGAAACCCAGAACCAGATATGGGGGCCACATGGACATTAATTATGAGCAAGGAAATGAAAAGATAAATGAATGACCGAGCCCCAAGAGCACAATCTCCCTTGGTCCACCGCTTCGCTCCGCTAGCCATGGTACATGGGTCCTGCCGGGGGGTTACATAAAAATATATTGTATGTCCTTACCTTGGGTGAAAAATAATAGATTGAACGATGACAACGTTAGCACGGAGCTGGACGTGGACGACATGCTTCCATATTACGCTTTACATAAGCGTTGGTGTTCCCGTTACCGTGCCGTTCCCGTTTCCGCTGTGTTACGTTTGTCCGCCCGTCGTTTGCCTTTACTTTATCGTTGCACGCACCAGTCTGCCGTCTGCTGCCGCCGCTCCTCCGCTCTGCAGGACTCGGCGCTCTCTCCACTCCTCCGCTCTCAGACAAAGCCGGCTTACCAACAACAACAACAACAAAAAACAACAAAAAAAATGGAAAATAACAGAGCACAAAAAAAAGCAAGAGAACGTAACGGAAATGAAACAACAACAGAAAAGTAACGGCGACGCCGCCGCCAAAGGCAGTTTGTGCTCTCCTCTCCTTCACCACCTTCCTCGCCTCTTAGTCTGGTTCTTTCACAGTTTCTGGTCTTGGGTGCCCAGGCGGTCGGTTTGTTGTTGCCGCTGTGACTCCTTTTGACGTAACTCCTCCGCAATGCCGCTCCGCCTCACTCTTTTGTTCTGGCACACTTTTAGATGATTTCTGCACTAAAACTATTGTTCTTCGTTTCTATTTTTATGGCAAAAAAAAAAGCACGCACACGTTAGATTACTCTGCTTAACTACATTTAATTTGTTGCAAATCGAAGTGCGAGTGCGGGGAGTCACACTCTGGTGCGCGACGGTCGTTCTCTTTGTTACAGTTAAAGGTCACAATACAGGGACAACAAAATAATAAACTTAGCCTCAGATACGAAAATACAGCAACTGTTTCTGTCTGTTGGTTAATAAATACGTTAATACGCTAGAACACGACCGTCAGCGCCGAACTTTGTTTGGATTTTGATTGAAATATTGAAGGAATGACTGCTTGACTGCTCACAACTGCTGCGCGAAACTGAGCATCGTGCTCGCGTTTGCTTTGCCCAGAGGATGAAACTTTCTCTTTCCTCCCGCTGCTCCATGCCTGGCTTTCGGCTTCCTTCCTTGTTTTTTTTTTTTTTCGGCGAACTGAACACGCTTGCTTCGGCAATCGCCAATGCCAATGTGTGCGAGTGGGTGGGTGGGAGGTAGAGCATATAGCCTGCTGGTACCACCTCCCCTTATGCCGCACTCCGATGCGAATGCTTTTGGTTGTGCAACTCTGGGGCCGCCTGGAACTGTGTTCAACTGTAATTTTACCTTGGCAGGCGTACGAGAGAAGATGAACTCCACTCCCCCCCAATCCCACGCACACACACACCTATTGAACAGCTGTCTGTCGCATCTCACGGGCGCGGAACAGAGAGGACAGACGCCAGAAAACGACAAGTTCGCTGAACCCGCGGCAAATAACGGGGATTCTGTGGCCAGTGTTGTGTACTGCTCTACATAAATGCAAGCCGCTATGTTTTATGCATGGCATTTATTATAAATTTAGTCTGTTTCCAAATGCATTTGATTTAATATTAAGTTACAATTTACACTTAAAATACATGATGTGTACACTCCACGGTAGGATGGGGTCACCAATCGAATGGTGGGGGAGGGTTATACACTAGAACACTGAAATGCATCGCTTGCAAAGCCCGCACCGCACAAAGAGAATTTCGACATTTTGCTAAAATTAAAACAAACTATATACCGACAATTTGGTATGGAAGATACTCCGAACGGTACATCATCATTGGAGTACATGTACAATATAATTATTCTAGTATTTCTGGCGTTCGTTTGGAAATGATTGCATTCGAATATTGTCGATCCTCGTGTTTGGCAGTCGCGTGCCAGGAGTGATTAAAATTTACAAAAAAATATACTTATATAGTGACCCTCCTCATTCTCCTCTTCGTCACTCTCACACATACAATTTCTCTTTCAGTGTCTTTCTGCCTGTTTCTGTCTCTGTGCTAGCGACGCTTTTTGACGCGTTCAATGTATTTGGTTTTGTTAAGGGCACGATTGCCGGCATTGGGATCCATCATGCGCTTCCAATCGGTCTGCCCCACCACAAAGCCAATGGCACGCATCTTGTCCTGGGCGCGTTTCTCCTCGATGTCTGCCCAGCGCACCTGAAATGGATAGGACAATGAGTAAAGTATTCTTGTAAAAGATGGCTTGCATTTGAGTCAGATCTCCAGCTACTACTATACATATATACTCATTATATTCTTCATCCGTTTGAGGGATTATTTCATATACATATTAAATATCTAAATGGTATCCACAGATCTCAAAAAGCTTTCTTGTTTAACATCGAATTTACTTTTAGTTTCAGGAATCAATTCTTATAACCAATATCTATCTTTCTTTTAAGTTTTATTACAATCGTATAATGATTTCGGCTAGAAAAAATATCCAACAAAAGGGAATACCTTACCATACACCTAATTATTCAATATCTTTTTTTCTTCAAATCCAATTTAAATGAAACTTTAGGAATCACTTCCTATATCCAATATCTAACTATCCTTTAAGTTTCGTTACAATCGTTCGATAAAAACCCTTCAAAAAAAACATTGCACAAAATGCTAAATTCGCAAAGAGTGAGAAAAAGAGACAGCACTATCCACTATTTCTATCTCTTTTCTTTTAGTGTTTAGGTAATTTTCTACGACTTTTTTTATCCACAACTCACTCGCTTCTTGCCATCGACTGAGGTCTTGGGTGGCTCCCAGTCGTCCAGCTGCAGATATTCGGCCATGCTGGCGGTCTTGCTTTTCTTCAGGATGCGCATTGTGCCGTCCAGACGTGCTACAAGAACAATAATCAGTGAAGAGATCCCGACTAAAGTGAAGAGTATAAGGTAGCAGGACTTACCTAGATTATCCTCGGTGGTGTCGCTTTCCCACTTGCTTTTCAAATTGCCAAACTGCACGGAACCACACGGAACCACCGATTGAATAAAGGAGTAGAGGAAGGGGAGAACGTGGAGAAATTTCTGTTTTCTTTTTTGTTTGCTTGTATCCCCCCAATAACACCAAAACCCCACACTGGTTTTTTTTGTATTGTTTAACACTTACATCGTAGCAGATATCATCACCGTTGCTGTCATCTGTCGTTCCATCGACAGTGCCGGCGGCTGTGGAAGCGGAGCCGGAGGAGGCGGCGGCCACAACATCCGCATCCCCAGTGGCTGCTGCCTTGGTGGCGGCATTCGAAGCAGTGTCCTCACTATAGGCATTATCATCCTGAAATAAATGAAGCCGCCATAAATCAACAAAACGTTCGCATCGTTCGTGTTTTCAGCCTTTTTGCAGAAGTTGCCTTTACTAAAGAGCTTAATCATAGGATCATTTCATTGATAGGTTTTTGCTATAGATCTACAGTGAATTTTTCGATGATGTGTCGCTTTCGCTTGAGAACTTATGTGCTAGAATCTTGGCGATACAGAGCGCATACCCATATCGGTATCATAGTAATTCATAATTAATAATTCATTAATAATCATTGCATTTGCACATATGCCAGAGAACAAAACTTACGTCTAAGAGCATCTATCTCTAAATTATAATCTTTCCGTTCAACTTTCGACAGAAAGGCCAGAGTAAAGGTTAAAATTGTTTTGCTTTGAGTATTCATATATGACTAGATTGAGCGAGAGGCGACGACGACGGCGGTGGCGAGAGCCTCGCGGGCACTGGCCTGCAGCGCCTGTAGCCTGACGCCACATATGTCGGATACATAGTGTGGTTACAGGCTACAGGCGGCACAGGCCAGTGACCAACAGGCTCACGCCCCGTCCGAGTGTGCAGGGGGCGGCGGGAATCATACCGATTCCCATTCCCATTCCCACACCATTCCCGTTCAACGGGAGAGAACCGCATCTCGATTCTAGGGCATAGTTACCGTTGCCATATTCTCAACATCTTCCATCTCGACCACATTCTCCAGCAGCGTAGCCACGTCCAGTTTGATGTAGTGCAGCGGCGTCTCGTTCCAGTTAGCCAGCGCTAGCTGGATCTCCTCTACGGTGCGCTTGTGCGCATTGCGTCCCAGACAAGTCTCCACATCGCACCACAGATCCACAATGTACGGCTACAAAAGAAGATTTATTGAATATATACAGATACCGGCATGTAGATAGATAGAAAGATAGAAGGTTGTTTGTTTCGCACAACTCACCACAAAAATCGAGTCCTTTGCATTGCAGTAGAACTCGTTGAGTGTGCGCAGCGAATTGTTATTACAGTCAACAATTATAAAGTCGTACAGATTATCGCTGAGCGTCTTCTTGAACGATTTGATCAGGTATTGCATGTAGGTCTCCTCCATGGTCTCGTCGTACTCGTAGAGTAGCTCCTTTTTGGGTATCTGTCGGGCATAAAGTAAAACGGAATGAAATACCTCTCGAGTTCCATATCTCGAGCTCTCACTCACCTTCTTTCCCGTCTTGGGGCACTTCTCCTCGTAGTCATTCTCAATTATAAAGTAATCATCGATGCTGAGTATACGCGGTGTGGTGCCGCCCATTTCCAGCTCCTTCTCCTTGATGAGGCGTGCCACAAACGACTTGCCGCTGCCCGGTGGACCGCGTATTACAACACAGATACGCTTGGGACGCGTCAGGCGGCCGGGCGGCAATAAAATCTCATCAATCGAGATGGTATTGCGATTCTCATTCGTGGGCACACTCATCTCTAAATGTGGGGCCGGTACATGGCCAGCGGGCACATCCTCATTGGCCTTTGCCTGCGAGGGAAACAGAGATTGTGGCGCCGGAGGAGCAACCTCTGATGGCGACGACGACGGCAGTGGTTCCGCTTTCACTTTCAATGGGCTCTCGCCCAGCATGCGCCGCTGCGGATTGGCGGGGAAGGCCTTCTTGAAGGGTTCTGCACCGGAAGAGACGCTGTTCAAAATGTGCATCGATGGCGGCGACGGCAGTGAATCATCATCGCGCATTTCTGCCAGATTACTGCAAGGATTCAAAACAGAAAGGATTCACATTAGTCACTCAATTCACGTCTAACGTGACAGTGGCTCGTGGACTTTGGGACTTACTCTTCAGCATCGGATATATCCTCGAGATCATCGAACTGTTTGGCATTGTTTTGCCCCTGCGGCCCATGTGTCTAGGGGGAAGGATTACAAGCGGATTAGATATCGAATCAAAGGACGACTCCCCACGTGGTGTGGAGGGCGCTTGGGCTTACCTGCTGATCGCTCTCTTCGGGCGGAACCGCTTGAAGCTGACGATTCTGATGCATTTGCAGGCGCTCCTGCAGGCGCAGCTGTTTCTTTCTTTTTTTATTACGCTGTTTTAAGGTATTTTGATTCTGAACGGATCCGGGTGCGGATCCGGGTCCGGCTGCGATTCCAGCTGCCGCTCCGGCTGCTGCTACTCCACCTAAAACTCCTGGTCCTCCTCCTCGTTCCATCCCCATTCCATGTGACGCTCCGCCGCGTCCACCTCCGCGTGCGCCTCCTCGTCCAGGTCCCATTCTTCCACCAGCTGGGCCATAGCCATTGTTTGAGGCATGTCCATACTCAAAGGTTTTCAGTGGCCGAAATTCGGGCAGGCCATCGCCAGAGGCTGGGGCAGCGCCTCCTCCCGATGTGACCGATTTGTGGCCATAGTCGATGACCTTGGGGGCGGGCGTCTTGTTCTGGTAGTCGAACACCTTCATGGGACGATGCACGGGCTGGTCGTCGCCGTCCTCGTTTGTCTCCACACGTGGAAGAGAATGAGGGTGGAACGGCGGCCCCTGTGGCTGTGGATGTTGCGGCGGCTCCGGTCTGCAACGTGGGGGCAACGTGGTTTGTAAGAGGTGGCAGGCGTAGGGTGGTGGAAAGGACGCAGTGGCGTGGTCGGTATTGTCGGTATCAAATATCGGTATTTGTTGCAGTATTTTTAACGGTATTTTACGATATTTCGGTTGGTATTGTTTAGTCGTTCGATTTTTCATGGATTCGATTATCGATTATTTTCAATATTTTGAATTGATTTTTGTTTCGTTTTTTGAGGTTTTTTTTTCAATGTTTCAAAAACCAAAAGAAAAACACTTGAACTTTTACTTCTCTTTGAAATTTACCAAAAAAAAAAACGTATTGAAGATGTGCGGGGTGGGTTGGGCATGGTGGGGCCGGTTGTGAACGTGGTGGGGGCAGGGGAGGTGGGTCATAGTTCAGAGGTCCTAAGTTTCACACAGAATATAGCACGGACAAAAAGGGGGGAAAAAGCCTCACTCTATTCAGAGATTTAAAATTCGGACTTTCGGTGGATATTTTCGCGCCCCCCCCCCCCCAGCCCATACAGAGAATTTATATGTATATCGATAATTAATCGGAAAACTTGACAACTCTTTGGAGAGAATCTTTTGAGAGGAGGAATGGCATCTCATTACACCATGAGGTATCCTTATATTCCATTAATCAGCGGACAAGCAATACATATCTTATGTACATATCGTACATTTTATTTATTTCTTTATTTATTTCTTTAAAACTTTCGAATTTTGAGGCATACAGTGCGTTTCAATGGTGTATGTATATAAGGGGGACATCATATGGCTTATACAATATAGTTTTACAATATTTTACAGCTTATCGACTCTTTTGTTGGTCAGTCATCGAATATTGAGCTAACTATCGATAGCTACCGATACAACAATTTTAGCATGTTAGATTTAGAGAGATAGACAGAGAGTGAGAAAGAGTTATCGACAATAAAATCCATATCATTAATCGATTTATGTTTATAATTGATCGAGCAACGATTGAATTTATCGAACGGTTATCGAAACGTATTTATACGTATATGTACGTCTTTTATATCCAATAAAAAAGAATAAATACGGTATATATTGTGGATTGAATTACATATATGTATATCTTTTAGCTATCGAACAAAAACAATGTTCAATTATCTTAATGATTAATCGATCCATCTATTATCATCTATCATATATCGTTAATAAAAAAAAATTCAATATTGGTCTCACAATACTTAATAATGTGACATATTTCAAGCGCTATCTGTATTTATGGTTTATGTTTTGCTGTTCTGATCAATCATTTAGAAAAGTTCTTCTACTGAATAAGGATTCTACTATTCCTAGCGACTATCAAACGCACTGCACACCCCACTGTACACGTCTCTTTTTTTTTTTTGTAGTTTTTCTTAAAACATCAGACCGACCCCCAGACGACAATGGACACTGGTAACTGGAAACTTCTGCTATTGATCATCTTTATATACACATTGATCTGTCAGTGATCCCTCATTAGATGGGCACAACACAACGAACGGACTGACTGACTCGATATCGAACATTTCTCTCTGGTGTTCTTTTAGGTGTGTCTGAGTATGTTTAAGTCCAACCTCCAACATTGATTTAATTTGATCTTCATTTATTGGTATATATATAATATATCATTTTCGACTTATACAACTTTCAATTCTACTAAAAGAATACATCATGATCTTAACGTTCAAAAACTTCGATTCAGAATTAGAGAGAGAGAGTGAAGAAAGAGAGAGTCAAAGGAGAGGGAAAAATGTTCTGAGGAAACGAACAAAAAAAAACAACTAAATTTAACAAAGCGGAAATATTACAAAGAAAATAAAAATGTTTCATAAGCCAATTCATTTTGGATGTAAATTTTGTTATTTTTTGGGAGCAACGAACTTTTTCAGTTGTTTTGTTTTGCATTTTTAAGGACATGATTGAGCTCTAGATCTCTGTTCCTGGTTTTTTTTTTGGGCGATGTGTACATGGTGTGGGTGTGTTCTTATTTGCTGAATTAATCTACTATATCTCTATATAGTGCTATGTTTTATCGATGCATAAGTAGTAGAGGAAGCTCTGAGGCTGAGGCTACGGCTGGGGGTTCAGAGGAGCAGAGAGAGACCTGATCCTCTGGTGCCACTGGATCCACCATCCCAGTGCCGCTTCTTCACTGCTTCCTTCTCTAATACTCTCTTTCCTACTCAGATCCTGCGCTGCTTCTGCTGCTGTTGAACGTTTCTATTGGTCCTGTTTTTGAATTTAGCTTGGACTTGACCGCTGCTCAGACCACGCGGACACCACAAGACACCATTCATTCATCGTATGTGATCGTATGGGATCGTATGGGATCATGGATTTATGCATCGATCGATCGATTCACCCACCACCACCACATATCAATACCATAAATATATATATATATTTTTTTTTTCGTTTGTATTTTGTGTTTTGTTTTTGGTATTTTTAACAAAAGTTTTGTGTGGTATTTTTTTGTTATTTTTTTTTGTTTTCGTTTCGTATTTCGGATATTTTTTATATTTTTTATCAGTTGCATAGAAGTAGAAGAGAAGAAGAGAAAACGGGTATGGAATATAAATTCCAGCATTAACGATAACTCGAAAAAAACACATCGCCTGCACATAATCTACATAAAGAATTTTTTGGGGAAAAAAGAGAGACGAGAGAGAGCAACAAACAGACAGAGAAAGAGCGACAGGGAGGGGTGGGCGGAGAAGGTAAAAGATGAAGGACGAGCAGAGACGACAAATATCGACGGGGACTCGTCGGACGATGGTGAGGGGAGGGATGATGGGAGGGAAGATCTCAATAAAAACGCATGATATATACATATCTAGTATTTATGCGTAAATAAAACAAGTACTTAAGTCTGGTATTTTCTAGTATTTTTCGGAATAAACTACTATTTAAGTGTAGTATTTATATAGTATTTTTTGGAATAAACTAATAGTTAGATGTGGTATTTATCTGGTATTTTTCGGATTAAACTAGTATTTAACTGGTATTTATTCGGAATAAACTTGTATTTGATGATCGGACAAATATGACTAGATATTTTCTAAATTTGAGAAAAATTCGATTTTCCCAAGGAGGCATTCCGTTTTAAGTGTGGAGCGTCCTGCAGCAGCGACCCTCGGTCGATTATTGCATTACTGCCTGAGACTCACGAGTTAGAAGACTTTGATGAAGGAAATCGTAGCTTTATACATGGGAAAACAGCACTTTCTCTGAGCCAATGTTTCGAGCTATTCTCAAACATCGATTTCAATGGTGAAGGAAAGTAATTCATAAAATTTCTTACAAATTATAGGATGGACAAAACACCCCACAAAAATTTCTACAGGAGATGCAAGGGGAGATTCCTTAAACGTTTAAACAGAGAGAGATTTAGCGGACAGACAGTCTGTCGGCAAGGGAGAGGGATATCCCTTTGGCCCATTTTCTTGGGGGCATTTTCTTTAGCATTTTTGCTTTTTCGCACAAGAGATCAAAGTATTCTGGTGTTTTGATTTTGCGTTAAAAGAAGAGTTATTCATAAAAGTGTTAGGAGTTTCAGAGAGTTCTGTTTTTGGACACATACCCGTCATCCCATGGCTTCCGATTTCCAAAGTTCATCATGTTTCCGCCTCCGCCTCCGCCTGGTCCCGGTCCTGGTCCAAAGTTTCGACGATTGCGCGGAGGACCTCCTCCCATGTCCTCGTCAAAGTTGGGCATCGGGGGACCGGAGCTGCGCCGGAATGGATTATCACTATTATTGGGATTATTGGGTGGACCACCGCCTCCTCCTCCGAAGTTGGGTCCTCCTCCAAAGTTGGGTCCAGGACCATCGAAAGGCCCTCCAGGACCAGGGCCACCAAAGCCGAAGGGATTAAACGGTCCCGAGTCGGGGCCACATCCATGACCAGGTCCAGGGCCAGGTCCACGGAATTTCGGACCAAAATTGGGTCCTGGTCCGGGTCCACCGCCGCCGCGATTGTGGGGTCCGAAATTGGGTCCGAAGTTGGGACCAAAGTTCGGGCCATTTGGTCCATTGTTGGGACCGAAATTGGGCCTAAAGTTGGGGCCATTGGGACCAAAGTTGGGTCCTCCAGGGCCAAAGGGTGGGCCACCGTTTGGACCAAAATTGCGGCCGCCATTGGGGCCAAAGTTGGGACCGGGTCCGGGTCCGAAATTCCTGCCATTTGGCCCAAAGCCGGGACCATTTCCATCAAAATTGTTGCTGAAGTCCGTGAAATTATCGCCCGGCACCTGTCCGGGTCCAAATTGATTCATTTGATTGGGACCAAAGGGCCCGTGAGCATCACGAAAGCCAGGACCTGGACCACCGGGATGAGGACCGAGACCGGGCCCACCACCAGGACCATCACCAGCAAATCCACGATGGAGCCGCGAGTGCTGCTGCTCATCCATGTCCGTGGGTCCACGACTGCGGCTGCGTGAGTCGACGGCTTCGACGCTATCGCGACTCATCATCGACTCCCTGGAGTCCTGCGAGAGCTTGTCCACATTCCCAGGCGATTGAGACTGCGAATGGGAGTGGACCTTCTTCTTGCGCTGCCATTCGGCAAAGGACAGGGGCCGTCCCTTGTTGGCGGCGCCTCCTCCTGCTGCACTTGCATCCGCTGCATCGTTGGCTCCTGCTCCGCCCTGTTGATCGCTCAACCGCTCCTGGGCCTTGGCCACTGCCTGGGTGAGATTATTGATGAAATCGGGATCCTTGAGGGCGTTGGACACATTCGCTGGCAGAGATTCATCCGCCGTCTTTTTGCTGTCGGCGGTGGCGGCCACAGCAGGGGGTGCTCCTCCTTCTTTGACGGGTGTCCCTTCGGCAGCCACACCGGCTGCCTGATCCCCAGGGTTCTTGATCACCACATCGAACAGCGATGGTATCTTCTTGCTGTCATCAGTGGCGGCGGCTCCGCCTCCGGCGACGCCCGGCTTAGCTCCCTCCTCGACCAGATCGAGGCCAGGGATGCCATCGCTCTTCTTGAAGATATTCGTCATGGGTGTGTCCACCAGCTCCGGCTCTGGCTCGGGCTCATCGTCGTCATCGTCCAGTGAAATGGTGAGAATATCCTCCACTTTGGTTTGCTTCGCCGGCGTGGAGGTGGCAGCGGCACCCTCGAACCGCCGCTTGCCAAGAATATTCGTTGGTCCAGGTCCCGGAGCAGGCTCAGGTTTGCTCTTCTGGTGCTGCTGCTGCTGTTCCAGTGGCTTTTTGGGCGACAACTGCTTCTGTGGATCTGCAGTCTTTTGCTCCATGGGAGGCTCCACGATATCCCGGCGCATAGGCGGCGGCGGCTGCTGCTGCTGCTGCTGCAGCTGGTGCTCCTTAAGAGGTTCCTGCTCGCGATGCTGCTCGTGATTTCCGCCTGGGAATGGACCAGGGCCAGGACCATGTCTGCCTCCAAAGCCAGGTCTGCCGCCAGGACCAGGACCAGGTCCAGATCCAGGACCACTCCGATTGGGACCTCCATCAAAGGCCGGTCCAGGGCCTCGTCCTCCAAAGGGACCTCCCCTCTCAAAAGTAGGGCCTGGTCCCGGTCCCGGTCCATGTCCCTGTCCATCCATTGCAGGATCACCTCTGTTTGGACCCTCAAAGGACCCGGACCCACGGAAGCGTGCTGCTCCGTCTTCAATCTCTTCGATGGGATCCTTGCTGGCCATTGGTCCGGCTGGTGGACCATCTGGAACAGCGCCAGGTCCTGGGCCGCCTCCTCCTCCAGCACCCTCTTGAGCCTGACGGCGACGTCGCATCTGCTCGCGTCGCTCGGCAATGCGACGCCGCTGCTTCTCAAATTCCTCCTCGTAGCGGCGGTACTCATCGCGATCCGGATGATTGGCATTGGCCCGTTTCCAGTCCTCGAACTGCTGCTCCCACTGATCGAACAGCCGATCGAAGCTTGCCTCGTCCAGATCTGGCCCGGCCGGGGCTCCTCCTCCGCCACGTGGATGCTGTTGCTGTGGATTGTTGTTGTTGTTGTTCCTTGGGCCAAAGTTGCCACGATTCTGGCCACCACCGTTGCCATCGTTGCTGTTGCTGCTGTGGCCTCCTCTCTCGTCGTTATATCCCTGATTATCCCAGCGTCCCGCTTTGTTGTTGTTGTTGTTGTTTGGCGGTGGACCACGGCGATTGTTGGCCCCAAAATTGTTGCCAAAATTACTAGAATTATCGGATCCTTCAGTGACTCCTCCGCCTCCGCCTCCGCCACCTCCACTTCCAGCGCCATAGCTGTTGTTGTTAATAAAGTTCGAGCCTCCTCCGCCGCCGCCTCCCCCGCCCCCGGGACTATTACCAAAGTTTCCAGAGTTTCCACCGCCACCGGTATTGCCAGCAATTGATCGTCCAGGTGCTCCTCCGCGACCACTGAATCCTTCTTGATTTGAGCCAAATTCCTGGCCAGAATTCTGAGTAAAAGGATTGTTGCCACGTGCCGGGGGAGGGCCATCGCCTACTGCGCCTCCTCCCTGCTGTCCTGGTCCATCGCTCCAGCCCTTGCGCTGGAAGTTATTGTTCGGTTTATTCCCTGCATGGCGCTGCTCCATATCCGGATTATTCGTGGACCAGCGATTCATCCGCTGGTTGCTGTTGCTGCCCGGCGGCGGCTGCTCCTGCTGCTGCTTGTCCATAGATGGGGGTGGTGGTCCGTCCCAGCGTCCTCGATTTGTCTCAGCAGCAGGCGGTGGCGGTCCGCTCCAACGATTGTTGCCATCGCCACCCTGCGGTGGCGGCGGTCCGTCCCAGCGACGGTTTGCATCGGCGGCAGGTGGCGGCGGTCCGGAATTCCAGCGATTCCCAGCATTCACTCCCGATGGTGGCGGTCCCTCCCATCTGCCTGGTCCTACAGGACCTGGACCTGGACCTGGACCCGGACCAGGTCCGGCCCCATCTTTGGGCCCCTCCCAGCATGGTGCATTACGTGGCGGCGGCTGATGCTGCGGATGCTGTGGATGCTGCGGATGATGTGGATGCTGCGGATGCTGGTTCCATTGATTCTCCATGGGATTGGGCGGCAGCTGGCGCAACTTGGGGTCTCCACCCATAAAGGCAGGCGGCGGCTGCTGCAGATTGGGAAAGGGATTCATGTTGCCCTGCATCTCGTTGGGATTGGCACCCATGGGCGGCTGACTGTAGCCTCCCATCTGTGGCTGTGGCATTTGGTTGTAGCGAGCCGCCGGCGGCGGTTGCTGGAGATGCTGCTGTTGCGGCGCCGTCTGGGCAGCGGGCCACATATTGGGATGCTGATGCTGCTGGTGCTGCGGCGGCTGCTGCATGTAGCCTCCGGGATTGGCGTTCTTCTGCGGTGGCGGCGGCGGCGGCTGACTGTACATTTGCGGCTGGGCCATAATCTTGCCCGGCATTCCAGGCCCTTGCGGATTGGGGGGCATTTGAACGGGCACCGGAGCCACCGCCGGTGGAGCCTGGTAGTACGTCTGCTGCGCTGGCGGATAGCCCTGCACTCCCGGCTGTACTGCGACAGCGGCGGGCATCACGACTGCTGCTGCGACGGGGGCTGCAGCCACCGATGGTGTGACGGCGGCAGGAGCGCCGGCCGCGGGATTTGCACCGCCAGCTGCTGCGGCAGCCATCTCCCGTTTGTACTGAAAGAATGCAAGAAAATTAAATAAATTTAGGGCGAGTTATTATGGGGATGGGGATGGGGATGGTACAGGGTGGTACACACCTGCTCGCCGTATTGGGCATGCCACTTGGCGTACTCCTGCTGGTACGTCTGCCACTGATGCCAATGGTGCTGCAGCGCATACTGCTGCTCGGGGGTCATGGCCGCGTACTGGGCAGCCGTGTACTGCTCGTAGGGGTTGGTGGCCGTTTGGCCAGCCGCGCTGTAGGGGTTGGCTCCCAGTGCCGCAGGCATAGCGACTGGCTCAGCGACGGCGGTGGCGGAAACAGCGACGCCGGCGGGCACCACCGGGGCTGCTGTGGACGACTGCTCGACGGGCGGCGGCGGTGGCGGTGCGTCGGGTAGTGGTGGCGGTACCGTGGGCTGCGGCGGTGCAGCCATTGGCACGGCGCCTGGCACCATAGCCGCAGCAGCAGGCCATTGGTTCCACATTCTCACTCCTCTTTTTTTGCACACTTTAGGTCACAAAGAAATGTGTTTTTCGGTATTATTTTGTTGTGTACTGTTTGTATATGTCCTGTCCATATATTTGATTCATCATTAAACTTACCGAGATTTTGTTATTTTATGTAATATGCAGCAAAAAACTAATTTCCGAACTGAAGAAAACGTAAAAATTCCACTCACTTCGCCATTTTTGGCTTGAAAATTAGAGATGTGGAACGGGGTGCTCGATTGCCGCAATACTAATACGATAGCAATAAGCAAGTGATATCGATAGTCATATATTGGGCTATCGTGTTAAAACATACATACCATATATTATTAGTTATTTAGAACATATATTAACTCTTCCACTTGGGAAAATTCCAATAAGTGCCATTATATATTTTCAGGACCATTTTCTTTTTTTAATTTTACAACTTTTTGTATTATACATATGTACAATAAAATCTATCTAATGGCAGTGATACTTATCGGTCATCACTATCGATAGCAGAACTCGACACGTGCTGTCGAAATTGTGTACCTTTTATTTGTGTGAAGAAGACTCGCAATTAAAATGACCGAAACAAATGGAAAGATTAAATATATGGTGGCGGACACCACGGCATTCATCAATGCAGTTCCCCTGAACGTAAATTAAATTAAAAATAATGCTGAAACCAAACCATTAAATCCGTTCGCTTCCAGGAATACGCCGAAAATGTTCTCACTGTGCCCGATGTGGTTGCCGAGGTGCGCAATAAGCGCCAGATACGCCGCCTCTGTGTGCTGCCCTTCGGCATGGAGGTGCGCGAACCGCGCCCTGAGAGCATCAAGCACTGTGTGGAGTTCGCCAAGAAGACGGGCGACTATGCCAGTCTCTCTGGCATCGATCTAAAGGTAATCGCTCTGTCCTACGAGCTGGAGAAGGACAATGTGGGCACAGAGCATCTGCGCACTGAGCCCGTAATGGCCCAGACCATTGCCTCCAAGGAGGAGCCCAAGGAGATGCAGGAGGCCAACAATAAGCGTCTGGTGGGCTGGTTCATGCCCGATGGCGAAGAGGACGAGGAAGATGAGGACGATGATGATGATGAAATGGATGACGATGAGGACGATAATGAGGAGGTGGAGGACACCTCAGTGGATAACGTAAAAGCAGCCATTGAGGCTCAGATCGAGGGCATAGAGCTGCCCACCACAAATACGGAGACAAAAATGGACGACATCTCCGAGGAGGATCTAAAGACGCTTCTGGAGGAGTTAAGTTGCGAGTCCGATGTCCCGGAGTGCGATCAGCTATTGGTCCAGACCAATACAGAAGACGATGAAATGGAGCAGGAGCCGGAACAGCCTTGCTCCAGCAAGTCCAACAGCAATCTGGACGATGACGTGGGCGACGACGGCTGGATCACCCACTCGAACATCAGAAGCGCCAAGAAGGCGCTCGAGGGCAAGGTGGAGTCCGATGCGGTGCCCCTGGTGGCCTGCATGACCACAGATTATGCCATTCAGAATGTGCTCAAGCAGATGAATCTGAATTTGGCCGCCCTCAATGGGCGCATCATCAAGCAGCTGCGCACGTACATCCTCCGCTGCTACGCCTGCTTTAAGACCACCAGCATCATGACCAAAGTCTTTTGCCCGAACTGCGGCAACAAGACGCTGAAGCGCGTCGCCGTCAGCCTGGACGAGAACGGCAAGCAGGTGATCCACATCAATACGCGTCGTCCGCTCACGTCAAAGTACAAGAACCAGAGCCTGCCCAAATTCCAGGGCGGCAAGCATTCCCGTAATCCCATTCTGTTCGAGGACCAGCCCATGCCCCGCCAGATGCCATCACGCGTGGCCAAAACAAAGACAAATGCATTGAACGAGGACTACGTGGCCGGCTACTCGCCATTCGTGCTGCGCGACGTCGACTCCAAGTCAGCCATGCTCCGCTCCAAGGGCAATCTCAAGGAGTGGGCGCGGAACAACAACTTCGAGGAGGATCGCCGTCGCAAGCACTACAATCGTCTCTACAAGTAGAGGGGCGATCAGGGTCAGGGTGGGGTCCGTAGCAATTAAGCTTTCCATTAACATGTTATCAGTGTCTATTTAAAGAGTAAACTCTTCCTACACACAAAACAATTTTGCATTTTAGGTGAGCAGCCGGACAACCAGCTTGGAGCCGTAGGCCGGCAGATTGAGTTCGTATTTGCGCTGCAGGGCTGGCGGCACAAAGCGTCCGCCCAGGTAGTGATGCTCGCCCTTGAAGTGCTTCGCACAGAGCTTGGGAGCCGTCAGGGAGATGAGCAGCTTGGGCTCAATGTCGCAATCGGTCTGCTTGCCCTTCTCCACATCCCAGCCACTGGGTATGTCCACACTAGAGAAAGGGGCGAGTAAGTGTAAGTGAGCAGATAAATGGGCAACTTGCTCCATTCTCACCTGGCTATGGGCAGCTTTGTTTGCTGCATCATGTTCACCAGGGGCACAAAATCTTCGCGTACCGGCGGCTTGAAGCCAAAGCCAAACAGGGCGTCCACAATCAGGTCATAGTCCTCCTCGGCAGCAGCCACTGAGGGGCACTTTTTGACGTTGGGTATCTCCATGTGGTGGCACTGGTTGGTCAGATTCTCGTACAGCGCCAACAGTGTGGGCTTGGGATAGTAAACGGTGGGCTGGTAGCCCATCAAGGACAGATGACGGGCACAGACCAGACCATCGCCACCATTGTTGCCCGGCCCACAGACGATCAACACTCGCGGATGGGTCTGGTCGGGAAAGCACTCGGCCACCGCATCTGCACAGCTCAAACCGGCCAGTTCCATCAGCTGGCCCACATGGAACATCTCGAACAGGTCCAGGTCCAGTTCGATGGCTTCTGCTTGAGTCAGATACTTGACCATGTTTTTGCTGCAAGACTTTTGACGCTTTAATTGTTGTTTTTGTCTCTGCTGTTGATTTTCGATAAGTGCAAAATGCGAAAATGGCAACCGGCTTTGTGTGTTTTTTGCACGCCAAATCAATTGACAAGTCCTTGGGATGCACCCATTCCACCTGAGACATTGCCAGCTAAGCAAGCGCATATTTCCTCATATAAATTAGCACTTAAATAATTAGAAATTAATTTTTAAAATAAATAAACTCAAAATCAGCCTCAGATTATGCAGCTGGACAAAGAAAAATCTATCGATAGCCCTCAGCGATAGTTGCAGGGACAGTCGATGGCCCGCAATTTGAATGAATTTGAAATGGTTAACACACTTTATTCTTAAATCAGGTACACACTAAAACTAGCAAAAGGAATACAATAAAAGGTTCTTTCAGATGACTTCTCTGGCCCGACCATCACCGCCACGACCCCCGCAGGTAAGTTCCTGCTCCCTGTGCTGGGCTAGGAGGTCAGCGCTGGCAAAGTTCAAGCTGCAGGCGCCGCATATGTGCGGCTTGTGGCCGCTGTGACGCTGCTGGTGCATCTCCAGGGTCTGGCGGGTGACGCACGGCTTGTTGCATTGGGCACAGGCATAGGGCCAGAGGTTCTTGTCATGACTGCGCATGTGGGAGGCGAGTCGCTCCCCGTCGGAAAAGCATTTGGAGCACACATCGCAACGGGAGGGTCGCTGCTCGTCGCCGCTGGCGTGCAGGCGCTCGTGCCTCAGCTGGGAGGCATGGGTCCCGAAGCGTTTCTCACAGTGGACGCACTGGAAGCGCCGCTGGCCCTCGTGCACCACCCGCACATGACGAGAGATGGCGCTCTTGTGGCGGAAGAGCTGCGGGCACTGCTGGCACTTGAACTTCTCCCAGCTAGGGTTGTGTATGCGCAGATGGGTGAGCAGCTCCGTCCGCGTCACCTTGGCCACGCCGCAGTGCTCGCAGACGTGCTCCTTGCGCTGGGCATGCCGCTTCAGATGCTCCCCCAGGGCGTTCTTGGTGCTGTACTGCCGGTTGCAGTGTTCGCAGATCAGATGCTGCGCCTCCTCCAATTGCTGCTGCTGGCCAGACCCGCCGCCACCGCCGCCGCTCCCCTGGGACGGATGGGAGTTGCGCATGTGCGAACGGAGCTGTTCATAGCGCGTGAAGGACTTGTCACAGTTGCGGCAGAGGAATGGCTTGGCATGGCCCTGGTGCACGCTGCGGATGTGAGCTTCCAGGTAGGGCAGCTTGTAGACCTGCTTGCCGCACTGGTCGCAGGCCAGGGCTCCCGCTGCTCTCTTGCTGGACGAAACTGAAATCGAGCCGGTGTCGGTTTCCCGTTCGGCTGCATCTACGGATTCATTCTGACTCAGCTGCAGCTGCAGCTCCTCCTCCCCGTCTTCCTCCTCGCTGCCTGGTGGCTCGTCTTTTATCGGAACATCGCTGGGCAGCTGTGGAGAGACGCTAAGAGAGCATTAGTCAAGTGAATGTGTTTGGCAATAACAAGTAAGTATCGTATATCAACCAGCTGCGTTTCCAGGTGATGTGGTGACTGTTGCTGTTGCTGTTCGCCCTCGGCTCCAGCTGCGACGGAGTTCTTGGCCTGTTCTTGGAACAGGGGCGTCAGCTTATCGTTCGACTCTTTGGCGACCTTGCACAGCTCTTCAAAGTACTCAATGGCGTTGTAGCAGAGGGCGCATATCTGCTTGGGAAAGCCTTGGGGCTGCTCCAGCACATCAATGCCGAAGAACTTCTTCAGCATGTGGACCGAACGCGAGTTGAGGTTGTCCAAACTGTGGTCCGAGCGATGCTCCTTGAGCTCGCGCAGTTGACGCAGACAGATGCGACATTGTCGGGCTATATTGGCAATGGTGAACATTACTCAGACGCGGCCAGTTTCGTTGCGCACGGAACGCCCGAAAGGAGTTATCAGCAGACAAAATTTAGTTCTTGGTTCTTCTTCTTCTCCGCGGAATCCAACCAGTGGCCAGTGGGTAGGGGTGGTATTGTTCGCGTTCCCGTCTAGAGCTGGGTAAACAATTATCGATAATAAAACTGCTAGCGATGAGCGGTGACTTCAGTGACATGACTACCGGGTAGCAGTTTTATCAGTTCATATCAAGTGAAACGCAGTTTTTATTTGAGTATATCATATTATATTATGAAATATAAATATTCTGCTTTAGTTTGTCGCCATATTGTCTCTGAGGCTATATGATGTGGAGGAATCTGTTCTGATCGCGCTTCCTCCCTCTCTATACATTTTCCATTGTCATTGTGCAACCTATCTAGAAAAGTGCACGCAATAATTAACTTAGTAGCGACTATTAACGTTTCCACAAGCTTGCACCATTTTTCTGGTAGTTTGTATGCCATTGCACATTCTGAATTTTACCTGTGACTTTACTTACACTCTGACTTTATATCGTTAAGGTATCAATCATCGATATTTATTCCCCTTCGATATCCGTATGGCACTGCCATCTCTCACTTCACCATCGGACCTCGCTTGGCAACTGTGATTTTTAGTGTGATCGTTTTGAAGAATTTCGCAAATAGTTTTTGGTTAATTTGTTTGTAGCTTCTAAAGTAATTTGAACACGATGTCGCTGAATCCCCAGTACGAAGACATTGGCAAGGGCTTTGTCCAGCAGTACTATGCCCTGTTCGACGACCCGGCGAACCGAGCAAGCGTGGTCAATTTCTACAGCGTAAGTTTTTTTGTGTTCGCTTTTGTGGCCTGGACGCTCCAGTTTGTGAAACTTTGCAGAGGTGTCGCTGCAGCAGCGGCAGCAACAATTTTGGAGCAGCTCTCTGCTGCAGCTGCGCCTCCTCTTGGCGCACAGGTGACGTGCGTTGCGCCCTTGAAAATGTGCGCCTCCTCTCGTTCGGCCTCATCCGAGGCGGACACCAAAAAGGGCGCGCAAATGCGGAAAATCCCATATATGAGGCCTGAGCTGATCCAAGGGGGGATGGGGGGTTAAATTGGCCAATGCCTCTTCTCGAATCTTCCCATCGTTCCGGTCCGGTGTGACACATACTTCCAATACACGCGCGCCTACACATATGTACAAAGATATATACATGCTGCAAGACGCGTGTGTTGGGTGTGTGTGTGTGTGTGTGTGTGTGTTTATGTGTACATATGTATGTTGTATGATTTATCATGAAACAATTCTCTTTCAAGGCAACAGAATCCTTCATGACCTTTGAGGGCCATCAAATACAGGGAGCTCCAAAGATATTAGAGAAAGTCCAGGTAAGTCTCCACAGCATACAGTAGTGCTATGTACTTTAGCATCTTTATGAATTGTTTTGTTGTTCCACAGAGCCTGAGTTTTCAAAAGATTACAAGAGTGATAACCGCTGTGGACTCGCAGCCCACCTTCGATGGAGGAGTGCTCATCAATGTCCTCGGACGTCTGCAGGTAAGGCTCCCCAAGGCTTCACAGCACCCCCCAGGCGTGTGGTAGCAATCGAAAGAAGTCTCGGTGCAATTTCGAACATATGTTCGAAAATGTACCGCTACGGCTTCGCCTGCTCGATCAGGGATTTCGCGTTTCGATTGTTTTCGCAATGCCATCCCCCCCGCAATCGTATATATCCCGTATATATATGTGTGTGTATATCGTATATTTCAAATTAAACAAAAATTCAATCAATGGAACAACAACAACAACAACAGACCGACGAGGACCAGCCGCATGCCTACATACAGACCTTTGTGCTGAAGCCCGTCGGCGGTAGTTTCTTTGTGCAGCACGATATCTTTCGGCTATCGCTTCACGATGTGTAGCCCCCCGGGCAGTCGTCCTCCTACCACAACCACAACCACCACCACCAAGCGAGCAATCGGGCACGGGCCAGGCCAAGTAAAAAGAGAAGCGACACTTTTGTTGAGTTTACTGCAAAGAAATCCAAGAATACCTCAACCCACAAACCCAACTAAGACACAAAGCCCGACTCGGAATCCGACTCCGTCTTCGTCTTCGTATCTGAATCTGAGCCTCTAACGTAAATCCGTAACGTAACGAAAGTACATCCTAAGCGTTAACTCTGCTGTTTGTCATTTTGCTGTTGCTGTTTGCGCCATCATCTCCTCCTTCTTCACCTTCTCCTACTGGTCTTCTAATTTTTAATATCCAAAATCCACTACAATCTCGTGATTCGATTCTCTCATAAATTCCCACAATTAACATGATTCACATTTTATTTTGTGCATGATTTTCTTTTTGTGTTGGATTCTAACATTGAGAAAATGCCGGTATACCCCCTAAGGTACACGACGAGTGAGAGCACAAAAAGGGTTTACTCTCTCTCTCTTTCTGTCTGTCTGTCTGTCTGACTGAATCTCGAACATTTTGGCTGGACTTGGACTTCTATAGATCGCCCTTTTCTACTATAAAAATATTCAATTGCCGATTCCCCGACTGTTCTAAGAAATGAAATCAAAACATTTGTAAGCCAGCAAAAGTCTCGAGTGTAGCGGGTATATCTGATGGTCGGAATATGAATCCGGCTTTAGCGTTTTTATTCTGATTGTATTACTCTTTCTCTCTCGTCTTGAACTTTGTTCATGTTTCTCTTTTCTTTGTTCACGCCTTTTAATCGAAATTTAAAACTTTATTGATTAATTAATGATTATTGGGTTTCTACCTTTTGCAGTGCGACGACGATCCCCCGCATGCCTTCTCGCAGGTCTTTACGCTGAAGGCCAATGCGAATTCTTTCTTTGTGGCCCACGATATTTTCCGCTTAAATATACACAATTCTGCATAAGTAATATCCATAAAGACACATAACCACACCATACCCAAAGAAGCGGCAGAACAGACATCATAACGGCACCAATGATCAGCGACACGACAAGGAAAACTCAGCAGGAAAAGCAGAAACTCAACAGCAACTCGGCACGAACGAAAACGAAAATTCAAATTACACGAACAGCTCAACAACACTTCAAAATGCGAGGAATGTCATCAACAACACTACACAACAACAACAACAACAGCATCATAACATCAGTAGAAATGCAACAACAGCAAAATGTGGAGATGGAGCTGTTGGTTTTGTGGCTTTGTTGTTTTTATGCTTTTCATCAAACAACTCAACAACAAAAACAGCAGCTCAACAACACTATAGCATAAGCAGAAATGGCAACAGCAAAAGCAACAACTCAACAACCATTCAGCAGCGACACACCAATGAAAACAATTCAACGGCAACCACAACCAGAATAACAACATCAGCAGCAGCAACTCAACAACAATTCAACAACAACATCAACATTGGCTAGCTCAAGCAATGGATGGGGGGGTGGTCCATGCCCATGCTCATGCCCAGACGCATACGAAGCGCCGCAACAAGTTCTCACGTTAATCAGCAATGAACAAAACAGAATAAACAAAGAAATTAAATTCCAACTACTATTACTATGTAAACGAAACGCAAACGCAATGAGCGTGTACCGTGCTCCAATTTTCTTAGATATTTTCGGACCATTTTCCATGTCAATGACTAATTAAAAAAGCGGACGATTTACTTTTTATTGAGACTAAACCTCACACAAGAACAAAAAAATGTTGCACTTACATTTAAGCGAGTTTAGTGGACAAGGACGATCATCGAGAGTAAGAGAGTAACTAACGTGTATGCAAAATGTACAAGCAATTTTAGATGCGTTTAAGGAAAAAGCAATTGTAACCATCGTCCGATGCGTTGGATCCCAGAGAGGATAGATGCATGTGAGCTGCTGGAGTAGCTGGCAGCGTCTCTGGTCTCTCTCTGGACAGTCTAACACATCGACCCGGACGCATGGATCTGAAACGTATGCAAAAAATGTAATCTAAGATCCTTTTTTGTGGCAAAGGCAAAAGCAATCTGAAATTGTAACAATCATAAGTGCATCATTCGGATGCATCCAATCGCTAGTGTCGCTAATTTGCAATTGTGTTAAACTCTAAGAAATGCACCCGAGGGAAAGCGCTAGAGTGGCTATAACCTCTGCCGTTGCATTAATCTAAGACACCACTAAAACACCATCACCATCAGCACCGCACAGCACAGCACCACAGCACGTTGGGCAGGAAAGAACTTGGGGGGGGGGGGGAGCTCGCGAGTAAGTTGTAAGCTATTCAGTTGTATGTGTGGTTAGTGTTATTCTAAAGAGCGAATGTTTGAGTAAAAAATATATAAATAAATGAGAGTAAATTAACTCTGAATCTGGATCGACTTATGGCCTATTAAATGCATATGAAAGAGAGAGAAAAAAAAACACAAAATAAATGTTTTCACTTGTCACGAAAGGTGAAGATGGCATCGAAGCCAAACATCACGCCATTGACGATCGACAGTGAGGCCTTGATCAGCGCCAGGTCGCGTGTCCGTGTCCTGAAGGAGAACTCCCAGGCCTCGATGATGAACACACCGCTTGCCACAAACAGAGCGCAGCCCAGGACGCTGAAGAATATGTCGATGCGCTTGTGGATGGGTGCCCGCATCAGCACGCCTGAAAGAATGTAAGCGGAGAGGGAGAGTATGATGGATTTGCAGTGATATATTAGGGTTATATTCGAGTGCTTACCAGCAAACACACCAATCACCACGATAATGTAGCCCGTGAAGGTGCCGGTGGCCAGAAACGATGTCATAATATCCCGATCGTTAAAGCTGTAAAAGTGCAGCACCAAACAGGCCACAGCAAACCCCTAAAGAGAGATGATAAAGGAGGCGAAAGGGCTTTGAGTCGAGGATATCTGCTCAACACTCATTGGGATCAGTGTTGGTTAAGGGTAAGCAAATGGAGTATCCATTTCTGTTGTGTTTACGCAGATTGAAGGTTAACTTATTCCTTGGATAAATGGAGTGCATTTGAATATCCTTGCGAGCACTTTTCCTCAAACACTTTTCACTCTTAACTTTCCAAAAAAAAAAAAAAAAAAAAACACTTGATAAAATTGCGTTACCAATTCCAGAAATTTGACCACATTGAGGCGACCTTTACGCTCGCCGTGCGACATTTTGTGAAACTGTTGACGATGGTAGTCCTCGAAGATGTGATCCAGTTTGAAGACGCTCCCCGATCTGCGAGTCGACAAGTATTTATCTGGATTGGATGGATGGGATCTGGGATCTGGGAACCGTTCAGCGTGTACACGAGCAAAGCGGAACGTAAACTGATTGCTGCTCCCGTGGATGCGAGAGGCAATGCAAATCTCTGCTGTTCTGCCGCAGATCGGACAAGTCCGAAATTAATTAATTACACTTTTGGGCGGCGGCTCGAGAGGGCTGTGGCCCGAGAGGAAATAGGCTTTTAATTTTTGTGGCTCTGTTTATCTGCTGTTTATCGTGAAGTGGACACCGCCCGGCGTGCTTTCTGCTGTAAGACGGAACTACAACCCCAGACATCCCACGATATTACAGAGCGCACTTAAGGAAGGAGGCCCTCTTGATTGAGTGGAAGAGTGGCCATGGGCATCGGCATCGGCATGGGAAGGGAATTTGCTGTGTGTTTGTGCCCCATAATAATTATTGTTATGTTGCGGGGCATACATTATTTCTCGGATTATGATTATGACTATTATGATGCTGCCCCACATGGCTAATGATTTAGTGCTAGAAGGTTATGTCAAGATTTATGCTGCGCGACTCTCCCTCTCTCTCTCTCTGGAATCGAATGGGCAATGGGGCCATTAGGTTAAGTTGCTAATTGTAGGGCGCAATCCCCAGTTCAAGATGATATCTATTATAGATTTAGATTCTTATGGCTAACCCCTTTTAGATCAGGTTTGCATCAGCAACCCGTTTTCCCTGTGCTTCTGAATATTAGCTATGGCTTGTTATGTCTATTTTTAGATGATAAGTGCATCTATAAATCTATAGTATAGATATATCTAGTTGTAACATAGTTTTGGACCCTTACAAATTGCATTTGTTTTATTTCAATTGATTTTCCCCAACCTTTAGGGGGATTAATTACGAAATGCTCTTATCAAACAGCACAGAGCTTTGTAGCGCACCTGCTGATATGATCCCTCCCCACATATGGAAGTCTATGTACCTTACGACCTATATTTGGACCCCTGCTTATCGCTCGATTAATCCCCTCCGTATTTGTAGAGAATTGGAGGTTCGTTCGCTTACGATTATTTCTAGCGAACAATTTTCCAGAACGAAAGCTAATTGAGCTTTGGTTGGTTGGAGCTTTTTGTCTTTGCAATTTTACGCTAATTACCGGCAATTTGTATGCTTTTGTTGTTTCATTAAATGTTAATCATTGCAAAACGGGTATTAAGTAGACGAATACCCTGTTGATTACATGCCCCAACACCTTGGGGAAATGCTAGATCTGATCAAATTCACGCCAACATTCACACAGCAATGCCAGTATCAGTATATACCCCTTTTGGGGCAGACTCTACAGGGCATGAATTGCAATATTACTAGTATTTCCATCACTTGTCGTGCAACGATCGATTCAGTCTGTGAATGCACGCGAAAGATCTACCCGGCCTCAGAATGCTGCATCCCGAGTTGATTTCCATGGAGAACGAGGTGTTCCGCGTCTACCTCGGCTGGACAGCGGTTTTGGTCCTCAAAATCTTTGCCATGGGCATCCTCACGGGTCTCACACGCTTCGTAACGGCAGTAAGTAATCATCTTGTTCCCTTTTTTGTTGCATCTGCATCGTATCTGCGAGAACCTGTTGACACTACTTTGACTTGAGTTTCGGCTTCAATTTTTAATATTTATTATTTGTCAGCCAATGGTGCGGCTTGCCTTTAGCTTAGTGTAAACAGGGCATAAACTATCTCGAAAATTCGACATTTCTGACTAGCTCAGAATGACGCGACACATTCTCGCTTTGAGAGCTATGAGAGAGCTTTTCTAGCAACTGAGAGAGAGAGAGAGCGAGGGAGAGAGAGAGTGCAGCGATAGCGACAGCAACAAACAGCGATATAAAGAAAACACAAGCATGAAAGCTCTCACAACTTGAAACTTCACGGCGTGCGGCAGACCTGACGAGCGAGCCGGCAGAAAATCATACGAGAAATCTAAAATAAAATCTAGAATCAACACCCAAGTGAAAGATGGCCGGCATTGTGGAGCTGCTCAGCCTTAATAACCCAGTATTCAAGAGCTATGTGTTTTGGACCGGCGTTCTGGTCATCAAAATGCTGCTCATGAGCCTCCTCACGGGCCTGCAGCGTTTCAAGACGAAGGTGTGTGTGTGTGTGTGTGGCTAGGGCTGGGGCTTAGGTCAAAGTCTCATTTAAGTGAAAGTCACTAATGTTGCCGCTATCTCTCTATCTGCTGACATTCCAGACCTTTGCCAATCCCGAGGACTTGATGTCGCCCAAGCTGAAGGTCAAATTCGACGATCCCAATGTGGAGCGTGTGCGCCGCGCCCACCGCAATGATCTGGAGAACATTGTGCCCTTTTTCATCATTGGCCTGCTCTACACGCTGACGAACCCCAGCGTCTTCCTGGCCGTCAATCTCTTCCGCGCCGTGGGCATTGCCCGCATTGTCCACACCATCGTCTATGCCGTGGTTGTGTTGCCCCAGCCATCGCGCGCCCTGTCCTTCTTTGTGGCCCTCGGTGCCACAGTGTACATGGCACTGCAAGTCATTGCGGCGGCTGCCTTTTAATTGTTAGATTTAAAAACAGCTAATTGTACATTTTTTTTTTATACATAAATTCATATGTAAACGTAGGTGCAGCACCACGACACGTACATATGTACATACATATACCGTTTTATTTTTAAATTTGTTGGCTATCATTGGTGATCTTCCTGCAAGTGGCGTTGATTTAATTTTGGTTAGTTTCAATCAGCCTCGCAGGTGATTTCCAGACATACCTTAATTCCAATCTGCCTTGTGGTTTTATTCAATCAAATTGAACGTTGAACGTTTTCTGGTTTGAGAGCTGGTGTAAACGGGTTTAATTATGCATGTAGTTAAGCATTTGTACTTACATAAATCAAAGGTAACAGCGTAGTGTAAGTGCTGCACTTTAGCTGTTAACCGGTTCGTACAGTTTGAGAGCAACTGTATGCCCTGTTTACACTAAGCTGCAGGCAAGCTCCACACTGCAGCCCTGACGATTATTACCAAATCTATCCGCATCAATTTCACATTCACAACATCTTCAAGTTAGTTGAATTAACTGTTTCCAGAAATACTAAATTTTTGTATTTAATTTGAAACGAGCTTAAGTAGTGTAAACGCTTTTGCTGCGCTCTCTTCCTCAACCGGTTCTCTCTCACCTTGCCTGTTGCTCTCTGCCCTCCACATCGGCGGCTGATTTGGTCGATCATGGTAGAATATCTTCAAGGTAGGGACAACTTGGTGAAAACTTACCAAAAGGGAGAATTTCATGAATTCAGGGGTATTTCGGGTGACACACGACACTTTTATATGCAGATGAGCACGCTTATTATTTAAGTTTTGTTTTTTATTGTAAAATAAGAAAAATTTTGAGATTTTTCTGTGGCATAAGTCCTCAAAGAGCGGGAAGTGCTCACAGTCATACCTATTGCAGTGATACCTTGAACCAGCAGCCCCCAACAGATTGTAGGCCCAGTGGGGGCCGTTTCATTGACACATCCATCGTGGCGGCCGGCAGCAGTTCTCGAGCTCATTCTCGCTCCTCTCATTTGCCGCTCACTTCACACGTTTCGCGTTTTCTTCGCTTTAGTAAGTATTTGTTTTAACTGTAAACTGTAAAGCTGAGCGGGGCTTATTCTTTTCTCTGTTCGCTGCCAAGCCGCAGTTGCAGCCGTCTCGCTCACTCCTCGTTGCATCTACGCATTTTAAATGCTAATGTCTGTCGCACCGACCTCTCGACGGCTAGAATACCGGCTTTTTGGCAACGAAAATACATAGAGTAGGAGGAGGAGAGAAACATGTGCTTGTCTATTTTTTGTCTGTTCTGTGTGCCTTTTTTTTTATTTATTGGAGTGAAACAAGAATACACATGCACACACATGTGTACATAAGTGAGAGAGTGTGTTTTGTGAACATGTGTGCATGACAAACGATAATCAGGAGAGCAGGAGAGCGCAGCAAAAGTCCAGTTAGGACTCTATTTGTCTCCTTTCTTTCACCAGGAATGCAACAGGGGAACGGAAAAGATGAAATAAGTGCTTACACTGGAAAACAAGTTTGGGCCTAGAAGATTTCAAATAACCATTAAATCTAGCACCAAACAGAACCCCCCACCCACCCAGCCGTGCAAACAGAGTGTGGAACCCATGTGGAACAGGCCCCCCTGCCCCTCCCTTCGTTCCGTATTTACTCAGTTTCGAATAGCGTATCTATCAATCAGTGCCACCTGGCGGAGTACCCCTTATCTATATGGCATGCTCGTTAAAAAGTGCTCAGCCACCTGAACAGAAGCAAGCGACTCACATTTTAAGACTTTTTTAAGTATTTGGGCAAACATGGGAAACACTAAAATAAAATTTATTCAAGGCAAACAATTCAGGAAGAGATTTCCCATTGTGAAATTCGGAATCTCTCCGCCATCCTGTTCGATAAGGAAAACCTTGGAGTGGAGGCTCTCTCTCTATTGCTCGCTCTAATTTTAATTTAAACCACGTCATCGTATAATATGTACGGGCAATACGTAGTTCCGGACCTGACCTTTTGCCTACGATTGAATAGTAATCTCACGATACCATGAGACGACAAGAAATCGTCTCGGAAATCTATAGCGTGTTTTTGTTATTCGGCTGATTAGAGGCGGTGGGTTTAAGGGGTCGCCAGAGGCCAGATCTTTGCTGTAGGAACCATCTGGCAGTGGCTCTGGCTGTGGCTGTGGCATGTGGTGTGTGTAATCAGCAATCAGAAAGCAGCCTTCAGCATTTGGCATTTCTTCTAATTCATTCATTCACTTCCGCTCTGTGCGTAGAGAGATGCCTGCCAACAAGTCGTACCAGAGGCCCGCGGACTATATTGATCCCGGCACACCCTCCAAGTGCAAATGGCATCTGGGGACCAAGGAGAAGACGCCGCACACGCAGCGCGGCATTGCCCACAGGCAGAAGATCACCCCGGACATACTCGAGGTGATTGGCTGCACGCCGCTGGTGCGGCTCAACCACATCCCTGCGAAGGAGGGCATCGAGTGTGAAATGTGTAAGAGTCCTTCCTCATCCGAGTCCTTTCTTTCCTTCCTTCACTGACTCTCTAATGGTATTCTCCGATAGATGCCAAATGCGAGTTCCTGAATCCCGGCGGCTCTGTGAAGGACCGCATCGGCTACCGCATGGTGCAGGATGCCGAGGAGCAGGGCCTGCTCAAGCCGGGCTTCACCATCATCGAGCCGACGTCCGGTAACACCGGCATCGGCCTGGCCATGGCCTGCGCCGTCAAGGGGTACAAGTGCATCATCGTGATGCCGGAGAAGATGTCCAACGAGAAGGTGTCGGCCCTGCGCACCCTCGGCGCCAAGATCATCCGTACGCCCACCGAGGCGGCCTACGATTCGCCCGAGGGGCTCATCTACGTGGCCCAGGAGCTGCAGCGCCAGACGCCCAACTCGATTGTGCTGGATCAGTACCGGAACGCCGGTAATCCGTTGGCCCACTACGACGGCACGGCCGCGGAAATCCTCTGGCAGCTGGACAACCAGGTGGACATGATCGTGGTATCCGCCGGCACGGCAGGCACCATCAGCGGCATTGGCCGCAAGATCAAGGAGCAGGCACCCGCCTGCAAGATCGTCGGTGTGGATCCCTACGGCTCCGTCCTGGCCCGCCCCAAGGAGCTGAACAAGAGCGATGTGCAGTTCTACGAGGTGGAGGGCATCGGCTACGACTTCCCGCCCACCGTCTTCGACGACGGCGTGGTGGACCTGTGGGCCAAGATCGGGGACGCCAACTGCTTCCCGATGAGCCGCCGCCTCAACGCCGAGGAGGGTCTGCTCTGCGGCGGCTCCAGTGGCGGGGCCATGCACGCCGCCCTCGAGCACGCCCGCACCCTGAAGAAGGGCCAGCGCTGCGTGGTGATCCTGCCCGACGGCATTCGCAACTACATGACCAAGTTCGTCTCCGACAACTGGATGGAGGCGCGCGGATTCAGGCAGCCGGTGAACGAGCACAGCCACTGGTGGTGGAATCTGCCCATCGGCCAGCTGGAGCTGCCCTCCCCCATCGCCCTGCTCCGGTCCAGCGCCACAGTGGGCGAGGCCATTGCCCTGATGAAGCAGCATCGTGTGGACCAGCTGCCCATGATCGACGCCGAGGATGGGTATGTGGCAGTGTGCAGCCTCCTTTAGGGGACGTCCCTCCTTACATCTCTCTCTCCTTGCAGCTCAATTCTGGGCGTCGTCGGCCAGGAGACGCTGATCAATCAGATCGTTAGCATGAACCGCCAGCAGACAGAGCCCGCTCTCAAGGCGCTCAACAAGCGCGTGATTCGCCTGGCACCCAGCGAGGTGCTGGGCAAGCTGGCCCGCGTCCTCGAGGTGGATCCCAGTGTCCTGATTGTGGGCCAGAGTGCAGCCGGCAAGGAGGAGATCAAGTCGCTGGCCACCAAGCTGGATGTGACTTCATTCATTGTGGCCGAAAAGAATGTGAAGGCGGCGACGGCCAACGGCAATGGCACCGCCTCCAATGGCAACAGCCACTAAAGGACTTTTACCATCCACAAGAAAGGAGCAACAACAAAACAGAACCAACATACCCGACTCCCACTTTGTGTCCCATATATACTGACTGTAGCTACCAGCTGATAACTTATTCGTCTATCTACCAACTCGCATGCATTTGTCCATTTTATAATATTAAAAGAAAAGGAATTTTTAAATATACGCAAATTTGAATTCAAAAAACCGTTGGAGGTGCTGCCATCTGCACACATGAAAGTGCAGTTGGCGGCGCTGAAGCGGCAGTTTAGTTTGGCAGAAGTCCGCTAGATGGCGTCTAAAGGGGAGAAAATAACCAAAAAAAATGCTAAACGTTTTTTTTTTTGTTTTTATGGTGTACGTTTGTTTTGCAGTATTTTTTTTCTGTTTTTCAAGTAAAATTTTTGTAATTTTCATATGGTATTTTTTCCACATTTAATAGGGAAAAAAAACAAATAAGCTTTAATTTTACATCAGGTCAGAAGCTGGCCGATACGAAACTAAGGGCGCGAAATTCAAATTTGCGGATTATTTTGTTTAGTTAGAATTAGCAATACTTAAAACGCAATAGCTCTGTCATTTCTCCTCCGATCAGGACGTTATATGTGTCCTCGTGATCGGGGGAATATCCTTGATTTTATGGAGTCCTTGCCAGAAATATGATCCCAGAGACTGCGGATGGCTAATAACTTTTTAATCTCGCACTAATTTTTTTATTAAGTTTGAACGCTGACAATCGGCAGGTTTGTCGTAGTTGATGATCAGGTTTGTCATACGAGTATGTATACAATATATAATATATATTTCGATCTTTTCGCTTACACAATGTAGGATATAGGGGCAGCGTCTTCAGAGGGCTGCACGCACTAGAGGCCCTTTCATGAGTACACGCAGGAAACGCATATGTGCATATGTCTATGCAACTGTGTGTGTGTGTGCTCATATGGTAGGGGCTCTAGTGCGGAACCGACATTTACAGCTTGACAAATACTAGGCAAAAAAAATGAATAAAATTTTAAAACTAAATTGCCCGCTGTGAGAGGGGAAGGTGGAGAGAGCGAGAGGACAGACAGGGCGCGAGATTACCAAATGCGGTTTCCGTGAGATAGAGAGGGACACATGGAGAGCTAATATACAAGTACACACGCACACGAAAGGGACAGATATAGAGACAGCGATGCTTGGAATGCTTCCGGGGGGATTTTGGGGCGTACCGCACCTAGACCCCGCGATTGGGCAGATCCTTGACCTTGTAGATGCGCACCAGCCAATGCTCCGTGGTGTATGCCTCCTCGAGGACATCCAGCTCAAAGTCCTTGTTGCCAATTTCTGCGGCACGCACCCTGTCATAGCCCTGGGCCTTGCCACCTTCGGTGTACATCTGGCCGAAGCGATAGTAGCACATCTTGTACATGAGGCAATTGAGGAGGGTGGGTGAGCCCTCCTTGTCGACACGAAACTCCCCGTTGGCCGCATAGTAGTCCTTCTCCTTGATATGCGCCCCACGGTCCGTGCTGCCGCCGATGCGCACCATCCACAGGAACTTGTTGATATCGTCCGAGGAGTAGCCGGTGAGGCCGCCAAAGATCACCAGGACATAGTCCACATCTAGTTCGCGCATTATCTCGTAGGCCTTCTCCTCGGACGAGGCCATGGCCTGGCCCACGCGCGATATATGCGTATTATTCCACGTGTTATTGTCCACCAGAATGGTGCGATTAGCCATGGCGGTGATCTGATAGCCATAGTCCCACCACGACATAATGCGGGCGTCCTACAAGCAGACAGGCAAGAGATCAATCGATTAGAATGGGGAGGGGAATAATACAAGGTGTGGGTAGGATTTGTTGAAGGTCAGATATTGTTTTAGTACTCATTATGTTTCATACTCTTCCTATCAAGAATTTACACAATAATCATCATGGAAAGGTAGGTGGTAATTGGGTCTAGGATGAGGATGAGGATGATGGCATCTACCTACCTCTGGTGTATTCATCTGCAGCCAGTAGTAGGCCTCTCGAAAGTCATCAAAGATAATGCGACCACCGTCATGGGAGCGAGCACTGAGCACAATGCTGGGCGAGGAGTAGGCCTCGGAGGTGACCCACGTACAGTGGAGCGTGTAGACAATCAGCATCATTGTGATGATGCCCACAAAACCAATGGCCACCTCACTCTTGACGCCGCCCGCCTGCTGTTCGAGCTTCTTGTGATGCCGCTTGCTGTCCGTGGGCTTGGCGGCGCCGCCAGCGTCCACGCTCCTGATGTACTTGGCCAGCAGATGGGAGATGGCGATGCCCGACAGCACACACATCACGGGGGCCAGCACCAGCATGAGGCGCACCATAACACCCGCAAAGTAGATGCTCGTCACGCCATACAAAATGATGAAAATGTTCGAATCGGTGAGCTTCGAAAAGCAAAAGTAGAGGCCAGCGGGAAAGAGAAACACCAGAATCTGCGAAACAGGGAGAAGCATTGATTTTAGTTGGAGCAGCAGACGAGAGAGAGAGAGAGAGAGCAGCCGCAGAGGATCGTGGTGCCATGGACGCCTTCAGCGATCAAAGTGCTAGGTAATCATGCAATGCATTAAGTCGCAACTCATACGCATCGTTGTTGGGTTTTCATCACAGGCGGAGGCGGAGCGCAATCACCACAGAGTGATTAGTAGGTAACAAAACGCACCTGAAGATCAAAGTAAAATGATGACCAGGACGTGGGCTGATGCTCCGACACCGAGGCAATGATGGGTATGTGATTCTTGGCATAGGATGGGTCCAGCAGCGAGTAGAAGCGTCCCGTCCAGGGCGACACTTTGCCGGTAATCGTCAGCAGAGTGCCCACGACCAGCACCACAGTGAGCACACTCGACACCAGCGTCTTGAAGAGCAGCTCAAAGTGATCCTTGGGTATGCGAGAGCGCAGATAGTCCACGAACGCGTGTATCTGGCACAGCCCAAAGACGCCAAGGGCCTGTAAAAGGTGAAAAAAACGAGGAGCATTAGTTGGACTGAACAACGCGGAGGAGAATGGTGGGGCATGGCATCGAATGGAATCTAAGGATCAAATCAGTTTGGTTTGTTCGTACTCATTATGTTTCATACTCTTCCTATCAAGAATTACAAAAGTAATCATCACATTTTGATCCGTAAATTCAAGAGCAACACAAACAGGGAAGGGCGGGCAGGCGGCAGGCACTCACCAGCATATGCTCGGAACTCTGGATGGGCTGGAAGCCCACAAACGATATCTGCATGGAGAGGATGGTGCCCACGCAGTAGAGCGTGCTGTAGGCAATGTAGATCCTGTGCGAGAATCGTCCGGTGATCATCAGGGCCAGCACATGCAGCGGTATCAGATTGATGAGGAACACATAGCCGCCCCACGAGGACACCATGTAGAAGTAGGCCAGTGCGGACATGGCCGACCAGAAGATGGTGCCCGTCTTGACCGCCTTTATCCACAGATAATAGGTGAGCAGCATGCAGAAGATGGCGATGCCCTCGTTGTCATAGGATCCGGCCACCGACCGCGATATATAGCCAGGAACAATGGAGATCAAAGCGGCAGCCACTAGGCCAGCACCAGTGCTCTGCGGGGAAAGGAAACAAAAGTTGAAGCCACGTGCACGACGACATAACCTCCAACTGGGAGGGACACTTACATGAATTTCCTTGGTCAGGGCGTAGGTGACCAGCACGGTCAGGGAGGAGAAGAAGGGGGCCAGGAAGACGCACACATTGCGTATGTCAATGGTGATGTTCAGCAGCCACATGATCCGGTACAGGGCCGCGGATGTGAGCATCAGCCCCGGGTAGATGGTGCCGCCGATGATGCGGCCCAGCGGATACCAGGCGCGCTCATCGAACCAATTGTGGAACTTGTAGAAGCCCTGCTCGGCCAGGAACCGCGTGGTGCGGTAGTTGAAGTAAGGATCGAATTCATGGATCACACTCTCGAACCGCAGCACCGAAAATAAGCGCGTGGCGAAGGCTGCAGCCGGAAAGAAAAAGAGGTGAGCGTTGGATTAGCACAATATGTTCGATTATCGATTGGGTGCCTATCGATAGGGGAGCGCTTGAACCGGTTCGCGGCCGGCACGAACCAGTTTGCAATGTTTGGTTCTCTTTCCCAACACGCCCACACACATATTTTAGCTTCTTGAGATGCATCTCGTATGCATATGGTAGTACTTACACAGCACTGCCGCCAGTATGAGGATGACCAGCCTGAGCAGATGCTCCTGCTTGTCCCAGGTAAGGAGACCCTTGGCCCTGCTGGCGACGCTACCGCCCACGCCTCCGCCAATGTCCACGGCCATAGTTTTGCCGGTCGGTGTATGCCGGTTGCTGGGATTTGGGGTGTGTTGCGGGACCAAACTACACGTAGGTAAGGGCTCGGGTTACAGCTCCAATGCACGCGCTTGTCCTGCACATTACCTGCACTGGCTCACAGTTGATAATGGGACGAAAAAAATACTTTTAAACTGCGCGACGGAACTTTATTCGTGGCAGGAACTCAGCAATGGTAGGGATGTGGGTCGTTCATGAACGAACAGTGAAGCGCCATTGTCGCCAAAAATTTGATTGTTTTTCTTATCGATATAAGAAGCGCATCTCTAAGATGGTTGCACGGTGAGTTAGCTAGAGAGGGAACAACCAGGCGAAACTATTAATACAAATATCATTGTGGGATGCATCATCAACTGAACTAATTTTCAGTGTTGAGTCAGGGAAAATCGACACTATTTTCTGTTTTTTTTAATAACAGCGGTTTTTGAATCTACTTACAAATATCGGTGTTTTTGTGCGACAAACGGAACAGGGTATGGTATGTTAAAGAATTTGGGGTGTTTCTGGGCCGCTCTGCCTGTTTTCAATAACCTTGTTGTCCTCAGCAGCATGAGTTTTCTGTTATCATGTGACAGAAAAACATTTTTTCAAACAAGCGGCACATTTTGTAGAGGTGTCAAACCGACTATCGACTCTACCGGCAGCAAAACATCGATTTAATCGATAGTACCCTTTGTGGTTGGACACGCACCTCTAGTATCTTGGATCTTGGACGGGGCACGGCCTTGCCGCCCCCATTTGAAACACGACCGAACACTCGGGCCGCGAACAATGAAATCGAATTATTTTCTAAGTTCAGACTAGTTGAGATATCTCGAGAAATATATTATCAAAAAAATATATACATATATCAACATTCCCAGTCGGGTCGTCGGATTGTCGCTTGTCGTCGCAGTGTCGTTGGGTCGCGAAGCAAAAAATAGAAACAGATTTCTGCTGGTAAATAAACGAGTAAATTATTTATTCACTCTCGCTCTCTCACGTGTAAAATATAAATAAAAACTCTGTGCGTATCTTCGCTCCCCCTCCCTCTGTGTGTGTGTTAGGTTTTTTTTCGAGTGACTGGACTAGTGTGTGTGTTATTTTGTTCTTTTGCCAAATGTTGTTCATTCAAACTGGAGTGTGGTGTGAGTGGGAGTGTGACAGGGAGAGTTATATACATAACCTAAGCGTCGGCAGAGGGCTTTTTGTTGCTACTGCTGCTGCTGTTGTCGCGCCAAAAGTAATTAAATAATATCTATAATTACAGTTAATGTACTAACTGGAGTGTAAGCCTGTATGTATCTGCGTGTGTTTGTTTGTGTGTATTTTGAATACAAGAATGATGAAAAATCGAACATCAACACGAGTTACGCTCTCCAAAAATGCATAAGTATGTGTGTGTGTGATTGTCCCAAGGCGGGTGGTGGCAGCGCAGCAGCAATAGGAGCAGCAACAACAACAACAATTGGCAGGCAGCGACGTAAGCAGCAGCAATTGCAGCAGTTGCAAGCACGCACAAGGCAAAGTTGAAGAGGAAAGGGATGGCCAAGAGTTGGAGGAGGAGAGGACAAAGAGCTCGTAAAAAAAGGAAAAGAAAAAAGAACAGGCGGGAGAAGGAGTAACAGCAAAAGAAGGTGAACGGGTGGGAAGCAGGAAAATAAAGAGTGCAAGGCAGCGGCGGCAACAAACTCTCAAGCTCCTGCTAATGCTTTCTCCCCCACCACCACCTCTCCTCTCTAACTCGCTCCCACTTACTTCTACTCTGTGCGTTTCTTTGTAAGATTTGTAAGATTTGTAAGTGTGTGTGTGTGTGTTTGTGTGTGCGTGTGGGTGATTGCATTTGCATGCGTATGCGGGTATGGTATGTGTGTGCATTGATTTATGAATGTTTTGCATGTGTGTGGGGGACTAAAATGTACATGTACATACATACATAAGTAGATATATTACAGCCAGACTAGCCCCCCAGCCCTACCGTTGCCGGAGCGGGTGGTTCCGATTGCCGGCTCCAATTTCAGATTTGCATCCAATAAAATATTTACACCACCAAACGGTACAATATTTTGATTTCCACTTGCCATTCCGGGTGGAAAATGCATTTGCCAAGGCCCCTTCCTTTGGTGGGGTGAAACATCTGGTGGGGGGGAATCATCTGGTGCGGATTCCATCTATTAACCCATTGACCACAGTGCCGTCCCTGATCATCAAACTGCATTTCGGTTGGTAAATATTTTAATTTCATAATTGATTTGAGTGAAAACTGATTTGTTATTATTTAATGGGATTAAATTAGGATCTCTGATCTTTGAATAATTATATTATTATATTTTATTAGCGCCTGGCTATACATACATACATATGTACAGCTGTGGCATAAATAATAGCACCATGACACTAACTTTTCTGTATTGAATGATTTTGTTTAAATAGTGGTTTTAATGAACGGTTTTAAAACTAATATATAATCTTTAGGGTGTAATTTAATGTTTTTGAAAGCAATGGTATGTATTGCAGGCTTCAAACGAAAATATTTGAAAAGAATAGAAATTATTCAGGAATTAAGGCGGCAACAAAAATAGCACTGATTTCCAAAAATTAAAAAAAAATACAAATTTAAAAGAAGCTTTCCAAATTTTTCATTAAAGTAGGTTAGTTTAGTTGTATTCAAAGGTTAATATTTTATTGTAAAGCCTTTGGAAGCAACCACAGTGTCTCAGCGTCTTGTCATGAAAGTTCACCTCATTTTCGCATCTTTCCTGGGAGATATGGCTCCACCAACAATGCCTGATACCCCATAGATCAATATTGTTCTTTAGTTTCGTATTAGAAACATATTTTTTAGCTTTAGCGCATAGATTTTTCATGGTGTTCATATCTGGCGACTAAGCAGGCCAATGCATTACATTAAATACACTGATCTCGAACCACCTTCGAGCTTCCTTGCTGGTCTGTTTGGGATCATTGTCCTGATGGCAGACACAAAACAACGGCATTTCCTATTCCATATAAGGCAGAATCATTGTTTTCTAATATTTTAATATAGACATGTTGATCCATCATCGATTTGTGACATGTATTGGACAACCTCAATAATACGAAAAGCATGCCCATGCAATGATACTTATCCCTGAGTGTTTAATAGTTTAACATATTAGCCAGGGGTTTTTATTCTGCATTAAGTGTCGTCATACATAAGATTGATAGCCTTTTCCACAAAAAAAAAAAACAATTTGACTTTCTTCGGACCACATGATGTTTCTTTGGGACAACTCCAGTGCTATTTGCAGACTGCACTCACTTTGCCCCATGGCTTTCTTTCTAAAGTGAATTTTTCCTCAGACTTTTGGCACTTAATTTATGTTCTTGTATGCAAGAACTAACTTTGCTCATCATTGCCGATTTTTTAAGATCCTTTTTTAGCTCTGTGGACGATTTATAAGGGTCCTTCTTGCTCTCATCAAGCAGTAGTTTGACCGGAAATGGCGGTATAGCGGCTTTTATTCCATGTGTTTTTTGTTGGTTGCATGTTTTAAAGCATTGCGAATCAATGCTCAATGATCAACCAACAATTGGATTCACCTTAAGATAGGTGTCTCCTTCTGGGATAAAAGTTTTGATCCTCTTGCTTTATTCTTACCTAAAGTGCTTTCTAAGGCCCAAAACTAATTTTATTTTGTCAAGTTCCTGCCACAATCTACTAAAGACACCGAATTTTAATTTAATCAAGAACATAAAATATCAAAAAGCTCGGAAAAGTAAAAGTTTTTATAAAAAACCAATTTTAGTGCTATTTTTGTTGCCGCCCTATTTCGCTTCTTTTTTGGAAAATTGCCTAAAGTAATAAGAACCGTTAGGAATTTGAGAGTAAGCACACTTCTATCAGAGAGGAAACATGTAAACCTAATTGATATTATAGTAGAGGTCAAAATATGTTATTGAGTGATCATGTTTTGAAACAATAAAGACTGTAGTACCAAACAGTGCTATTATTTCTGCCGCAACTGTATGTATATTCCATTTCGCAATCTTTCTTTCTACTTTCCTTTACTGAAGCAGTTTTTATTATTCAATTTTTCACTTTGCGTTGCTGTTTTTTTTTTTTTTTTTTTAAATATGTTAAATACAGTATGTGATGGGACTCTCCGTTTTTATGATTACTATTATTATAATTCTTATTGTTGTCTGTTTTTTTCCGTCCTCGCTCTTTTTGTTTACTCCGTGGGAAACGGAAATTGCCAACTAAAAAAAAACCTGTCCGTCGTTTCACTTTCTGTTTTGCCTCGAAGGCATCCTCTCCACTCCACGCCACTCCACCATTATCCACTCTCCCCACCCTAAAAGTTGTTAACAAATTATAAATAACAAACGAAATGAAAGAAACACAAGCGAAGCAACACAGTCGCAGTCGCAGTCGCCGTTGCCCTACGTTTTCTTTACATAAATAAAATTTCATGTAATTAAACTTTTATGGCGCTTCCAACTTTGATGAGTCCCCCCCCGCCCCTGCTCCCTCGATCAGTGTCCCATTTTCCAATTTCTGCCATAAACGGAACGAACGGAACCAAGCGTATGGACTTCCAATTGGATTGCACGTCGAAAGCGGACATAATTTTTCGTCTGTGGGCTAAATACCAATTAGAATCGGGGGAAAAAGATACCGCGTATCGGAGAACGATAGGGGAAAGGCCGTCCCTGAAGGCAGTGCGCTAATTGTTTAAGGGGAAACACAAATTTTATCTGAATTCGTAATAAAATTGAATACAGGCCAAGGCGGAGATCAGTAGGGTTCCATAAATGCAGCGACACTCAAAGGGAAAGCGAGTACACATGCCCCATTAGACGATTTCCTCGCTTTTCCCGCATTTCCCCCACCGATGATCACTCGACTGAATTACCATCAATTGCAGTCCCTAGGCAATTCATGACTTGGATACCCCCAATGACTTCCTTAGAAAAAACAAAGCTCCCTTCGTTTCTCTTTGCAATGTGCGGTCAATATTGTCATTGGTCATTGGCCGTTGACATGCCATCTTCTGTATTGCTTCAACATCCCGTCCCACTGTTCGATGAGAGGCGATGCCCACACCAATCCAAAGCAAACCGGGCACTGTCCACTCCTCCGCAGCGCTGGCGTCAACTCCCTCGTGGCAATTATCAGACGAATGCAGCGACCAAGTCAAGTGCCCCACAAGCTTATTGGCATTTTAGCATCCAAGAGGTTTTATTTTCTGGTTTTTGTTTTGTTTTTGTTTTTGTATTTATATTTTCTATGTGCATATCGTTTAAAAAAAGAAAAGCAAAACCAGCAAATGAACTGAATGCGTGGTCGTTTGAATTGTCTTTGGTGCCATGTGTTGGCCCGGCCTGGCCTGGCCGCTCGCTCGCTCGCTCGTTCGAGTTGTGGCTAAAAATACCCTGACTTTCGGGGTATGCCATGGACCATTAGGGTGGGGGGCCGCTCTATCTCGGGGTAGAGTTCTTTACTATTAATGAGTTGTAGAACCAGGAATTGGTTTGATGAAGGGCTTGGGTAGAAGAGCATTGAAGAGTATTCCCAATGTGTTCAACTTATCTCACAGCTTTCCCACATTCCTTGCACCTACTCCTCCTCCTCCTCCTTCTGTAGAGTATTTAAATTTCATCATGCTTTAAACAGCAATTTCTAATTTATGGTTTTCATGTATTACACATTTTATTATTATATTTCTCTTCTTTCCGCTCTTCCCCTCTTCTTGGCGTGCAAGCTTCGTTCCCATTTTTATTTTTTGTTTTTTTTTTTTTTTTGGGCTTTAGGCCAGGCCGAGACGCTGGCTTAATCGTTGCTGTTGTGGTTGTGGTTGTTGTTGTTGCTTCTTTTTCAAGGCAACAACATGACGATGACTTCATCTTCTTTACTCCCATACATATGTACATACGTCGTTGTCGTTGTCGCCGTCTGCATGGTTTTTGTTTTTAATGAGTTCTGTGAATTGTGTGTTGGTGTAGCATTGTTGTAGGTGTACCGATGGTTGGTGTATGTTTTTCAACGCTAAACAATGATTTTAAAGTATTGTTGAGGGTGTAGATTGGTGCCGTTGACGCTGTACTATGTTGTTGGTGTGTGTTTTTTGTTGTGGTCTGGGTTCTAACGTGTTGGTGTGTTTCTTTGTGGTATGCGTTGCTTTTGGTGAATGTTTTTCGAGGGTTTTCTTTAATGTTGGTGTATGTTTTTCGAGGGTGTAGCATAGGTGTTGGTGTAATTACGTATGCTGTTAAAGGTGTGAATTGGTGTTGGACTGTTGTTAAAAGTGTTGATGTATTCTTTTCTTATGTTGTTGTGACTGTCTTCTCATGTTGGTTTGTCGTTGGTGTCTTTTTATTGGTGTGTTTTGGTATAGGTTTGTTGTTGTTGATGATGACCACACCATCATTGTTGTTGTGCTTTTTTTATGGTTGGTGTGGATTGTTCAGAGTGTTTGTTGCTGTGCAGCTTTCGTCGTTCCTTTGCTTACTTGCTACACACTTCCCCGTCCCCCTGCATCAACAACAATGATAATGATGATAATGGGCCATGATGATGGAAGCATTGGCCTTGTTTTCTGAATGTTGTTGGTGTTTCCTGTGCGATATGTGTGTCACATCATCATCATTATCCGCACAGAAGAAATTGTCGGATGAGGAGAAGCGTAAAAGTTTATGCAAAGTGTTGAGTAATCCTCCACATCAGCGTCATCGTCATCGTCATCGTCATGGTCAACATCCCCCCCTTCATCATAATCATCAAGCGCTGCTGTCAGGCGCTTTCAATAATACATTTGTATACCATACCCGGGATCCAGGAGTGACACCTCGACCACGACCTGTGGTCTGATGGTGACATCAAATTGATTATTGTATGCCTTTTCCCCATCACTCACTCACCCGCTCCCTCCACTCTAATTCTCTTTCTCTGTCTCTGTCTCTGTCTTGTTTGTTGTTTTATTGTTCAAGTCCATGCCGGAAATGTTTCCCGAGTGCCGACACCATCCCCAACAATGAACAGCGCAGCAAAGACCCAACCCAAACCCAAAACCATATACCAAAAAAACAAAAAAAATTACAGTGAAACGCTGCATAGCTGGAAGTGAAGGCTTCTCTGTATCTCTGGAATCATGGGGTGGACCTTTCACTGTATCTTTCCCCCTTTCGGCACAGTCTGTATGTTGGCCCCCCACCCTGTTTTTTGGTAGTTTGTTTTTGGGTCAGCTAAAAGCAGAAAACCAACATTTGTTGGGCGCTTGGGTTTCGATCAAGTTTCCGCATACAATATGTAAAATATTTGCTTTGTTGCACACGTACACCGAGTATGAGTACGAGTATTCTCTGGAGAAGGCATTTGGCCAGCATTTCGCTTCAAAGAACAGGTTGTGTGTGTGTGTGTGTGTGTGTGTGTGTGTGTGCCTGAAAGATCTGTATCTCCTCCACTGCGGACTTTTCTATGCGTCTGTGAATTCGGTGTGGTCCATGGACTTTTATGGGGAGCACTGATATTGTGTTGTGTAGGTGAGTGAGGAAGTGAGGTCAGAATGGAGTCTGGAAGTGAAAGTCTCTGTTCTGTTTAGCATCTGCTTCAAGAATAATAATAATGATATTCGAGTGTCTTTGGGCTATAATTTTTTGTATGGGTACAAAAACCAACTATGAATAATACATAAATACCATACGCGGATGGGAACACTCGGAACCCTTGGGAAATGCCATTTTTGTGCACAAAGAACTCGTCTAATGGCGAGGAGTGACGCAGCGTCATGTGGCGCGACTCCCACTGCTGCATCGTTGATGATTGACCGTTATTGATTAACGGTTTTGTAATTAATGGCAGCTTTTAATTTACCGTTGCAGCAGCTGCGAAACAATGCAACAATGTGAGACGGGACAGCAGCGAGAGACGAAGCAGCAGCAGCAGCGAACCCAAGCAGTGCGTTCAGCATACACCACCAGCAGCAGCAACAGCAGCAGCAGAAGAACCCCCCGCCACCATCCTCAGAGCGGACTGCCTAGCGCGGACTGCAACGCCAACGCCAACGTCAACGCCCACGCCAGCGACCACGCCTACGCTTACGTTTGCTGAGGCAGCAGCAGCAGCAGCAGGGTACAGAGACGGAGAGAGCAAGCTGACAAGGAGAGCGACAGACTGACACGCGGCAGAGTGAGAACGAGAGTGAAAGAGTCACGGGAGAGAGCGTCGTGTAGGTAGGCCAAGGCCATGCCCAGCACAGCCGGCAGCGCCGCCAGCGTCGGAGCTTTGATCAACAGCGCCGGCAGCAGCGCCAGCGTCATGGGCATCGGTGCGGGCGGCGGCAGTGGCGTGGGCGCAGGTGTGGCTGCTGCTGCCGCTGCCGAGGTGGGCGCTGGCGCCGCAGCTGCCGCTTCGGCAGGCACCATGATAGCGCAGAGCACGGCGGGTACGAGCGCCGCCAGCGGCACGATCACGTGGGATAACAACGGCACCCTGCGCTCCATCAATCCGGGCGACTGGTCCATCGAGCAGTGCCTCAACTGGCAGCAGCCGCATCATCTCTACTTTCAGCTCGGCTGGGCCTTCCTGTTCCTGGCCTTCCTCGCCCCCCACGGCCCCTTCGGCTCGCTGTGGATGCGTGCGATGCTGCTCATCGGCTGCATTATGATGGGCATGTACGGCTACCTGGTGGAGTGTACCCCGGATGTGGTGCTCTGGTCGGGCCTTGGCATCGGCGTCAATTTCATCTATCTTATTGTGGTGCTCTGTCGCCTGCGACCCGTACGCTTTGAGCAGGAGATTGAGGCGGTAAGTCCACACCATGCCAATATACTCGCATATATTTTCTTGTCTGACTTCCAAAAAGTAGGCTATGTATAAGTGGGAGCAGCAACGGCATTGCTTAACTTTCGAGACCACTCTCACAGATTTGGCTCTCTCTTTTCCCTCTCTCTGGCTACTTTGTTGGCACAGCCTAAAAGCATGCAATAAAATTCTTGAGGTGAACCGAAAGCTGACTAAAATAACTTTTGAAAAGAATTGGTTACCTATTGGTTAATATTTTGACCGATCTACGGATATTTTCTTTGGTTTACAATAATCTCGCCGCCCCCAGAAACCCATCGAAGGCAAAACAATTATCTCTTTAATTTAAGCACACATTCAAGTGGTTTGAATATTTATTATTGATTTTTTACTATTATTTTTGTTGTTGTTCGGTTTTCACTCTTTTTTGGTGTTTTTGTTTTGTTTTGTTTTTTTTTTTTTCTTTTTATTTGTGGTTTTTGTTTTTTTTATTTTATGTTTAATTTAAAAACTATTATTCACTATGTATTTGTTTGCTTTCTCAATTAAGCAGATAAATATTGTAGGTTCGATGAATTAATAAATAACCAAAAAAAAAGAGATATAAACGGAAATGTGATGGAAAAAAAACCGATTGCTTTCGGCATAATTAATTATTAATAGGCTATTAATTAATAACTGTGTGTGTGTTTGTTTATTTTCTACGCGGCTATCGACTAAATGTTTTGTGAATGTGTGTGTGTGTGTGTGTGTGTGTGTGGGTGGGTTTTTTTGGGGGCGGGGCGGGTTGGGTTGAGTGGGGTTGGTTGGTGGGGCTTGGTGGGGTTTGGGGGTGAGTTTATATCACAGGAAAATCAGATTGGGAAATCGCAGAAAATACTCGTTTTGTGTTTTGTGCGTTTCAAGAAATTATTTTGTGTGGATGGCAAATGATTTTTGAATATGGAATTTAATTTATCGTTGAACATTATTTAAATACAATCGAGAGAGTGCGTAGCGTGGCGTGACGTGGCGTGGCGTGGCGTGTTGTGGTCGTGCGCTTTGTGATTTGTATGAAATTTTAGACTCTAAGATTAATTTATAAATTCTTGGATGCCGCCAGAACAGATGATATTCCGGCGCTGAACGCTCGCTCCTTCCTCTCGCCAGACTCTCTCTCTATTCAGAGTGGGCGCTGTGCTGTGCCCTAGCTAAGATGTATTTTCGATGCCAGAAAATACAATTGCAGACACGTGGACAGCATGACGGTCATGTTGCCAATGGCAATGGTCATGTGGATGCGACGGAAGCCCTTGTGGATGCGCTGGTAGTGCGGACAGTCGATCAGGTCGCCCTGGACAAGGCTGCCCACCTCCTGGCCACTACCGATGGCGCCCTCGATCTTGTACTTCTCGTGCATCAGCTTGAGCATCGGCGGCACCAGATACAGTCGCACCACCACCTCAATGCCCGCCGCCAGAGCCAGCGATCCGACCTGGATGCCCGACGCGGTCGTCCAGCCGCTGAGGAAGTACTTTGCATAGGTCACCAGCATCGTGAGGCTGAGCATGGCGTTGAAGGCAAAGTACCGGGGGAACAGTATCTGCTGGCACTGCCCGAAGATGTGGCGCGGCAGGGAGAAGTACAGCGAGAGTCCTGCGCGAGAAAAAGAGAGGATTGGGGATTAATTACACGAGTTCCATGCGGGGAATGCACAATGGGGATTACGATTTGTCGATGGATGGAATGCTGTCAGATGGATGGATATGGATGGAATCCCCTTGAGCCTGGAGAGCGGCAGATTCGTCCAGTGGAGACGACGACACTTACCCGAGACGAATGTCATCCAGATCTGCGAACCAAAGTGAGTGGCGAATGCCCCCAGATAGACGAGGTTCGGCAGGGTCCCACCTCCGCCACCTTCTCCGCCTCTGGCTGGGCTGCTGCTGCTGCTCAGAGTTCTCGTCGTTGTTGTTGTTGTTGTTGGTGTCGTTGCGGGGCTACCCTCGATCAGGTCGCGACCGACAGTCATCAGCACAAAGGCCAAGATGCAGACGGCTATCAAGTGTGCTGGCTGTGTGGTACGTGTCAGTATTCTGTGCGGATAAAAGAAGATCGAAATAAAGAGTTAGTTAACCCGCAAAAGCAGTTATCAATTTGATGATTAATCGATGGAATATATACTGTTCGTGTTCGAGTGCTTTGATCTATCTAATCTGAATAAGTTATAGCCATATAGCATTGCAATCCAGAGTCCGCTGTTGCTGCTGCTGCTGCCTCACACGAGTAGTGCAGTCCAAACTCCAAACCCTCGAACCAGGCTGTTGTAACTCTTTTGGCCGACACGACATTTGCTTATGTCACAGACTGTACGTAAGGGCGGGAAGAATGCACTCACTCCACTCTCTTGACAAGAATATCCAACGTTTCTCTCTCTCTGTCTCTCTCTGGTTACGTGACGTATACACACACACGTGGCCCTCACGATTAGATTCGCATGCAGCGAACTTTCGCAGAAGCGAGCGAGCGAGAGAGAGAGCGCACGATCCGATCCGATCCGATCGCACGCTAATAAATTATTTCTGTCTGTCTGTTGCTCTTGCGTGTGTACGTCCAAGTATGTGTGTGTGTGTGTGTGTCTGTGTCTACGCATTTGTTGCGTCTCCCTTCCCTTTCCTCTTCGGTGGGTGCACATTTTTGCATACATATGTATGTATGTATATTCGCGCTTTTATTTCTGCTGTTGGCTGTGCTCTGCTTCTGCGGCGAATATAGAGCTAGAGCTAGAGTGGCGTACGTGCGAAAACGCATGCAACCGAATAATGAACATTTTTTCCACTTCCCCTCAACCAAAGGCCCCCCCCTCCACAACACAACAACCATGGTGGGTCGGGGGGAGGGAACGGGACAGAGTAGAAGCCAGAACTAAAGCAGCAAATTGCCAATCTACATAACCGTAGATAATTGTGCACTTGCACCTTTAAGGCGAATTCAGAGAACGGAGCGAATTCAGAGAATCAGCTGTGCGCGCCGTCCAGCTGATAAAAATCCAGAAACAGAAGCATGCGGAGAGGATGGCAGGAAGGGGGAACGTGACTGACTCAGCAACAGAGAAAGAGAATGAGAGAGGAGCCGACGGACTACGAAGACGACGACGATCCAGTAGCACCTTCCCTCTCTCTCTCTCTCTGGCACTGCTGTGACGTCGCCACAGAAATCAGACTTTGATCTAGCGGAGGGAGGAATGGGAGGCGAGGCAAATGCTGCTGGGGGAACTCGGGAACTCTGTTGACGCTGACGCCAAAGCGTCGCACTTTGTCCCATGCAGCATTTCATTGTCAAGGGGAGAGGGAGGGAACTCTATTGACACTTGGTTTCGTCAGGGATCCCCGCCAGCAGACAAGCTTTGGAGCACCCCCTCACGCTCTGAAGAGCTGACTCAACGGTCAAGGCTATACGCTCCGATGGTATTTTATCGTATCTATAAATATGTACCCTTGCTCGTATTCTTTAATTATATTTAGTAATACTTTTTGATAGGAAAGCCCGCCCGCCGTGTGTCTTCCCCCAAGTGAATCACCTGCATGAACTGGTTTTTTTTTTTCGTTGTGGGGTAGAAATTGGAGGTTTAATTGGGCTAGGTTATGGGCGTGTTTTCGGCCTTATCAGTGGGACCCCTTTATGCGCTTCATAAGGCAGTTCTAATGGGATTGAATATCAAATCCGCCTTTCTTTACGCATTGAATATCGTCTGGCGGGGGTCTAGCTTTCAGCTGCTTGCATAAAGGTAGTGTGGTGGCCAGACAACAACAGCTGACAACAGCTCATACAGTATATGCACATACGTATAAATTCCAAAAGCACTCGGTGAAAATAATGAATTGTCGTGATCGAGCGATCGGTGATCGGCCGGCATGATCCATTACCGTGCAAGCGAATGATAAGAGGGATGCCTGCTGCCTGCTGCTGCCCGTTGCCTGCCTGCTGATAATTTCCATTTTTCTACTGGAATTTTTTTTGTCACATGGTGCAATGATGATAGATGGATGGGTGTGTGCTCGTTTGTGCTATTTCAGGGGGCTCGTTAATATGCATGATGGGTATGATGGGGGAAGGTACTCACGTGTAGAGGCGACTCTCCTGCAGCTGGGCAACCAGACAGGCGATCCTATCCGATACCTTGCGGGTCATTTGGGTGCCAATGGCGAGGGCATCATCCATGGAGGGTTCCATCGAGCTGAGCTTTCGTTGCTGCTCTGCTTTCAGCTGAGAAATGTCCTCCACCTGTTGCTGTGGCTGCTGCTGCTGCTGCTGCAGTTTGCGGAATCGTCCGCACATTTTTGGAATTTTGAAGATCTCACTGTTGTTGTTGCTGCTGCTGTTTTCCATGCTGCTGTCCTTTGGGCTGTGGGTCTCTGTTAATGTCAGGTTCTCTGCCGCTGTCACAGCCACTGCTGCAGCGCTGCTTGTAACTGTTTCTGCTGTTTCTGGATCTGTGGCCTCCGGCTCTGTATCAACCATTTGCGCTGCCTCTGCTGAGACCAGCTGCATGGAGGTGCTATCGGTGCCGCTATCTTCGCTGTCGCTGTAATTATTGCTGCCGCTGCCGCTGCTGCTGCTGCTGCTCAGCTCCAGCTCTTCCAGGTATTGCTCCTGCTGATGGTGCTTCTGTCGCAGCTGCTGCTGCTCCTTCTTCTGCTGCTGCTTCTCTCGCTTGCGCATCGTGTATTTCACGCTCTTGACGGCGCGCGAGGGCAGCCCGAAGGCCATGTACCGTTCAATCTGCTGCTCGCCTTTTTCAATGCCCGAATTATGGCACATTTTTGCATTGATTTCTTTCTCTCAACGTAAGTTAACCGTTAGTTCTTTGCACACTCTCTCTCTCGTTCTCGTTCTCTTTCTGTCTCTTTCTGTATTTCGGAAGCACTTTTTCGCACAATCAAAAAAATTAACTGTTTTTTAGTTCGAAATTTACGTGGTGGTTAGTCGAGGTACCGCGGGGGCTGGGAGGGTGAGTGAGTGTGTGACCAAAGGGGGAGTGTGAGTGTGTGGTTGGTTGGTTGGTTGGTTGGTTGGGTGACGGCAGGCGACGACGTCCACGCGCGTTGAGGTGTGAATGGGGCCGACAGCCATGGCATAAGGTTTTATATACGACGGGGGCTGCCTGACGTTGCCGTTGCTGTCGCCGTCGCTGTCGCTGCCGCTTCGGTTCTTTGCGACGTCGCTGCTTCCTTCTCTGCAGCGCGCTCTCTTGAAAACGATCTCTCGCTCTCTCTCCGTCTGCGCTTAAACGGGATTAATTACGAGAGAGTGTGGGAGAGAGCCGCCGCCTCACAGAGAGTGGCGAGACGCTCTCCCATTCTCTTTCTCTCCTTCTTTTGCAGTTCCCTTATCACCTGCAGAATCTCAATTAGCGGCTTCTGTCACGCTGTTGCTGCGATCGTTTTGGTATTCGCGTTTTTGGCTCCCGATCCGAATCCGAACCCGCCCCCCATATAAGCACCTGACAAATGGGACCCTGCGCTTTAATGAGCGCCACATGTGAATAGTTTTTGTGGCTTAACCTTCATCCCCCAACCAGCCCCATCCCACTTGTTGCTCTTCCTCTTGTTCTCCATTTCCCAGCTCTCAGTGCTCACTTCTGTGCGCTGCTGCCCCGTCTCTGACGTTTTTTGTAGCTTTCCGTCCGTCTGGGCTTTGGAATTTCTACTACAAAAAACAACATTAAAATTCACAAAAAATTCATTGATTCAGAATTTCACACAGACGTCACAGAGAGAGAGAGAGCGCATGGGCTACCAAATCGAAGGGGGCGAGGGGATCTCTTTTGGGGACCCCATAACCCAAACACCCAATCTGCAATCCAAATCCCCGAATGAGTCGTCCATCGAATTCGATGAATCGAATTCGCGCACTTTGGCGTCGTCGGTGATTTTTTCGGGGAATCTTTATCTCTGGCGGATGTTTCTGTATTCGATTTTTGCTACCGATCTACCAGAAAATCCTATCCCTTTCTCTAAATCTCATTAGCACGAATACTAACGTTAGCATTTTTATTTGCTTTTACTTAGTTTTTAGATAAATTCACGAAAATCAACAGCATTGAAGGGCTCTCTTACGTTTCGTTTGAGGATCGTTTCAAAGGTGCCTTATATCATCTCTCAAAAACATCTTTGAATTTCTAGTGGGAAGTGAAGTATTTTCAAAGCTTTACCAATTGTTTGAGATGATCATTTAAGGTTTAAATATTACGAGTTGATTTCTTGGAAATTTCATACATTTTTCATATGAAAGATCACTTGGAAACATTTATGTATTTCCATTTATTATTAGATCCCCTACTTCCATCTTCTATTTTATCTTGCAGTATTTTAACACTTTAAAAACTCTGATGATCTTTGATCTTTATCGAAACTATAACCAATATTTTTTGAAGCATTTGTTCAACTGACTGACTAACTGCCTGACTGACTGACTGATTGATTCGTCGGCCATTTTTCTGAATTTTGTTCGGCACGTGCCCCACATGACAAGAGAACTGATCTCTCGCATAGATATATCGATATCGAGGGAACTTTCTATATAGTATCTTCTCATCCGCTGATCGACGGGCTGCCTGCCCACGGCCCACAAACTGCTCATTATCTAATTACGGTGGCGGGTCTCCCACACTCCACACTTCACTCTTTCCCGCTTCCCATCCGATCCGATACGATCCGTGCAGCTCTGGAGCTCTGGCCTGGCCGGACGTGGATCTTTCCACAGACGATCAATCGATGGATCCGTTTATGGCGATAGGGACTCCTTTTTCTGCATACAAATGCTTCAATTAGTTTCGTTATGGCAGGCCTGATATTCTCTCTCTTTCTCCAATCAATCGAACCGATCCGATCCGATCATCGTGACCATTATAATTGCATTTTAATAATTCCATGGGGGCTCTCCCTATTGATTCTCTATTCACTCGATTTTATGCCCGCTCATCGTTGCTAAGGAAGATTCGCTGGGGACTTTGGTTCTTTGAATTTTTGGAGACGCAATACCCTCGGAAGGGTGTCGTGTCCCGTCCATCCATCCATCCACTGATTGACCATGATTGCTGGATAGCTGCCTGGCAGCGTAATCAATGCCGTGGCTGACCTTTAATCAGTTTGTTTATTTGGCAACTTTCTGTTTTGTTTATTTTTAATTTTTTTTTCGCGAAGAACCGACCCGTGGGGGCGATACACCGATCCCCTATGGACTTTGATCTCTGACTTTGATGCTTAAAATTCTGGCAGGGCAGTCGGTTGTAGGTTGTTGTTAGTGAATCATTTGAAATCATTTGCTTACTCATTTGCTTCTTCGGGAGGAGTTTATGAATGGGGAGAGGGGGGGCCTCTTATCAAAATTTGATTTTTAATAGCGTATTTCATTTGAATTTGTTTTTGTTAGGGGGTTTGACCCTAGAAGACACGTCCTAAAAATATAATTGGCTTTTTAGAAGATCTGAAATTGTATACCAAATATTATAGAAATTGGATCTGTTATGAATTGATCATAGGTACAATGGATCTCTACAGTTCTACCAAAAAGATTCTAGTTCCCTCTTTAACCTTTTTCGGTACGTTCGTAAAATGTAAGGGCAGATCTCCTGTTTGTTCTTTGTGCTTTCGATCCTCGAACATTGATCTTGATCGTTGAATATTATCAGATTTCGATTTAATTTTGCGCTTATCTCTCGTTCATATTTTGTATTTTGACAATGGGACGCGATGGTACATACGTAGGCCAAAACACGTCTGGTTGATTTTTGTTTTCAATTTTTTGTTTTTTTTTTTTTTGGCATTCACTTTGGGGCTGTGGCAAATTCCACTTGATTGCCGCAAATGCGGACGTGCCGCTTGGCTTTCACGTCACATGCGTGTGTTATGATCGGTGGGCGAGGAGAAAAGTGGAGCGTACAGGGTACATGGGGGGGGGGGCATAGAAATGGTTTTCTTTTAGCACCTGACGCATTCATCGTCTCGCGATGTCGCGTCGGTCGTCAGGCGGTGCCCGAATTCTGATGAAAGATGTCGTTCCTTGCGTCAGCATCAAGCATCTAGCATCATCATCTTCGGATCAGCTGTCTGTCCATCATATGGCAGTGATCCAAACAGAGATCTCCATTCCAGAGGGTACGCATGTCTTTGGTCACGATCCCCCCAAAATCCCACACAAAGTCTTCGCTCAATCAGTGCCAAAAAAAAAAAAAATTAAATGCAAACAAAATGTAATCACCATGGAGGTAGGAAAATAACCCACGTGAGGCGGTGTCTGCCTCAAAGAGAGTCATGTGAATCGCACACAGAGTCGGGAATCATCATCGATTATTGACAATAGAATTCGATTAGCACTAAACAATGAAAAAAACAAGCAACAAACAACAGCCAAAAGGCAGGAGTTCGATTTCAAATGGTAGCTACTATTTCACCATGAGGCGGCAATAGTGACGATCCCACTGGCTAGAGGATCGGCTGATTAGATGGTGGCGGCTAGTGGGGCGACTGGTGGGGCGCCAGCCCGCTGTCCAGAGGCGCAATGATAAGGCTGTGGGCAGAGTGGAGTGTGGCAGAGTGCGAAGTGAAGTGCAAGGGTGCAGTTCCTCTTATCAGCAGGACAAGATGGTTGTTGTTTACGACGATCCACAGTTTTTACGGCCTGCACTGGAAACCTCCCATAGATACTACCTTTGCCAATTCTGAGCATTGGCCATGCGGCGGATCGTGTGCACTTATCGATTTGTCCTCACTCTCTGTCACGGCCTCTCTCTCTCTCAATTATTGGCTAAGAGAGCGGCGGCTCTCTTTGCGCTTATTTTGTGCCAAGGCATTCGATGGTAAAAATAGATATCTATGTACTGGTAGGTGACGTTACTCCTTTCATTTGCTCTAAACTAGTTACGTCACACCCCCCTTTGGCGCTTGCTTATCAGCTAAATACACACACACACACATACACAGCACACTGCTTGCATGCTGTCGCACATAACAGGTTCAATGGCTCTTGAATGCTTTTCTGCGCTCGGCTCAGCCCTCTGGATCGATCTGCTGCTGCTGCTGCTGTTCCAGCCGCTGCCTCTGCTGGTGCTTTTGCTGCTGCTGCGCTGCTTCTTTTAGTTCTGCTGCGCTTCTGTTTCCTCTGCTGCTGCTGCACCTCTTTTACTGCAGAACTGCTCCTTCTTCTGCTGCTGCTGCTGCTGCGCTTTCACAAACACATGAAACGACTGATCTATGGTGGGATCAGTCTCTCTTCTGTTTAATCGGGCAGGTCAGTTTTCAGTTCTCAAAGCTCAAAGCTGAGAGCTAGAAAACGTACTTTGTTGTCTCGATCATCGCCCAAGGAAATACATGCGTTAAACACGTTCTGACATTTGATGGAAATTCCACAGGCTAATAAAATGCATTCAAAGAGCACAGTGCAACGAAGGAAAAACCCCTGTGATTGGACTGCTTCTTGGGCTTATGTATCTACTGCTTGCTAGTCAGTCTTGTCTACTGCTTACCTGACTCAACCACTGATGCAGTAGATCACCGACAGCTTCTTTTTCATAAAGCTACTGCTTCCTTGATGGAAATACTGCTTCGTAAAGAGTTTTTTCTTCTTAAATGTTGATATATAAAGAGTGTTTTCCATTATGATTTATACGATATCTGCTTGGGAATGCTGCCTGCCCCCTATATCTCTACAGTATTTATGGGTCAGCCTGCGCTCTCCTTTCGCTATCACTCCCTGGATTTATGGCGCCTGGAAGTGCGGATCGGTTCCGCAATGCTCTCGAAGTGGAGCGGAGAGCATTATCTGTCATAAAGATCATTCAGATCATGCAATCCATCATGCTCATCCCACCCCCATTTTGATGCCTCAAATTGGTCCAGTGGTAGCCGTATTATCATTATGTGGTGTACGCATTATTATTATTTATTTTTTGTGTTCTGTTTGGAATTCTCGTCGCATTCATTGATTTCAATTCGCAAATTGCGGAGCGGCTCAACGGAATTGCACTTTGTTTCCCACACAAAAAGGAACGACAATAATCGTATGGGCATCGCTCATCTGTATCTGTATCTCTGTATCTGTATCTCTATTCCAGTCCAGCAGTTCATCTTCATCAAGAGACCCGCTAATCTGCCAGTGCCTCCTCCTATTTCCAGTGCTTCGTTCCGTTTTGTGCCTCCTCCTACTCCACGCTTACAATATTCTTTACCCTTTCAGAAGGGGTATTCTAATTTTGGATAATCTGTTGGTGTTCCTCATTGGATAATCTCTCAGTTACCCTCAAGATTGAGGCACTGTAGCATCTATTAGTTGGATATTTATTACCGCTACAAACTCCTCAATATGTCCCTCAAGTTTCGTGGCAATCGAATGACAAAAGTGCATCCGCTACAACCAAAAATTTCTTATAATTAAATCGATGCATTCTGCTATAGATTTCTGGCTTTGAGCCGTTGATCTTTCGTTTTGCAAGGGTATCCCGTTCGTGTGTGTAGCCTTTGCGGATCTTTGTATTTGGAGCCGCCGTCTGGCGGCTCAGAGCTCCGCCTGGGCTTTTGGCGTACGTGACTTTGGCATCTGCGGCAATGTCCGCGACGACCGACGACTGCCGGCTCTCGACTGCTGTGGCGACTGTTGCAAATCGAAACGAATCGCTGGATTCGCCCCATGGAGTGGATGCCGCATGCGGCACAGAGCGGCGGTGGCGGAGGCGGTGGCGGTGGAGCAGGAGAAGCCGCCAAACCTGCCCGTCGTCGGATTTACAATTTGTCTGCTCTGCCGCTCGGGCTAAACTTTTTTGATTATTTTATTTATTTATTTTGCCATGCTCGTTAATGTTTAATGTTATTGCCGCCACAAAACAGGCAAAAAGTGGAAGGAAAATCCACATAAAACAAAGCAACGTTGTGGAAACACCCTACGATTGCATTCACATCAAATTCCTTAGCACTTCTTTACAGCATTACTTTTTCTGCTTTTTGGATCGTTATATTGCTTAAATTTGCAAGAATTTCCTACCTTAAAAATGATCAAACAAAATAAATGGAGAAGCAGGCATGGAAAGTGTATTTATCCCTGAATATAACAATCTGATATGCCCAAAAGTACAGCTCCCTAATCTCTAATTCCCATACTTTCCTGCATGTAATTCGCGTCATGCAGCAGAGCCCATCGGTCACTCGACAAGCCGCCCATGTGCTCCGTATTTAGGGCAGAGCATTCGTGGGGCCAAAACTGCTTGCGTTTCATGCAATGCGATCTGCTGCTGCTGCTGTTGCTGCTGCTGTTGCCACTTGCTGGTTGGTGTGCCTCCATACGATGCCGATTGAGGGGCACCCTGGGGCGTCTGTCTAACGGCTGCGTCAGCAACATTTTCGCATGGCAACACCCGATCGTTTGGGCCATGTGATTTGCTGATCACGGATCGCGGATCGCTGTTTGCTGTTCGCTTGGCTTGTGGCCCATTTCGCTGTGTGTGCGTGGGGGGTTGGGGGGGACGACTATTACAGACGACTGCCCCCGAAAAATAAACTGGTCGAAACGTCATCTAGCTGTGAGCGCCTGCACTCCCGCAGAGCGTCTGCTTCTATCTTGTTGTACTTGACGATTAGCAGGGCGCGAATCGGAGCCAAAACGAATGTCAACAGTCGAGTCGTTTAGTGGAAAAATATTTACTAATTTCTACAAATTGTTTTTGTTTTTGTCGCGAGGGAGCACCCCTGGCAACAGATGAGGCAACCCCCCAACTAACTTCTGGCGGATCAATGATCTCTCTCCACTCTCTCTGGGGCTGCTCCTACTTTTGCCGAGCGAGGGGCTCGACCTGGAATGTAGTTAATTTTTGTAAGCACAGATGTGGAAACAGCCCCATTAAATATACGGAATACTTACACTGTACTGCCCATCCAATGATCGTGGGGGGAAAGGTGTACGATGACTAATACGAATGCCATTATGAATAATCATCTGCGCTCAAGCCCAGAGTGAAAGGGCTTCCAACCAGAACTTAAACCCGTCAAAAGCGAAAGTAAACCTACAGATGAAACGATCTTCCATTAGATTCGATCTGACTTAATCGCACAGATCAAGGGCAGATCTTTCCTTGGCAGCCAACAGCCTAGGCTAAGTTCCATCTTTGATAGAATATATCTGATAATTTTGCTTGTATTTCAGGTGTACATGGCCCTGTTCCAGCCGCTGCATGTGACGCGACATCAGTTCAAAAAGGTGCTTAACTGCATGAAGGTGATACGTGCCCTGAAGTACCAGGAGGTCTATGCCCAGGAGAAGGTCACCAAGGTCGATAGCCTGTCGCTGGTGCTGAGTGGCAAGTGAGTAACCACAAATGATTCAAGCAACAATAAATACAGAACATGCTACATTTATTCCCATTTTCACACCCTAAAGGCTGGTCGTCTCGCAGCATCAGAGGGCATTGCATATTGTGTTTCCCCATCAGTTCCTAGACTCGCCGGAATGGTTTGGCGTCTCGACCGATGACTACTTTCAGGTATACACACACAGATACAAATAATATACGTTCAAATAAAGGCATGTGGCATATCTAATTGATATTTGGCAGGTCTCCATTATGGCCATGGAGGAGTCCCGTGTTCTCATCTGGCATCGCGACAAGCTTAAATTGTCAATTATGGCCGAGCCCTTTTTGCAGACCGTCTTTGATCATATACTGGGTCGGGATGTCGTAAAGAAACTCATGCAGGTCACACAGGTCTGGGTTCTCCCCACCCCCGTAGGTGCAGTAGCCAATAAATGATTCGTTTCTTTTGATTTGGTTGTAGGTGAGCGAATCGATAGCCAGCAATGGCTTCCTGCCATCTGGGGGCTATGCGGAGGATGCCGAGGATAAGCCGATGCTCATACTAAAGAAGAGCGTGGATGTGGGCCATGGACTGACGGCGCTAATTAATCGACAGCTGCAGGGTGAGTCTCTTCTCCTTCTCTCGCCCACCATCTCTCTCTCTCTCTCTCTCTCTCTGTCTGTCACTCTGTCTCTCTAGCTGTCGTCCTATTTCATTCAGTCTTCATTTTTTCACCTCACAAACTCTCTCCCTCTCTCTCTACCTCCTCCTCTACCACTACCTCTCTGTCTCTCTCTCTCTCTCTATATCTCCGGCTCTCTGTTTGCACGCATTCTGCTTGTAACGGGGCTTTTGCATGGCTTAACCTCACTTTTGGCTAGAACCTAACCTCACATTTGGAACCCAACCAACCTAACCTAACCTCAAAGTACGATTTACAAGTAGTTTGATTTATTCGTTAAGTTAAGTTATTAATATTGATTTTTGTACGTTTCTGTTTATTGTTCCGTTTATTTTTTCTTTTGTTTTTTTTTTTACCTATTTGCAAAAACAAAACAAAAAACAACAAAAAAAACTCTAATTTTAGAAGAGCATGTTCCCTTACTTGGTCGCACGTACAAACAACAACTGCAACAGCAACTGCAACAAGAACAACTGCAACTGCAACACCAACTGCAAATGCAACTGCAACTGCGAGAAGCGCCACGAGTGCACGAGTCCTCCGCCTCCGCCCCCTCGAACAACAACGATCAAAGTGCTTTGTAAAATGAACGGGGCAAATGAATGAAGAAATGCTGCTACAACGATGCTACTCGCTACTCGCTCCACCACTTGCCATACCAACAGAACAGCTCACCTCTGACCCAACAACAATCAGTCACCACAACACAGACACACACACGCAATCGCTGAAAGCAGGAGTCCACCCACCCAATAGCAGCCGGCAGCAGCAGCAGCAGCAGCATCCTCCACAGTCCATCAGTTCATCATCCACTCCAATCATCAACCCGATCCGATCGCAGAGAGAGCCAACGCCAACTCCAGCGCCTAATCAGCACATCATCCAGAAGCAATCATCGCATCGCATCGCATCTCATAGAATCTAGCACACACACGCTCCTCTTAACGCCCACCCCCCCTCCACGTCTAACCAGATCTAATCACTCTAATAGCATTACGATATGTACTCTACATTGTTTGTATAACCCGAACGAGAAACCCAAACCCAATATCCAAACAAATTGCCAGGCACCACTCGAATTTCACAGTCTAAACAAAATCTCACTTATCACTCGCCCGACCGCCCGCCCACTCCCGCACACCAGCACAAAAAATATTCCACAGAAGTACGGAAATTTCTTATTGAAGTCCATCGATCAGAGCCGCTAATGAAAGATCACAGAGAAGGCAGCGCAGCGCAGCGCAGCTCTGAATTGAATTGAATTGAATCAGAGGAATTTGTTGAAGTTAATTCAAATCCTTGAATGTCTCACGTCTGCTCTTATGAGTTGTAGTCAAACCAGATATGAGCATGAGATAGATAGACTCGACTGATCATGATCAAACGTCCACATACTTGAGGTTGATTCGATTATGAATACATACATATGTATCTATTGTACGCTCGTATGGTAGTTTGTAGTTTAAATGTTTGTTTGACTCTCACACATGATCCTATGACAGATGATCTTGTAGCGTGTCGAGATCTGAAGTTGATAGACATTTGTGACTATTTGTGATCATGAGCACAGATTTGAATTAGATTAAGATACTTGACTGCAATTAAAGAGATTGTTCATCATAGATTAGACATTTAGTGTAGATTATGTTCTGTTTTAGCACGAGAATATCAATCACAGAAGATTCTCCAACCGAATCTCTCATAGATTGTGTCAATCGGTAGTTAATTCCCAGCTTCTTCAATATCCTTAAATAGAAAACGATCGAAGATTGTGCCACCAGCAGAGACACAAACATTGAACATAAAGCAGCTACAAGATCCTTGACATAAGTATGATCATCGATTCAGTTGCTCGAAAGACAACAAGCAACTGGTTTGAGAACAGCTCTCGAATGCAGCGATTGAAGAACGATTCAACGTTCGATACGGGTGATGGAGGGGTCGATCGAGTGACAAGTGATGATCAATGATCAACGATCGATGTTGAATGATAAATGATTAAATGATCTTTAAAAACCCAAGTGAAGATCAGTTCTCTGAATGAATTTTGTTATCTAATATACTTTCTATCCATTTGTTTGACATTAACACATTTATAATATTATTAATATATATTATTTTTGTTTTGTTTTGTTTGTACTCTCCACATTTATGTTGATTTGCATACAAATTGAGCGCGAAAACTAATTAGAATTAATATTGAATAATAATATTTAGTACTGTGTAAGCAATACACCTAGGCACCTACATAAGTCTCTGTACATACATAACCCATACATGCAATATAGTACATACCATATACATATACATATACATACACATACATATACTATACATATGTACATATGAACTGCTGTGTATAATCACCCTGCTCCAAGTCCCACACGATACCCACAACAAATAATTATTTGTATAACGAAAGGAATCAATGTGAATGTGTAAACAAGCCAAAAACGAAAGCAAATAAATAACTAAAAAATCATATTATATATCAAGAGAAGAACATCCTCACTCGTATCGGATATATGTATCTATCAGATATATATTTATATATATTCCAATTGAATGGGGAGGCACGCGCTCTGCCACTGGCGACTGTCGGCCATTTGGCATCATTAACATTATTTTGGCATTGATTTGTTTTTTATTTTAATAACAAAAATATTTTCTATTTAATTAAACAATTTTGCTATTGTCGCGATCTCCGCGCCGACTGTTGATTGCGATCTTTTGCCGACTGTCTGTCTGTCTCTCTATCTATCTATCTTTGTGTTGTGCCGATCCGATGATCGGGGGCGGCACAGCGGTTGGGTTCTCGCACACACTCTGTAAACACATCGATAGCTTGGGCTGTCGATCCGATCATTTCCGCCCCATTTGTAAGCCCCGTGTATCAATAATAATAATAGCGCAATTAGCACCAATATTAATGTGTCTTGGAGACAACAGCTCTACAAAAATAAGCAGTAATAATAGTTTGGGGGTAGCCAAGGAGTAATCAAAATTAAAATTCGAACCATCAAATAAATATGACTAAGCGCTCAACCAAATGGGGGCTATAATACCTGAGAATGATAGTCTTATCTTATGTAGCCGGAGTACCTATTAGAAATAAGCTAAGGAATAGAGCTGCCTGGAAATCCATAGACGATACGGGTGATTAATTCATGAATAGCGATCTACAATTAAGTTCAGAGACAGATTGTACCGAAATAGCATTCGATTGGAGGCTCTGAAAATAGCACGCACGATTAGCGGGCGTGACACACTTCCCCCATAGAAGACTAGTCGTAATTTGTATCTGGATCTACCATAGCGTACGTCGTACTTCCTCTCACTCTCTGTTACCCACTCTGCTTTTCTCCCAACTCACTCAAATGATTTTCACAATTTCCCCCAACCCCGCTACCCTATTTAAAAAAGACAAGCCAACATATATTGTAATCTGTATGTTTGATTTGTGATGAAATTTATGTATTTGATTTTCTATTTTTTCGGTGAACTATAATTTTGTTGTACGATATGTCCAAAATATGAACAAACAAAAATAAAAACAACTCTCGATCATAAACGTTAATCAACAAAAACAACAAAACTACAACTCCAACTACAAACCAACCAACCAACCAATCAACCAACCAACCAACCAATCAACACCTACTGTACCAATCCTACAAACACCAACAAATAAAAAAACAACAACCACCAAACAATCGATTAATAATCGATTAACTGTTGTGTGTGGTGTTAACGGTGTATCAGCCCTGCCCAGGATATCGAAGTATTACGATTGCGGTAAGTCCCAACCATAAACTCCAACTTCAACTCCAACAAAGAATCAGATCAGAAATGAAATCAATGAAAAGATGCTTTAGCCGTCAGCGTATGTATGCTCCTAGTCTGTGTGTCTCTCTCTCTCTCATATTCTGTCTGTGTTACCGTTACCGTTACCATTACCGTTACCGTTTGTAGTGTGACCGTTTGTGTGTCTGTTTTTAATAGTTTTTACGTTTTTGTAAGCTTTTTAGAGTTATATTCTATGCATGCCTGCCCTGCCTTTTTGTTTAATCAACAAAAACAAAAAAAGCGTTTCCATATTCGTTAGCCCCCGCCGCCCGCCCGCCCCCTCTCAAAATGCCGATAAACTCTTTTGCTACACGCCGTCTCTTCAAAAAGAACTTTTTAAGAACTTAACATTTGGGAATCCATTGAGAAATAATAAACAAACTCTTTTCTTCTCTTTTGTTTCTTTCTATTTCTGTATCTGTTTTTTTAATTTTCGATTTTAGCTGGTGATCCAAACTCCTGGCGCCTGGGACGGATCGATGAGACTGACCACGAGACGGCCGTGTGAGAGGATGATCAGCGCAATGGAGGAGCGAAATGTTTAGACTTGTGTTTTTGAGTATTATTAGATGTATATTTTAGGTAATACTGAGAGAGCCCCCGCTGCTAATGGTAACCGCAGAAAAGCAACCAAAAAACAAAAGAAACCAAAACCAAAAAAAATTACAATATTTCTAAGGAAACCAAATGCCATTGCGTCGTTAAACAGATACAGATAAAGATACAGATATATATATATATATATGTATATATATATATATTGTACGATAAACTATCAATTTCGTTATGGGTATTTCTATGGCAATGCGAGTGTGTGAGTGTGTGATGCCATGCCACTGATATGCATATGTTTAATTTTCATCAAATTTCATTTCAATGTCAATGAGCTTTAATAATTGATTAAGTCCTTCAATCAGTTGATTTTCTATGAACATCGAATTTAAATGGATTTTGTATTGGTCAAAACGATATATTTATTTTGATTATTTTTGTATTTTAAATATATTTTACGTACGTTGGCATCCATGGCATTTGAATTGGAATATTTTTAGTTTCACAGCATGGCACTGCTTTCAGTGTTTCAGAAATACCCATAGCCAATACCACAAAATGGAAATGCGCGAAAGTATATTTATAAATTAAATTTAGTCTAGTTGCAAATTGTATTACGCTATAACTATGGATAATAAGGGTTGGACGAGCGAACAGAGAGAAACAAGAGAGAAGTGGACAAACGACCGTGGTATGAAACGGCAATGACGCGGTACGGAACGGCAACGGAACGAAATGATTATTAATTAAATAAAGAAGAAAATGTATTTTTTTATTACCCTAAAGTTAAGAAAATTACTAACAAACAAACAAAAAATGGTTAAAAAATGGTTACAAAACAATTAAAAAAATGCAAAAATGAAAGTAAACCCAAAAAAAAAAAAATTAAGTGTACAATATACAACAAACAAAAAAACATACTAAATATAGGAACATACACACAGAAACATACATACAAAACATACACATATGAATACGTAGCTATAAGAATGATATTGTTTTGTGTGGCTAACTATTCCCCATCCAGAAAATACGATACCAGACGATGGCTTAAGAATAGAATTCCATTCCATTCAAACACACAATCACAACGGACACAGTGCAGGTACAGTCTGTGCTGTACTCCAGTCATCCAGTTCCCGCCTAAATTGTCATATGGAATCATTTACAAATAATAAATTTCCGGATACGAGTTGCTGCAGAAACAGAAGATCAACAGCGATCCCCAAGCCTTAGGACAGTACTTGCTCGTAGTGGGCCAGTGCATTTATACCCGTACTCAAAAAGAGTTAAGACCCCCTAAAGTATATATATATATCTTATTCGGCATCGGCAGCCGAGTCTATGTGTGTCTGTCTGTCTGTCCGACTGTCTGTCTGGTTGTCTGTCTGTCTGTCTGTCCGTCATGATGAGCGCCTAGATCTCAGAGATTATAAGAGCTAGAGAAGCCAAAATTTGTTTCCAGACTCATGAGATATCACACTGCTACAAGTATATTTCAAAATTTCATTAAACATCAAATTACTGACTGAGTACGGGTATAAAAGTAGAGTCGCGTCCAAAGAAGCGACTCACACGTTCCTTCTCGTTTCTTTTTTGTTTGGTGCTGCATGAAAATGCCTACCCCCAAACCCATACATACATATATTCATACATATATTCATACATATATTCCCCATATCACTAGTCGTCCCACCACCCTAGAAAAAAATGAAAGAAAAACGGGCAAAGCTAAAAGAAATACCCGGTACTAAAAGACGGACAGAAGGAATAGTTTCTGAACCCATTAGGTATATACCAAATGCTTGATCAATCCAAGTACCGGGTACCATGTGTGCCTCGCTATATTTTTGTAGTATACATAGCTGATGAACCCCCCGCCCCGCCCCGTTGGGTTATTGATGGTCAAAAAAGTGAATAATTTTCGTTAGCTAGTTAGGGATCAATATCAATGGATATATAAACTGAGAGTTAGCCCTGAAAACTTCCTTTAAATTTGGAATTTTTTTTTTCAAGGCATACAAATATGGAATTTGGTTTCATTCCCACACAGTATTCGAGTATTCCCTCCCATAGATTGCATTCTATTTGTATTGTATCGATCCCAACGTCTACTGTCTCTCATGTAAGATCCACATTAAGCGAAAAAGCATAAGAGTACCGAAGATAAAAGCAAACAAAACAAACAGTTCAATGTATCTCGTACCTTGGAGCATAATTAAAAACTTAATTAAAATGAAAATAAAATGAAAATAAAAATAAAACATAAACATAAGTTTACCGACAGCTAAACGCTCATAGCACAAATATTTATCTATTATCTTAACTAACTCTGCGGGGTGTTTGCCAGTGGGTAAGTTTCGTGGCCAGTTAATGTTCATGGACATCTAATCGGATATGGACAACAGCATTATCCAGTCATAGCTGCATAATTAGCTAGAAATTTTACCCAACCTTAGAGGGATGCTAAAAACGGAAGCCAAGTGATGTTCAGTCTCCTTTGCTCTGCTCTCTGCTGGAACAGCAGGCAGCAGAATTGCAATTAATGCATGCAAGTAGTAGCCACAGATCCGGGGGACAAACAACTTTGACAACGACATTGTCCTGGAGTTAGCCGTTGGGGCCACAGGCGACCAAACTCTCTCTCTCGCTCGCGCTCCCTCGAAAAGTTGAACAAACGACATTTTTAATATTTGATGTGGCTTTGCTGTATGCGGTGGTGCCATCCAGCGGGTTATCTATCTATATGCAGGGTGGGCTGGTGGGTTTGTTGCAACTTTTCCTTTATACCCATTAAGGCGGTACTTTTGGCCGCTAAAAAGGTTTTATTTTACTTAGTTCCGTATTCACTTGGCATATATGTATATATGTACATCTAAATCAGAGTTTAATCAGCCATCAAATCAACGATGGATCTGCATGGGCGAGACCTGTTCCTGTTGTGGCTGCTAACTTTGTTCTCCCTCTCCTTCACTACCCTTCGTTCTTCATCTGTTTTACCTTTCTCTATATTTTACTCACTCTTTTTTTTAACTGGGGGTGGGGTGGGCAAAAGTTTAATTGCAATCTATCACTCAAGCAGTGCACTGCTTGTATGGATGTATGTGCATGGGTGCAAAAAAAAAAGAAACTGTTGCATACTTTCCGGCGGATGTGTGCATTCGCCTGTGTACAATACACACACACACTCAAACACACTTTACCTGCTCTTTTTATCATTGTCTCCCTTAATCCTTGTGCTGCTCTTTTTTTATCATTTTTATTTTTAGTCTATCGGTCACGTGCCCAAAGGGCTCGGCTCGGCTCGACAGGCAGACAGAACATCAAATAAAAAAAAAAGGTCTCCCTGTTAATAGAGTACTCCATCAAATGATTGACTGCCAGAGCTGTGAAAATATTTACACATTTTTTCTAGCTTAATTTTTGGAATTTTCAACATTTAACTGAATTTTGCCCATTTTGTTTTTTTTTCTTGTATTATTTCTGCGCTGGTGCCATCTTTTTATTGAATTTTGCTGGCAAGCTGGCAAATAAATTCAAATCTTTTTTCCTCTTTCTGTGGATTGGGGCAGTGGGTAGCTGGGTAGCTGGGTGGGTTGGGGGCAGCTGTGGTGTTGCATGTGCAAAATTAATTGCAGTTTGCCTTGCTCATTTCGTTTGTTTGCAACACTCTGCTTCCGCTCCACTTACGGCTGGAGCCGCTGCTACCGCTGCTGCTGCTGCTGCTGCTGCTGCCTCTGACGCTTTGAATTTAGGTTAGTCGTTCACCTTAAATCAGTTAATGTTAATCAGCATTTCGCCGCGTTGGTGCAGCACCAGGGCGGAGGCAGCCGGCAGCCAGCAGCCAGCAGCCTGTCACTCAGTCAATTGCTTCCGCTTCCGTTTGACGCCTCTCATCCGGCGGATTGGTTTGGATGAGCATCGATCGGGCCAGGGGATGTCTATGTCGATGTCGATGTCCCTGCCATGGTAGGGTGGCCATGGGCATGGGCATGGGCATGGGGGGCTGGGCTTCATTGTTGTCGCTTGGCTGATTCCTTGCGATTGGGTCACACGAGGTGGCTGCCTAGCCAACCGTCATTGTCCCTATGCCACCCTTCGACGGGCTGTTGGTCAATAACCTTAATTGCTCATCAATTTTCACACAGAGCCACACAAACACACAGCAAAGGCGCTAATCAGTCAGCAGCAACACCAACAGCAACACCAACAGCAGCAGCAACAATCTGTCCCTGCGGCTTATGTGTGTCACTATGCTAGACATCCCATATCCAAACCCAAACCCAAACCCAAACTCAAACCGAAACCCAAGCGATAGGGGGAAGTTCTGTCCGTTGGCTTTGGTTTTTGTGCATTTAATCAATATTTGGACACCAGCCACAGCAGCATCAGCAGCAGCAGCAGCAGCAGCCACAGCCCCACCAACTGACAAAGTGTCGAAAAGAGTTTAAGCCAGACAGCAAGAATATCTGAATATAAACTCGGGCACAGAGCATCATCAGAAGAGCCCTTTGAGGTTTTACGTGACATGTAAATATTTAGATAAAGTTGTTTAAGGGGAACTTCTTAGGCCAGTAATTACTGGCCCCGAATTATTGTTTATTCAGTGCCAAAATGTTTAATAATTTACGGAAATTTAAGCTACATTTCACAGACTTAAATTTAAAATAAAAATTCACATCTACAGATCTTAATGCTCTGATCGGATGCCAAAGACCAAAAACACAAAAATCCAACAAATGTTTCTGTAAGTTTAAGTCGACCATGGAATCAGCCGCTGGCCCGCACAGGCCTTCATTTTGCCTTTTGTTTTTTTTTTTTGTTTGAGCAGCAAATATTGAAGTGCAGTTGCAACTGCAGCAGCAACAGCAGCAGTGGCTGCCAAAGGCTGGGGCAGGGCACCCCAAAAAATGTCAAAAAGTGACCGCAAACAAGGGGCCAGCCAGGCCAAGAATTTTTGGGAAGGCGGTAGTGGAGTGTGCTGCTCGTTTGTACCTACAGACAGAAGCAGCACGAAAATTAGCTTGCCACACAGCCACACACACACACACACACACACACACACACACATGATGCAATATGCAATCAACTTTCACATCCACATCCACTTCAATAGTAGATGTACAATGTACACGAAAGCAAATAAAGTGGCTCCAGATGGACTCGCCGCTCACCCGTGCCAGCAGCCCAGCCCTGCCATAACTACAAGGAATGATCCGCAAGGGGCACTAACAGCATGGTTGGGACTGTACTCGTGTGTCAGTGACTGCGCCATCAAGCAAACATTTGACATTTTTACAGGAAACAAAACAAAAAAACACACACAAAAAATAAATAAAGACAGAAGGAAAGAAATGCAACAGTAAACTGCCAAAAGGCACAAAGCAAACATAGTACACTTCCCCCCGCTGCCCGACCCCTCACTGCATCACTGTGTAAAACAAAACGCAACATTTAATATATAGTATATGTATATATACAAAGTCTATATAGTAGTTATGTATATAAAGAAAAGGAGCAAAAGTGCTGCCAACATTTTGCAAGCAGCGCATTTAGAATGAAAACTTTTGCAAAAGTTTCTGCTGCTGCTCTGCATTTAAATGCTCCAAAAAAACACACACACACACACACACATAGACAGACACACACAGACACAGAGAAACTGCAACCCAACGTGAGTGAAGCCTGGCAAAAGTATCAAAATTCAATAGAAATGTAATGCTTATCTAATTAATTATTCAGTTTTGCGCAGCGGCGCCTTGGAAATCTTGCGAAAAAACGACCCGAGAGCAACTCATTTACTTATCTACATATATATGTATATATATTTTAAACTATTTTGCACTGCAATTACAACAGTCAGAAAACTGCTGTGCTGAGCTGAGCTCTGCCCTGAAATCTCTAGCCAATCCATTTATATTTATATATTTTTTGTATATTGAACGCCAAAACTTTCAGACGAAATTTACGCATTTAATTAAATTTGCATCGGAAGCAACAAGTTTTGCTGCCAGCTAAGCCCACAAATGAATTTCCATGCGGAGATAAAATCGAAAGCCCGTAAAATTCAACATAAATGAATTTGGCCCTGGGCTCAAGATAAAAATGGGAATAGGGCCGGGCAAGAATTAAGCTAGAGCCCAACTATGTATGAGGCATGGCGGCGGGATTATTGCTTGCTGCTTGGCAGCTGCAGCTGCAGTTGCACAAAGAGTGACAATTTGTTCATTTGGGGCATAATCCAAAGATCCTTGTTGCTTGCTCTATTTCGGATTTCAAATCCTGTCACATGCTGCATGCACTGCAAGTAGCTTTCCATTTTGGTTTTCTAGCTTCAATTATTGTCCATTAAGTCCATCAATACGAGCTACCACCAATGCCCCATGTTCAATGCCCAATCACCTTCATCTTTTGATGACTAATGGCCATGAAGTACCACAGATTTTCGATTAGTTGCCGCCTGCCCATAGCACATTCCTTTGTGCTAATCTGCGGCTTTTGTCTACCAAATGTTGCACTCTGCATGCAACAAGCCAAAATCCCCCAATACCCACTCAAAGTGTGCACAAGGAGCAGGAGCAGAAGGAGCAGAAGGAGGAGGTAGGAGGTGAGGTGAGGTGAGGTGTGGTGTGTCGATGATGCCACTATAATCTTTTGCTTTTAGTCGAAGAACAGAGCCCAGAGCAGAGCCTGAGCCTGAGCCACTCAGCAATTCCACACTTTCACTTTATTCTCGTGCTCTCAGGGCTCTACTCTGCTCTACTCTGCTGCAGTAGTGCACTTAACAAGCTGCTTCTGAGAGAATGCGAACGGCTGTATGGGAGAGCCTCAGGTACGTGTATGATGTTGTGGTGTGGCACAGGTATTGTACCCTTTTAATGTGGCACCATCATGGCAACGGAGTCGTTGTCGGAGTTTGCCTCAATCACGTGTGGGAATTCAATTAAATAAACGAGAGTTTGCAAAGGGAGCGAACCAGTAGCAGGAGGAGCAGGGGGAGGAGCCGGAGGAGCAGCAGCAGTTGCTGGTCAGGGCAATAAATGTGCACACAAATAGACACGGAGACGGAGACGGATAGGTAGATAGATGGATGGATAGATCCCCCAGCGGCCGGAAGTGACTTTTGGCCAACAGCGGAAGCTGCTAACGGCTGCTACTCCTGCTCGTCCTGCTCCTCCTGCTCCTCCTGCTCGTCCTGCTGGTGTTCTCCTTATGTTGTCGGGCTGCTGCTCTTTTGCATAGGTTATGGGAAAACATTTAGCTGGCCATTTCTTGGGGATCTCAAACCAAAACAAAACTCATCCACGAGGGCATTCAAGTTTCCCTGCCCTGCTGCCTGCCCCCTGAGCTGCGTGCCTCAGCGATGCTGCAGCCAGCCGATGTATGCTCGTGGGTGCGCTCGTGGAGCTCGTTTGCCACAGCCGAATGCGTGTCCGTGTCCGTGTGCTGCTGCCTGGCTGGCTCCTTACTGGCTTGTTAGTCGCTTGAAAGTTCTTCAGAGCAACAGACGTGCCCCGGAAGCAGCAGCAGCCGTAACAGTAGCCATAGCCATAGCCTCTCTGTCCATCGAGAGTCCATTCTTTGACTGACAGTTTGTTTCTGTGTGTGTGTGTGTGTGTGTGTGTGTTTGTTTGTGCTTGTGTTTGTGTGCTTTGCTTTTTGGCGCGTGAATTTTTGTTGTTTGTTTAAGTGAGTTTTGAGTTTTGGGGCAGTGATTGGAGAGGCAGAATGAGGGACTATCCATCGGTGCCCAGTGTATTCCGCGTGGCCTCCACGCACAGCATCAACAGCGAGAGTCCCTACAACAATGTGCAGCAGCAGCAGCAGCAGCAGCAGCAGCAGCAGCAGCATCCACATCAATTGACCACCAGTGCATCCATTGAGCACAGCTATCCGTCACAGCAGCAGCAACAGCAGCAGCAGCAGCAACAGGAGCACTCGCCCTATGCCACATTGCCACGTGGCCAGAGATTTGCCATGCCACATCCGTATCCTCATGCACAGCGACAGCAGCAGCAGCAGCAGCAGCAGCAGCAGCTGAATACGGGCGTGATCAATACCATTTCGGGCAGCATTCCCGCCACTGGCTTTGGCAGCGATCTGCAGCTCAACAATTTGGCAGGAAGTCGACGCCCGCAGCAGCACCCGCGACAGGCGATGCCACCAGCTTTGGGCCACTACAAGCCAGCATCGCCGCTGCCGCCACTGCTGCCCATGGAACAGCGCCCGCGGCATCAGCAGCAGACCCGTGGAGGCGTTGGAACATCCGATGGACAGCAGCAGCAGCAGGCACACGGATTCAGCAGTCTGAGCAGCCTGGCCAACGGCAGTTACCTGTGGCTCCTTACACCTGTTGCCGCCAGGTAAGTGGGGTTGGCACTGCCACAGCCTTCCCACACCTTTATGTGCAGTTCTTTCAGAAATTGTGGGCTTTGCTTTACTTTAATAAATAAATAAACACACACAAATAAAATTGTGTGCGCCTTTCAGCTTGCTTTTGTGGCCCCTGGGCGCTGCCTGCTGCCGCAAAATGCCAGAAATTCTTTTGCAAAATCTTTTAGAAACTAAAACCTTTAATACACACAGAAGCAGCAGCAGCAGCAGAAGCAGCAGCAGCGTGCATGAAGCACCTTCAGGCAACCATTTTGCTTTGCTGCCATTTCTGTTTTGTGTTTAAAGAAAATTGAAGAAATGTCGGCAGGCGGAAGGCAGCAGGCGGCAGGCAGCAGCAACATTCTCCTTCCCGACGACGCATAATTGTGTTAGCAGCACAAATCACTGCAAAGTGAGGCTTAATTTGTTCGCAAACTATTTCGCATTTCGCACCACAGCCACCCAACCACCCAGCCAAGCCAACCACCCAGCCAAGCCACCCAAGCCACCCACGCCACAAGCCCCAAGTTTCAGTCCCAGGGAAAAGAAACAGAAAAGAAACAGAACAAATTTATTGAATTTCTGTTCATAGATTTATGACGGCAAATATTTATTTATAAGTACATATTTATGCATGGCATAGTTGAGTAGATTAATCCACACATTGTATTTATTATTTTTTGTAGGCCTGAATTTAGCCGTGGATCACATACTCTGTTTTGTGCTTAGAGTTCCCCAAACAATCCGCTTTAATTTTTATTGTTTTTATAATTTTCAAAACAATTAATGGTTCCAAAAGCGAATACAGTATTAATATAGTATATAGTACAAATAAATAATAAATAAATATAGTATTTATTTATTCAATACCCAATACAGGCTATACCTGAAGATATAGCAAAACAAAGTTAAAGTTTTCTGACATTTTTAATGTTTCTTAAGCTTTGGAAATTGTTTTAAAATTTTGGTTGCATATTTTGATTACAATTTTACACCTTAATTTTTTAGTGACATTAATTTGTAAGCAACCGATCAAAGATCAATTCAAAGAATGCCCAAGCTACGAATTATTTAGTAATTCAAACCCATTTTTTCCATGCTCCAAATAATGCTAATTATTTTGTGTCTACTGCAAAGTAAATTCAAAGTTGTTCATTTTGTTGCACAGTGTAATCGGCATTAGCTGCAATGCCATGCACAATTAATGCCAACAAAATGGATTTGGCATCGAGTTCCGTGCATTTACATGGCAATTGCACATTGAAAGGAGGGTCCTTAAAAAAGCAAAAAATAAAAATACACGAGGCAAAATCGGAGACACATTAAAGGTATTCCCCATATACCTATCCTAGCCACACACACACCCACACACACACACCCACACACACACACCCCCACACACACACACACCCACTCCCAATGACCTTCAACGCATTCCGCGTGCTTTTTTTTATTTTTATTTTTCGCACATATTTTGCCAATACGCCAACAATTTAATTTGTGCGACATTTATTTGCATATCCCTGGCAGAGTGGAGTGGAGAGGATTGGCATTGGCATTGGCAGGGGGCTCTCCGCTCCGGTTTTGTACCATTTTTGGAGGTATTTTTAATCAGTCCAAAATTCGAAAGGAAACAAGCGGGAGGAGGACATGTGGGTGGGGGGAGGCTTGTAGGCCTGTAGGAATCGCATCTAATGGCTCGATTTGAATCGTTTGCACTGCAGCATATCCGTGGCCATTGTGATTGCCGCCCTGGCCGGACCCCAGTGGCTCTTCACCGAGGAGAAGCTGCCGAATGTCAACTACAATGGAACGGCCAATTTTAATGCGCTGGACGATGGCGCCTACGTCACCAAATACACAAAGTCCAGCCTCTGGATACTGTGCACCACACTGCCAGGTAAGCCAGCCCCGAAAACCAAATTGAGATGAATGTGTGACAGGCAGACACACACAGCAGACAGAGCCCAGCACACACTGCTGTGACTGCTCCCTGTCTCTGCCTGTCTCTGCCTGTTCCTGTCTGTCTGTTCCTGTGCACTGATTGAATGATGAGGGATGTGTCTGTGTCTGTGTCGTGTGGCCTTACCTTACCTTAATGAGAGCCGCTGGCCGTTGGTGAATTTTAATTGTTTTATTTAATAATTTACTCGCTGAACGACACACACACACAAAAAAGAATAAAGAAATAAAGAGCGAGGAGGATCAACGCTTGCCGTTAACCTTCCGAGCTGCTCTGCTTCCTGGAGGAGGGCAGAATGCCGCCCATGCACTGAATCAGCTGAAGGACGGCTGTGCGCATGCCCTGCACCTCGTCGCGGGCGATGAGCAGGCTGCTCGAGGCATAGCCACAGCGCAGCACATAGTCCGCCACATGGTCGGCCATGCACATCACATGGATGCCCGACTGGTGCTCCTCGTTGTGTGCCTGCTGCAGGCAGCGGCCCACCACCAGGCTGAACTCGGTGAGGGCCAGCGGCGCGCTCAGACACTGGTGCAGTGCGCCAGCCAGCTGCCTGTGGCTGTTGTCCAGCGAATCGTAGTAGTACAGCTTGCGCTCCGGCCGGGCGATGAACAGCAGCGACCAGTGCTCGTGGGCCACGTGAAAGGCGCCCGGCTCACTGCACATTGGCAGCAGGATGAACTTGCGCTCGTGCAGGCCACGCTCGCGCATCTGGCGCTTCAGGAGGCGCTGGCTCGTCTGGCGCAGGCTCCTCGCCAGCGACGGCTGCATGAAGTACACCTGCGACTGCGCCTTGTAGCGCCTGTTCTGCAGGTAGGCAAAGTAGAAGGCCACCAGTCGCTCGTTCATGCCGCCTCGACGCTCCTGCAGCAGCCTCACGTCCGTGTGCAGCAGCGAGATGTCGTGAAAGCGCAGCGACACCAAGCGATCCTTTGACGGTCCATCTCCAGCGCCTTCATCGGAACCAACTGCCACAACTGCTGCCTGCTGCTGCTGCTGCTGCTGCAGCAGCCCCTTGTTCCTGCTGGCCGCGACTGCCACAGCTTTTCCCACATAGCTGGGCTGTGGTTTCTGCGGCTGCGGCTGCGGCTGCTTCTTGGCTGCTTGCTGCGATTGCTTTGCCGTACGCATTCTGTTGCAATCTGTTGTGTGTATCTGTATCTGTATCTGTTTCTGTTCTCTGAGCGGGTGGGGGGGCTTATGTCTGTTTGTGTGGCTCCTGAGTGTAAAATCGAAATTCTGGGATTACTTTTTCTCACTTGAATTTGGGAGTTTTACTTTCTATCTATTTTCTTTCTGTTTGTGCACAGAATCTGCCGAATTTATTCCCTATACATTTTGGCAGCTAGATCTTTTTTTTTATTTGCAGACTTTAATTACTTTTTTGTTTCCCAGATATTTCCTTGACTTATTTGATATTTTTTAATGGGAATTTCTTGCACTTTTCTTCTCTTCGACGATGCATTTAATTTCGAGCTGAAGGAGTGCGTATTTATTTCGAAAATAAAATCCCAAGGCTACGTATCAGTGGTACTCCTTTTACATACCCTTTGGAAACTGCAATTAATTTTTTGTTTTAGTTTTGAAAAAAGGCAGAGAAAACAAGTTGTTGGGCTTGGCTTAGATTTAAATTCCTCTAAAAACTTCAATTAATTTCCAGCTAAATTTATGTTTAATTCTTCTAAAAATAAATTGAATATTAAAAAAAAAAAATAAAAAAATTAAATGTCTATTTTCTTACGTGTTTTACAGGCCTTGATGTGGACTCGTATAATTGCATTAAAATTGACTATTTTCCCAATGAGGGCTACCAGCCGGATCCGCATGACTCGACGCCAGCGATACCCTGTAAGTGGCTTGTGACTTTTATTGTTTGGTCTGCGACTGCGACTGGGACAGCGACTGGGACAGCGACTGCACTTCATTACGGTTGGTAATCAACTGGCTGAAGGCATTGGCCAGGCCATGGCATGGCTTAAAGGCTCTCCTGTCCCTGGTCTTAATGGGCCCCCACCTGCCCCACGCATTTATTGTGCTGTGTGTACTTGTGCTTACAGGTGGGCTTCTCCTAGGCCAAATTGGAATTGATTTATTGCTTGTGGCCAGTCTTAAGAGAGGGAGAGCGAGAGCGAGAGAGACTGCCTTTAGCTTTGGCTGAATTTTAATTAAAGACTTTTGGCCTCTGTTCTGTTGAAAGTTTTGTCCAAATGATTTCTGGTGTCCCCACAGACACAGGCAAACACAGAGGCATGAGGCAGAGACAGAGACTGCCACAGACTTCTCTGTGTGTGTGTGTGTGTGTTGCAGGCAGGGGGTTCAAAGGGTGCCTCGACTGAATAGTTTGAATATTTTACAATTTTCCATTTAATATGCGAATAAGAAATAAAGAAAATTCCAATCCCCCACCCCACGCCTGCTGCATTCGAATTTGCTAAATAAACTTTTGAAATGTCAAAAAGGATATGCGCGTGTGTCCTCCTCTGTGACAATTCCAATTTACAATGATAGAAAGAGATAGAGACAGAGAGTGAGAGTGAGAGAGAGACGGAATGGAATTTCATTAATTTTCATTCGCACAATTGGCCAACAGCCAATATCCCCATCCCAAACAGAGATTTGAAATATTTTCATTAATTTCGTATCTAGGCTCTGCTCTGCTCTGCCATTGTGCGTTTGCCTGTCCCCTTGCCAGGCGGGCCCTGCCCCCCACAACACAAGGGCAATTCCTCAAAACTAATTTTAAACTCGCCGTGGGTGACAATTTCGCAGAAAAAAAACCAAAAAAAAAATACAAAAAACTATTAGACAAGCGAACGGCCAACGGCCAACGGCCAACGGCCAAGCTCATCGCAAAGGGCTGTGGGTGGCAGGGGGGGGAGGGATGCATGCCAGCCGATGCCAGCCAGGTATGGCGCCTCGACGGGCTAGGTGTCGATGATATTTTTGGTGCCCTGCGGCGGCATTCACACGCTCGATTGGACGTGGATGTGTCCTCAGTCGTTTGACTTGTGTGCTGGGCAGGGGACGCCACAGCATCAGAGCATCAGAGCACCAGGATGCACCAGGAACATCTAAAGCGACGAAAAGCAAATTAAAATTTATTTTAGAGCCATGGATATGCTCGGTACATACTCGCCGATATGCAGATGAATCCTTCATTGTTTCATTGTTCGGCTGCTGCGCGCGGGGGTTCCATTCCATTAAAAAGAGTTCTCTGTCTCTGGCAGCAAGCAACAAAGAAATTGCTGCATTTATTTTTGTGTTTATACGAATCCTCCGCTAGCAGGCAATGAGGAAATCTCTATAATTATTTGCTCTTCTTTTTATTTTGCAGATACGGTGACCAAATCGTGCCCCATCTTTCTGGCCGCTGGCATCTTTCTGGTCATCAGCTTCATTGTGTTCCTGATACCGACCTGCTCGCACCAGAACAATCTCTTCTACTTCAGTGCCGGAATACTCTTCATTGTGAGCGGTACGAGTGGGTGCCCACGCCTTGCCCGCTGTCTTCTCAGATTAAACGCGAGAGAGTTGTTCTGTTTCTGCTTGTCCACTTGCAGGCCTCGTGATGCTCATCGGACTGATTGCGTACATATCCATATTGAAGGCGGAGATTGGATCGAAGCTGCGGCCACGCTCCACCCTGCAGCCGGCCCTCTTTAAGGTCACCTACGGCCAGAGCTTCTTTCTGTTCGTGTTCGGCTTCATTGTCACCGAGTTCGTCGGCGTCCTCAACATCTTCCTGTTCATCAATCTGCAGGAGATCAGCTATTATGGTGTGGGTATGCGCTCTGGGCGCTCCTGGCTCTGCCTTGAGCCTTCCTCTCATTTTCCCTGTTCGTTGCAGCGCCTGCCCTGCTTCAGCGTGGCCAACATTCATGCCAAAATCAAGGAGGGCCAACAGCAGCAGCAGCAAAGCAGCAGCAGCAGCATGCCCTGAGTCACTCCTACAAGCGATACAAGCAGCCCGGAGCCCAGCAGCAGCAGCAGCAGCAGCAGCAGACAGGCAGTCAGGATACATTGAACCAGAGCCATCCTCCAGCCAACCATCAACAGCAGCAGCAGCAGCAGCAGCAGCAGTCGCATGAATCGTATCAGCCGCAAGTGCAAAGGACGCTCAGGGGCATTACCGCTGGTGCTGGTGCTGGTGGCAGGCAGCATCAGGTGCACGACGCGGCACGTAATCCCGGCCAGACACAGACCCTGCCCGGCGGCTATGCCTGCCGCAAGCATCCGAATGCCGCCTCCAATCTCAATCTCTATCTGCACAACGACCTGGATCACCAACGGCGGTGAGTACCAAGAAGCGCTCAGCTGGAAGCCATAAGCATAAGCATAATCAATTCCCCGTTTGGGGTCCTCGGGGGGCAGCTTTTACTTTGAGAAGCCGGCGGTGTCCAAGTGCAATCTGCATTCGCGCAGCTTCGCCAAGTCCCTCAACGAGCTGTCCGGCCCGACGCCAGTGGCGCTGACGCTGCCCGCTCCCGCTCTGTTCGCCGATCTGCCGCAGGAGTTTCCGCTCACCCGCTCCGTGTCCACCACCACGGACATCTACAGCACGCCGCCGACAGCAGCCGCAGCCGCAGCCGCTGCCGCGCCCAACACTGGCCAGCTGAAGCGCAAGCAGCAACGCAACATGGCCACCAATACGCACCACAGCAGCCAGTCCCGTCCGCAGGAGGAGGATCAGTCGCGTCTGTGCGGGCTGAAGCGCGGCCTGCGCAAGACCAAGGACGAGCTCTTCCAGGAGTTCTGTCGCAGGGCTGGCGTCCTGGGGCGCGCCAAGCCGAAGAACATCTACTACATCAGCGGCGGCGAGGAGGAGCAGGAGCAGCAGACCGACACGGAGACGGCTGTACGGCCTGTACGGCCTGTACGGGCGATGCGGCAGGATGACGACGATGCGGATGGCGATGATCACGGCTTCCGGCAGTTCCGTGCCGGCGGTGGCATGGACGAGGACCAGCTTTACGTTGTCGGAGGTGAGTCGAAAGTCGAACCTGCTTCCAATTCCAATTCCAATCGTCAACAGATCACGCTCAGCTGGTGGGGCCACGACGCGCCTCGATGTGCCCCCTGGCAGACGGCGCCTCGCTGGGCCATCCGCTGCGCAAGCTCAACTCGAATCTCTCGCTGCACAACGAGACGGCCTGGCCGGGCGCCGCCTTTGCCTCCGGACAGCTGAGACTGGCGCCCCCCGAGCAGGCCCAGAGCCGCACGCTGCCGCGCTGCTTCCTGCGACAGTCGGCGGCGACGGCGGCGGCGGTAGCTGGCAGCCAGGACAGCCTCGGCTCGCTGCAGAGCGGCATCAGCTTCAGCGCCAACGCCAGCGCCAGTCAGCAGCGATTCAATCACCTGTTGATGCAGCACCAGCAGCAGCTGCAGCAGCAGAACCGCTACCTCTCCACCCTGACGCTGCCGCGGCCAGCGGAGGAGCAGCAGCAGCAGCAGCAGCAGTTGCCACCCAAGTCGGTGGTGCAATGGCCAGCAGCCATTCCATCGTCGCCCTCGAATTACGGCCACGGGGGATACCAGCAGCATCCGCAGCCGCTGTATCCAGCGACGAGCTCGGGTCCGGGTGCTGCCGCCGCCACTTCTGGTGCCCATCCACCGAAATTCCAGCGTGGCTATGCCTTCGACGATGCCCAAAGGCGGGCCAGCTTCGCCGTCAGCGATGCTGCCTTCGATCTGGACGAGATCGAGCGCGAGCGCCGACGCTCCCATGCGAGTCTCTTTGGCCAGAATCTCGATCCCTACGATCTGATTCACGGCACGGCGGTGTAAACAGACAGACAGAGAAAGAGAGAGAGAGAGAGAGAGAGGAGAGAGCGTAACCAGAGCTTCTATTCCCACTCCGCCCCATCCACCTGCTAGTCCGTCTTCTATCTACGTAAACTTTAAACTAAATAAAATCCCCTTCAAGACTTTGGCTTGGGCATGAGTGGCGCATTTATGGGCTAAGGGAAGGGGAAGGGGAATGGAACCTCCCGGGGGGTTTCTACGCTTACAGGTTCAGTCGCTTCCAGAACTCGCGGCTGTGCAGAATCTCCGGACTGGACGGCAGCCGATTCGTTGTCGTGCCATCGAACAGATTGTCCAGCACCAGTCCCTCGTAGACATCTGCGGTGCGATACTGGCGATAGCTGCTGTCAGCCGAGCTGCTGGCATGGGAGGAGCTCAAGAGCAGAACATCCTCGGATGAGGGGAACTGCTGCTGTGGCTGCTGCTGCTGCATTGTGGGTGCCGTGTGTGGGCGATTTCTGCCGCCTCCAGCTCGTCCTGCTCGTTCTGCTGTCCCTCCGGCAGTGGGTGCACTGACGGGCCGTATTGTGGATCTGGGCAGTGGCAGTGGCAGGGGCAGGGGCAACCTTTGCTCCGCTGGCTTTATCCCTGCGCCTGCGAATAGCTGCTGCATCTTGGCCATGGACCGCTGTAGCCGTGTGCTCGGCGACTCCGCTGCTTCCAGCTGCATTGCCTCCAAGCCTGGAATGGCAGCCTTGGACGGGAATAACTCGCTGGCGCCGTGCCGGCTGCTCCTGCTGCTGCAGCTGGTGAGGGTGCTGCTGGTGCTGTAGTCCAGCAGATGGATATCCGGACGTGCAGGCGGCTGCTCATTCAATCGCATCGCGTGCTTGGCCCGCCGCATCAGCACACTCAGCTCCTCGTTGCTGCTGCTGTTCATGGGGGACGTGATCTCCGGCAGCAGGTGGGTGGTCTGCGAGAACTCCGACCGCACACGGTAGAGAATTTGCTGCGTTTGCTCCTCCACCTGCGCCACCTCCCGGCTGACTCTCAGCGGGCTCCTGCCCGTCGCCGACGTCGCCGGCTCGAAGTGTTCGCCCAGCAGCTTCCTTCGGGCCACAGCTAACGTATTGGTGAAGTGATAGTTGTCTGGCTCTGGCTCCGGCTCCGGCTCGGGCTCGGGCTCAGGCTCCTCCTCGCTCTGCGCCAGCTTTCGCACTCTTTGCTGTTTGAGCTCCTCCATTTCGGACACTGTCGCCGCATCCTCGAGGCCCATCCTTCGCGGGAACCTTTTCTTTGGCTTATTGGATACACTGGGCTGCTGCTGCTTCTGCTGCTTCTGCTGCTGTTGCTCCTCTTGCTCCTCGGGCACCCTCTGACGTGCTCGCTCCAGATAGTCGAGGAAATTCTGCTCGAGCAGCTCGCTCTCCTCCTCCAGCTGCTGCATGCGGTTCTTGGCACTGGCCAGGGCCTCCTCGAAGCTCGTAGCTGGTGCCGCCTGAGACGACGCTCGGTAAGAGGCAGCTGCCTGAGACGAGGCGCGATGGGAGCTGGCTCGATAGCACGAAGTTCGATAGGAGGACGTTGCTGGACAGGGCGAAGCTGGATAAGACGAGGAAATGGCTTGATGCGAAGATGCGGACGTGGCCTGTGGCGATGCTGTCGTATTGGTGGCCACCGTGTGCATGGCGGGCCTGTGCGAGGGTGGCACCACCACAATTTCCGGCGGTGCTGGTGCTGGTGCTGGCACCATCTGCTGGTGGTAGCCACAGCGCGGCGATTCTCCCATTGATGTGCACTCCACTCGGCAGGCAGCGGCCGGAGACACCGCTGCTGTGGCGGATGAGTGACTCGAAGCCGTCGTCGTCCTGCAGGTGGACGCGGCCGAGGTGCAGATGGGCGCCTCTGATTCCTGGCCACCATTGAACACGGGCATAAAGCGAACCGCCTTCTCGGCGGCCAGCTCCGTTTCCTGGATCTTTTCGGACAGCATCTGCTGATGATCCTCGTAGTGCTCCAGCAGATTGAAGATCTTGTGCACCAGCTCCCGCGCCTCGACAGACGAATGCGACTCCTTTTGCACGTGGCGGCAGAGTGTCTGTTTGTGGGGGAGGAGTGGCGATTAGGAATAGGAGTAGGAGTAGGGCTCTGGGGCTCTGTGGCGCCATTTACTCACCCGCCAGGAGCTCTGTCGATGGCTGAGCTGCATTATCTCGGACTGATGGCGCAGCTTCACCTGGTAGAGATCCTCCAGTCGCCGCTTCTGCAGCTCGTAGGCCTTCTTCAGCGACAGCTCGACGCGCTCCAGGAAGATCTTTCCACTGCCACTGTGCAGCATCTCGTCTATCCAGTTCTCATAGCTCTTTGTGCCTGTAGGCGCCTTCGGCGTCTGGGTACCCTTTGCCACTTGCTCCTTGGCCAGAGGCTGCTGCTGCTCCTCCTCATCCCTCCCCTCCTTCATCGTTTGGGTTGCCACAGCCGCTTGGGCTGGGGTTTCCCTTTGCGTCGTTTGGCTGGCCACAGCCACTTGGTCCAGCAGCATCGTTTGGGTTGCCATCTCGCTCTGCAGCCTGTGGGTTTCCAGCTCCACTGGGAGCTCCACTGGGAGCTCTATTGGAACCTCCACTGGGTGCTCCACTGGGTGCTCCGCTGGCAACTGCAGCTGCACCTTCTTTTTCTTGGTCTGACTGGCTACACTTTTGCTTCGTATTGCCATCGCCTGGACAGCCACATCCTGGGCTGGTCTGGCGGGGGGCTGCGCCTGGGGCTGCTCCTCCAGGGCCAGTTGCGCGCCCTCCTGCACGCCCATGTAGTGGCCATGGCCGAAGCCCTCATGGTAGCCGGCCTTGAAGCCGCCGTGCCTGCCCACCGCATGCTCCTGCTCCATGGACATGTTGACCACGTTCACCAGCAGGCTAACGTTGACGCACAGCTCCGACACCAGCATCTGCATCTGCTCGAACGATCCAAACAGGGTGCTCGGCTGTGGCTGCTTCTCCTTGCGCAGCAGGCGCCCCAGGCTCTGCCGGATGGTGGCCATGAATCCGATTTGCTGCGGAAAGAGTTGCGGCAGATCGGGCATCTCCACGCGCATCACCGGCACCTTGATCTCCCCCACATTCGCGTCGACCACCGAGTTCTCCTCCTCCTCCTCCTCCTCCTGCTGCTGGGCGCCCGTCGGCTGCTGGCGAGGCTCTGGAATCATGATGGCCGTCTCGCCCGGCGCCAGCCTCTCTCCGGCCTTGAGCAGGCGCTCCCGCTCCTCCAGCTCCACCCGAAGTATGTCCTCGAGATCCTGCTCGCTGACAATCTCCACGGGAGGGGCACACGACGCCGAGAGCGTGATCAGGTGCCGCATCAGCTCGCCCAGCCGCTGCTCCATGGCGTGAATGGTTTCGCAGAGGCGGGGGCCCACGAACACGGCTCGGCTCGTGGCATCATGCTCCTCCGCGGGCTCCTCCCTTGGAATGCTGTTCTCCTTGTCCTCCTTTGGGGGCGTCTTCACCTTTGGAGGCGTCTTCGCCGTCCTCTCTTTGCGTTGCTGCTGCTTGGCATCCGTCGTCAGGACACGCAGCAATGCTCCGAGCAGGCTCTGACCCGCGCTGGGATGTCCCTGCTCCTGGAAGTAGCTGCGCTGCACTGCGGCATTGAGCGTGTTCGCGGCATCTGCCCCTCCGCCGAGCACAGCGCTGAGCACGTCCTGCACATCGTCCTGGCTAAAGCGGAAGCCGCTGTGCGCCGCCGCCGCCGCCGCCGCCTTCGAGTCGGCATCGGCCTCGTGGCTCCGCTGCGGCGTCTCGCTGCAGAACACAGAGTGGGCCAACTGATAGTTCTCCGCGCGCAGGAACTCCGCCACCAGTCTGCGCAGTGCCACGGCCAGCGGGCAGAGCAGCTGGGAGTCCGCTGGGGGCTGCGGCTGACGAGCTGCCGAAAGGGGATGAGGATTAGGTGGCAGGATCAGGCTGGGCCGACACTTACCCAGCGATGTGCTGAGGTTCGGGGCCATCGGCTCCTCCTCCTCCTCAATTATCCTGCGCATCTCCGCCTCGCTGATCCTGCCATCGTCCTGCAACAGCTCCTCGCTCCACAGCTGATCCCTCTCCGTCTCCTGCGCTCTAGGGGACTCTTCTCGTCCTTTCACTGCCGCCGGCGATGGCTTTCTTTTCATGTCTGGCTTTCCCTTAGCCTTTAGCTTGCCTCTGGTGGCCGGCCGCCCTGTGGCCACGGCCGCTGGTTTCTTCTTGCTCGTTGGTTTCTCTGGCACCGGCGCTCGTCCGCTCTCCGTGACCCTGGGGGTGTCCTCCGGCCAGCGTTGGCTGCTACGCGCCGACTGCTGCTGCTGCTGTTGCTGCTGGTGCTGCTGCAGGCGCGATCTCAAAGCCGCCGCCGAAGCGGCTCTATTGCGTTTCACCTGCTCCTGGCGCTCGCGGACGTGGGCCTCGTGTCTCCTTTCGCGCTCGCAGGGCGCCCGGCAGTCATCCTCGCTGCGGCTGCGCCGCTTGGCCCGGTAGGAGGCCGTTGTGGACGTCATGGCGGACGCGGAGCTGTTTGGCACAGTGTGGCGGGTCTTCATTATTCTTAGCCACGCAATCCTCCCGCAGGATCCGCTGAGTTCTGTAGTATTTTCTGGTCTGTGACTCGAACGTGTGGTGGTGCCTGTTGGCAAACAGTTTTCGAAATGAGTTTCCCTTTTGACACAACGAAAATTGTGACATGTCGTGCGGCAGGGACCTGGGACGGGACTCACCCCCGTTTCTCGTTGGGAATGCGGCAGGTGGCAGGTGGTGGCAGGATCGCCCTGTGCACTCAGCCGGCAAGTCAGTGCCACAGTCCTGTCGCAACGGTCAGGAGAACACGAGTTCACAACAAACAGCACAATTGAAAATGAAAGTAAAACCATATCACTGGTGTACGAAATAAGCTGTATGTCTATATGGCTGAGCAACAATTGCATTGAAACAAGTAAAACAGATGACTAAAGCCAAAACATAGAACAACGGAACTAGAAACGCAAAGAACCACATTGATTCGCAAAGTTTTTGCCACGAAATACACTTATTAAAAGGCAATAAACACACACGAAACTTGTACACAAAGCAGTTGAAGTTCAAATAGTTGCTGACATTGGAAATGTATCGATACTTAGCGCTCTTGGTATATCGGTAAGATATCTATCGATAGCTTAATAATACAAATAATTGTGGAATTTCTAAAACTGCTTTGAATAAGCTGTCAATCAGTAAATTTATATTTAGCTTAATAATATTAATACAGACAATATTATTAATCTACTTTGAGCAATTACTTTAACAAACAGATATGCGCCACAGTCGATAGATAACAGTCGATAGGTAATGAATATCGCGAGTCAGCTGTAAATATTATCTTTTCACTTTCAGGCCACAAATTTTTGTAGTGACAGTGCACAAAATGTGTTAATGTTTTAGATCTGAAACGATCCGATTTGCTAATGCTACAATAACACAAACAACAACAGCAACGTAGTTGCTGCACGTTCGGCAGAGAGGAGTTTACTTCCATTCAAAATTAACCGTATATTGAGGTAAATATTGTGCTGCATTTTGCTTTGCACTGCCCTGACGTGGTTTCTAATGGTTGATTGCAGCGTTTAGGTCATGTCACATATAGAAAATGTGTTTAATCTGGTGCGGGCCCGCCTCCAGGCAGAGAAGGTGAAACTGTGGGAGGAGCCGTACTACACGGAAGGCATCGGCAGCATTGAACTTGTCATGGAGGTAAGAGGTCCGATGAGTTTCTGTTAATCTTTGGCATTGATGTGATTCTGTGCACAGGACCTGGCCGAGCGCTATGCCCAGTTCCTGGGTATTGACGTCTCCAACTGCATGAGCGCCCTCAGCGAGCTGCAGGACCATGCACTGCGCAAGTTGGCCGCCCGTCGTGAGTTTAGCGAGACGGGGATGGCAACGTTCAAGGTGCGACGCATTGACAATCGCAGCGGCACCACCACCATGCTGGAGATCAAGTGCGACCTGAACTCGCTTGGCTCCGAGCTGCAGGCGGCCATTGCCGCCAAGCTACAACTGGGCAATCCGCAGCACGTCAAGTGCATCGCCTCCGGGAAGATCGTAGCGCCAAATGTTACGCTGGGAGCGCAGAATCTGAAGAACAACCAGGCTGTGATTGTGATCATTGGCCAGGGCGACAACCAGAATGGGGACCTCTACGAGAGGCTGAACAAGATCAAGGCCGATGTGGAGGCGGTGGTCTCGTCGCAGAACCGCCTGATGGAGATGGAGGATCAGGATGGGAATCCAGTGTTCCTGCCGCCCGAGGAGAACCGCGCATTGCTGTTGGCCCTCGGCTTCTGTGAGAAGGCCAAGGCGGCCATGCGGCGGGAAGACTACGAGGAGTCGCTGCTCCTGCTGCTCGAGGGTGACGAGAAGTTCGGCGCCTGCCAATCGAGCTTCCTCGAGTCGGTGGACAACTTTGCGCTGCTCAATCTGGACATTGTCTGGTGCTACATGTGCCTGAAGAACGTCTCCCAGCTGCCCGACGCCGAGGCGCGCCTGGGCATCTGTGAGCGCAGCTTCCGACGCAGCTACGGCGAAAGCTTTGAGCGTCTGTACGCCCTCAAGGGGCGCGACTGTCCCGAGCGGGCCCTCTTCATGCGCCTCAGGCTGCTGCAGGGCATCGTCCTCTTCCATCAGAATCGGCGCGACGAGGCCTTCGAGAAGTTTGAGGCTGCCTCCACGCTGCTCAAGGAGCTGAAGGTAGACGAGGACAAGCTGCTGCTGCTGATGGAGATGGGCTTCGATGTCGGCGAGGCCAGGCTCGCTCTGCGCTCCTGCTCCTCCGGCAGCGGCGGCAACATTGACCAGGCCGTGCAGTTCATTCAGGAGCGCAAGAAGAAGCTAAACGATGCTCGCAAGGAGTCCACGTTGGAGCGCAAGGTGCATCGGCGTGGCGGGGCCAACAGGGAGGCTGCCACGGATGCAGACTGGGTCAATCCGCGCAGCGTTTGCACCCTAGTCGAGATGGGCTTCGACACACAGCTGGTCTCCCTGGCCCTGCAGCGCACCAAGAACAACGTAACGAAAGCGGTGCGTACCCAGAGTCTGATCCCTATGAATTGGCTCTATAGCATCTCTCTTTTTAACCGTTTTACAGCTGGATATGCTGGAGAAGAACTCGGCTGAGCTGCTGGCCGCCGTGCCCAACACAAGTGCCGCCCCTGCGGATGCGACCCAGATGGCAGCCCTACAGCAGCTGGGCTTCGACGACGCCACAATTCGCGCCGCCCTGGAGTGCACCGGTAACGACGTTGAGAGGAGCATAGAGTTCCTGCTGCAGGCCCTCCAGAGCGAGGAGAAGCTAAAGGAGACCCTCGAGCTGGCCACGAAGCTGGCGAACGATGGCGGCGACAGACCCTCCACCTCATCGCAGGCCCAGAACTCGTCGATCATTGACTTTGTGATGGCCAAGGCGCGCGATGAGCTGGAGTCGCTCAAGGCCTACGAACGCTTCAATTCGGATATCAATCAGACCGATCAGGACCATCTCGATCTGCCGCTGATACGTGAGGAGCAGCTCCTGTGCGAGTATCGCCGCCTGCTCGAGCAATGAGCTCCAACCAAAAACCAAACAAAATCAATTGCAAACGTAAACCACACGTAAGCGCCTGAAACGAAACGATACGAAACGAAGCGGCTATAAAATGATTACAAAATGGAGAGAACCGGTTACGGAGATAACTGTAATCATGACTTGTCTATTGCAAATCGTCGTCTTATAAATGCCACTTAAGTGGCACTCATCCACTCATCCACTCAGTCCCTACCCCCAGCCCCCAGCCAATCCACCCCTCCCCTCGCCTGCTTGCCAACCGCCCCGCCGCTTGTGTTTGAATAACTTGGCAAATAGTAACGATATAAAGACTTACAACCAGATATATACATATATTCTATTGACAGCTACGACAATGCGATTACGCCCCAGTCCGTGCCCCTCCACGCCGTTTGTTTCGTTTCGTTCCGTTCCGTTCCGTTCAGTCGCGAACCTGTTAACGTCTTTTGCAATTATTTATTTTCTATATATATACATATATATATATATATTTTGTTTTTGATATTGCCTCTTTTCGGACTTTCGATCCCAGCAACCTGGTGTCCGGAACCTGGTCAAAGAGATGCCAAAGGGCACACCCAAGCCAAGCCCCCACCCCCGTCCGCTTTCCGACAAATTGAGACTGGATATACCATCATACATGCATACAGACATGTGTTATATTCCTGTGATAGTTTGGGTGCCTTATAATTCAATGCATAACGTAGAAATGCTCACGATTGATCTTTGCACATGTCCCTGGCATATGGGCAGTTCCGCCAAAAGGTCAACCAGGCCATAAATCATGAAAAGTCAACAAAAACCGACTTCCATATAATTTTTTTCGCGATTTTTTTTTCTAAATTTATTAAATATTCTATTGACATATAATTTCATTAACTTTAATGCGAAAACCCATTAAAATAAGCAAAAGTTCACGTTTTAGGTATTTTTTGTAGACACGTTTTCGTTGAATATTATCTCCTAGGAAAAAGATGATTCTTGATAGAAGTTTCTCCTTAAAGTTTTTCTAACATATTGAACTACTTACAAAAATTATCAGAATATTTGCCCAACCTCGGCTAAAAGTATATTTATAGGACTTAATTATCGCTGAATTTGGTAACGTCAAGTCAGTAACTCGTACTTATAGCAAAAAAAAACAAACAAGGAAGTTTTTTACAGTAAAAAACTTTGAAAATGAACACTACATATTTCATATACATGCACAAAATATTTGTATACAGATAGACCTATTTTTTGTGAACATTTTGTAACGTAACGCCAGATAGGAACTGCCCATATGTAACTAGTTATTTTGTATCGTTTTCTTAAGGTTAAATATGCAACAGATGTAAGGAAATGTAGCAAATGGAATTATTAATTGATATACTATGTAAACGATTTTTCATGCACAAAATTTAAGCGAAATAAAGGATACAAAAGTGAAGAACAAACCTATAAATATCTGTATTCAAAATGAATTAACTTCTTTCTTTTACAGATCTGCTTGCAGAGAAGATTCTTTATGGAAATAAATTCAAAATTGGAAAAGTAGGAAATAGATAAATATTTGCATGAATATCGATTATGGTTGTGATTAGCGACTTTTGCCCCCTTTTTAAGGCAAATAAAATTCTCGATCGATGTGCGTGTCTCGAGTGGGTGGTGTCCACTCGCATCTGAGACTCTGGGAAGGGGAAGCACTATGCGACTTCCTGCTCAAGTATATTTATTTCAGAGTAGCCCCTATAATGAAAAGCTTCAATTTTAATCGAGTCCGAATGATGGGGTCGCTCACCAGCTGAACCCGGAATGAGTTCAGGAGACTTACTACATGCGTAGTAAGTGTGTACAGTCATTTATAGTACTTCATAGTACATATGAAGCGTGCATGGAGCCAAGGATTATGGAACAGATACATACATATGTATATCTGTTTTATTTGTGCAGCAATTTTGAATTTGCATGTCAGAAACCAACAAAGTTTAAGGATTGAGAGCCCAAAGCCCTGGCAGCTAGTGCTCCATAAATTTGGCTAAGAATTTTATGGTTTGCCTTCATATTTATAAATAAAAAAATATAATCTTATTGAAGTGTAAGGAATAGAATGAGAGCAGGTGGAACAGGTTGTCCTTCCTGTCCACTGGGAGCTACCCAGAAGAAGAGACTGCCATCTGAACACGTATAATCTTGCATATATGTATGAAGCCTCTCAATTAGTTCTACTGGAAGTTCTTTGTTTTGGTGGTGTTTCTTGTTTTATAATTGCCTTTAGTTAGGGTTTTTTGTTTGTTTGTTGCTGCCCGTACTTTGGCGATTGCCATCTCGCTACTTGTAGTTGATGTGTGTGTGTGTGTGTGGTGCTCTTTGTTCTGATAAACAATTTCATAATTTGGTTTTTAATTTTAATTTTTACTATTTTTGAGCATTTAGTTTTTTTACGATCCGCGGCCTGGGCCTGGGCCTGTGCAATAATGACTTTGGCAATTATGCCCCAACTGATATGCAACCAAGCGAAAACTTTTGGACATTTTTATTTGTATTTGTATTTGGTTTTCGTTTTCGTTTTCGTTTTCGAATGGGAATGTGAGAATGGTTCTGGTTCTGGCTCGTATAATCCGCCAAAAGGGGAAGGGGAATGGACTCGGTGCTGGATGGGTGGCATGGCGTACGTCCAAGTTCTGTTCTAAACAAATGTGGGAATGGGGCTTTAGCTTTGGTTTTGGTGGTATTTGGTATTTCTTTTGGGTGCCCAAGCACTCGACAATTGCCACGATTACTGGGAATCATAGGGCTGGGCTTGGCTCTTGTATGATTCGCCCACAGCTGTTTACAGGGGAAATAATTCAGCCATTCGGTCGAATCAATTTCCTAAAAAGTGCAAATGCACCCACAGGGTGGAGATCTGTTTTGCTCTAGTCCACGTGCACACACGTACACGTATGTATTTAATATCCAAAGTATGCACTTGACGCATTCCAAAGGAGTTCTTCCTGAGAAAACAGCTGGAAACAGTTTTGTGTAATCTTTGACTTAAGGTGTGTTTTTTTTCTCTATTTTCTTTTTTCTTTGTTTGAAGTTCTCTTCCCCATGGACCATTCTCTGTATATAATGTTGATCGAGAGTTGGCAAATATTTCATTATGTCTTGGGCGATTTCAGAGTGTTTATCCTTGCAGATTGAAAATATGTCGAGTCGGTAGCTCTCCCCCCCCCCTCGACTGGAAAATCCATTAGCAAAAACCTATATACATACATATATGGAAATTGCCTAAAGTCCGATCCCTCTCAGGTACAAAGTACAGGCATTACACGCCCCACTGGCCAAACAAATTAGCCTTAATTTGAGACCCCAATCCCAACCTCCCACCCATCCCCCGCTCACACTCTCTCGCTCGCATTTTGGGTTGGAAAAAGGCTTTTTAATATTTCGGCATATCATTGGATATAAGTACGGGGATCTTGACTGCTGGCGCAGAATCAGAACTAGCAATTAAAGCAGCCCCCAAATCTATTGGAGTTATTAATTATAGAAATATATTGAAATCAGAGTTGGAAATGGGATTCGCTTCCGTCACGCAATCGCAGATCGCAGATCGGAGAAAGAACAGTTAGGAGTAGGCTGTGGAAGGGAGCGCGCGCGTGCCCTCTGAGCAACATGTTGCTCTGTCTGAGAGCAAAGCAAACAAAAACAAAAACAACAACACACGCAGAGCCGAAGTTTAAAGTTTTGAAGAGACGATCGTATCGGTTCGGTTCGGATCGGATCGGATCGGAGAGCTTCGAACGCGTCGTTGGTCGGCCCACGCTGCGGAATTAAATAATTCCCGGTACACGCGTTTCGTCAAGCTCAGTTCAATTGTTGAACTGGAAGCGGACGGTTGAGCTTTTGATTGGAAGCGATCGATTCAATATTGGTAGTAGCTTTAAAATAACTTACTCTATTTTGTTGTTGTTGTTCCTGTGAGTGCGTAGTAAATGCGTAGGAGGAGGATGCACTTGCACTTGCACTCCCGCCCCCAGCCATAGCAGAAAAAGAACCAGTGATCAGTGATCTCAAAACTCAAAACTCAGAGGAGCCTAAAAGCAACAAAGTGCGTGTGTGTTCAGTGTGTGTGTGTGCTTTGTTTTTGTTTGCGTCTCCCACGGGTGTTGCATTCGGCATCGGCATCGGCATCTGCATCTGTGGCAACCAAGAACCAACCAACAGACAGACCTTCAGTGGGAAGGTAGTCCATCAATTTGGTGCTTCAACTGCCGCACAGTAAGTATTTTTCACTTCTATAATTCCCCCCCCCCACTCATTCACTCATGGGCTTGGGCTTGGGCAACAGCAGCGCCCAAGACCCAAAAAAAAACTGCACCAAGAGAAACAACAAACAACAGAAAAGTGCATGGAGATTCAGCTTGGCCATGGCGACATTTGTATGCCCTTTTTGGCGCTGAAATATTTAATTTCTACGTATTTTAGTTATCCAATTTTGGATCTTTTAAAACAGCAAGAATAAAGGTTTTCCCAATAAAGAACAAGTAGCTGCTATGAAATGAATACACCCTGGCCCAAGTGGCTTTGCCCTATCTCGCCTGCATGCAAAAAGCGTACACAAATGCGCTGAGGCCTGAAAAGCTTTTGGTCTTTAAGAGCAAGAGAGAGAGAGAGAGAGAGAGATAGAGAGAGACCCAAACCGTTCCGTACCGTGCCGACAGCTGTTTTCAATCGCCTATCGCTTTCAACTTGTTATTATTCAGTTTGATTTCTTGTCCGGGGTCCCCATCGTAGTTGCTTTTGCTTTTGGTTTTCTGTGTCTGTTTCTGGATCGGGTTTTCTTGGCACGTTGCTCCGCTATCTGCACCCACCTCCACCTCCACCAACACCACCGCCGATTGCTCATCTGCCTTTTGGGCAGTCTCCACCAACAAAGCAAAACAAAGCAAAAAGCTAAACAAAAGCCCATGACAATCCATAGACAATAGTTGTTGGGGTGTAGTTTTCGCGCTCGCAAAGCAACGCCAAGCCAAACGAGCAAAAGAAGGTGGCAAAATCGACAATAAACCAACGAAAGTGAAAACACGAAGCACGAAACAT